CTCTCCTCTATCTTGTCTGCTGTCATGATTCATGCAGCTATTATTTCATCCAAATGAAAAATGGAGAACAGATAAGCAGATCATGGCTTGTCTACAGTGAAAAGAAGGACTGGGTTATTTACTTTGGCCGTCGCCTTTATTTTATAAAGGGGAAGCGGAATCCAAAATACATTTTTTGTTTTGAGAGCAGGCTGCGCAGGACTTTTCCCTCAGCATTGAGTCTTTTCTTGCTGACGCTAAGCGGCCAATCCAAAATTCCAATTGTTTGGCTTCTCCACCCTAAAGCGAGCGTTCACATCCAAGATATTATCCCATCTCACCTTCTTGTAGTTTCAACCCATTGGTTTATTGGTTTGGAAGCTACAGCTAACAGCTGAAGCTAATTTCATTTTGGAGTTTTGTTCAATCAAACGGATGTTTAAAGGAATAGTACACCCAAAACATGATTAGACTTCATTTTCTACTCACCCCCATGCTGAACAACACTCTGGAGTACTTTTTTGATATCTCAAATGCATCTGGAGATCTGGGAGGCTTCTTGCTGTCTGCTGACATTCAAATAATGGAGGTCTATGGCGCCCGAGACAGAAAGGTCCATAAAAGTCCACAAAAAACGTGTCAATATTCCTCCATACTGCTCGTCCAATGAATTCCAAGTGTCCTGAGTGGGTAGCGTCCAGAATTTACTCGAAACGAAGTCATTTAGAATGTTTTTAGAGCATAAACAGTAGTGTATAGGATTTCCTGAAAGCGCGTTCACGATGCTACGGAAACCGCGGCAGACCAAACCAGATGAAAGTGCGCATTCAGCGTCTGCTCTGCCGATAATGCAAGCGTAGAGGAAGAAATGTGCTGTTTACCTGTGCAAAGAAAGAAACAACGAAAGAAAAATGTCTGAAGACTTCAGTGTTGAGGAAGAGCATGAGTTCTTTGCCGAGCTGAATGCGCACTTTCATCTGGTTTGGTCTGCCGCGGTTTCCGTAGACTCGTGAACGCGCTTTTAGGAAATCCTATACACTACTGTTTATGCTCTAAAAACATTCTAAATGACTTCGTTTCGAGTAAATTCTGGATGCTACCCACTCAGGACACTTGGAATACATTGGACGAGCAGTATGGAGGAATATTGACACGTTTTTTGTGGACTTTTATGGACCTTTCTGCCTCGGGCGCCATAGACCTCCATTATTTGAATGTCAGCAGACAGCAAGAAGCCTCCCAGATCTCCAGATGCATTTGAGATATCAAAAAAGTACTCCAGAGTGTTGTTCAGCATGGGGGTGAGTAGAAAATGAAGGCTAATCATGTTTTGGGTGTACTATTCCTTTAATGTCTGGTTCGGCCCGTTTATGGGTCAGATTTCTGAGGGGTCGATTCCCTCTGCTGTCAAATCTGTGAAGGAAACCAGTAGAACAAACCAGTAGAACAAACCAGTAGAACACGGGTCTCCATCAGAACCTCCACCCACCTGATCTACAACCTTTTCTGGTTGATACAACTGTCTGAATACTGAAGGTTTCATTGTTTTAGTGTAAACCAGAGGTGTCAAGGTAAAGCATGAGGGAGGTCAAAAGGTTTGAATTGTATTGCGCTAAAATCCTTACACTATGTATTTATAATAAAAAAAGCAATAATTTGTTAGAAATGGGGTTTGAAAATTAGATAAAATCCTGGAATACTGGCAGTGTTTCCTGGATGTCATAAAGACGTCTAATAAGGTTGCAGATGATTTGATTTATTTTCTTAACATGAATGAAAATTGAATCCGATTTGAAATAAAAAGGATTTATTTTTTCTTCACCGGGTGCTCGAGGGTTCATGGTAGTTCACCCAATCAGTCCATGTGTGTTTCTTAGACCTTGAGAAGGTTTTCGATCGTGTCCCTCGTGGTGCCCTGTGGAGTAATGGGGTCCGGGGCCCTCGGTTTAGGACCGTCCGTTCTCTGTATGACCGCAGCGGGAGCATGGTTTGCATTGCCGGCAGTAAGTCAGACCTGTTCCCGCTGCATGTTGGTCTCCCCCAGGGCTGCTCTGTGTCTCCGGTTCTGGTCATTACATCTATGGACAGGATTTCTAGGTGCAGCCAGGGACTGGAGGATGTCCGGTTTGGGAACGTCAGGATATCATCTCTACTGTTTGCAGGTGATGTTGTCCTGTAGGACTAATCAAACCAGGACCTCCAATGTGCAGTGGGGCGGTTTGCAGCCGAGTATGAAGCAGTCAGGATCAGCACCTTCAAATCCAAGGCCATGGTTCTCCACCTGAGAAAGGTGGACTCCCCTCTTCAGGTCGGTGGAGGAGTTCAAATATCTCAGGGTCTTGTTCATGAGTGAGGGACAGACGGAGCGTGGGATCGATAGACGGATCGATGTGGCGTCGGCAGTGATGCGGTCGCTGTATCAGACTGTCGTGGTGAAGAGGGAGCTGAGTCATGGGGCAAAGCTCTCATTTACCGATGGATCTACGTTCCCACCCTCACCTATGGTCATGAGATCTGGGTAATGTACGAAAGGACATGATCGCGAATACAGGCAGCCGAAATGAGTTTCCTTTGCAGGGTAGCTGGGCGCACCCTTCCAGATAATGCCTCCTGGTCGCCTCCCTCTGGAGGTGTTCCAGGCGTGTCCCATTGGGACGAGGCATGGTGGAAGGTCCAGGACACGCTGGAGGGACGATGTCTCTGAGTTGGCCTGGTGTCGCCTTGGGGAGCAGCTGGAGGAGGTGGGAGTGGATCGGGAAGTTTGGGGATCTTTGCGGAGACTGCTGACCCCGTGACTCCGTGACCCGGCCCCGGATGAAGAGGAAGAAAATGGAATGGATTTTTTTTAATCCCCAGTTATGCTTTATTTCTGATTTTAGATCAATTACATAATAAATTGATATTAATATTCTGATATTTTAACAGAATATTACTGTAATTCCAATTTACTAGAAAACTGAAAGATAAAATATATATTTATTTAGAAAGATGTTAATTTTTCTGTATATGTAAATTAAATCCAAAAATTCTTTATTTACCTCAAAGGGAAATGAAATGTTGCAGTAACTCATTGGCAGTGCTGTCAACAGCTCACACACATAGGTGGATCCGGATCCGGATCCGGACCACGGTCCGCTAATCTGTGACCTCTGCCTTATTGTGTCCCCACCAACTTTCATTACAAAGTTACATCCTTGCTCTTCAGCAATCCCTCACAGTAAGCATACTTGTAGCGACAGTGGAGAGGAAAAACTCCCTTTGAACAGGAAGAAATCTCCAGCAGAACCAGGCTCAGTGTGAGCGGCCATCTGCTGAGGCCGACTGCTGAACCAACATATTAAAATTAATGAAATGGTGATCAATAAACTTCAGTCCATGTGAGTTTATAAGGAATGCATTACATCTTTAGTATTCATTTCTGCATCTGAGGCAATCAAATCAGCTAATCAGTTTAAAGTATTTATTTTGAGTTGATGTAATATCCTAAGATCCCTGTAGATGGCGTCCTGTATAAGTCAACAGAATAACTTAATTTATTTGAGAAACATTTCATAATAACCAGAGCTGTCATTAGGTGCTGCAGATTTAAACCAAGAAAAACATAAAAATAAAACCAGGAAAGAACAAAGAACAGAAACTTTAAAAACAGCAGAATAAAAAAGATGAGGTTTAGTCAGAATGTGTTAAAAGTATTAATATTTATTGTCCAGTGAATATCCTACTATTTAAAAACACTTTTAAAGAAGTTGGGGAATCAACTTCAGCTTTTTACTGCAGTAAAAGTGTAAAAGTAGAACTTTTAGAACTACTTAAAGAATAAAATTAAAAGTACTGCAGGAAAAACTGTTAAGTCCAGAAGCTTTACTGCTCTACTCTATTAAAGGAACATTTTTCTACAATTCTGGATAATAACTTCCTTAGACTTCATTTTCTTAGTTTTTTTAATAATGGTAACTACTTATTGTGGTTTGTGGTGAACAACTAGTTGGGGCAGCACCGAATCCAACCATAAAGAAATTAACTGCCTGGATGAAACTAATTATTTTAATGGTTTTTATTTTATTTTTAAATACCAACAGGCCAGAATGAAAATAATGAAAGTGAAAGTGAAAGCCCTTTGGGAAACTCCTCCAACTCCCATTGTCATTGTGACACAGCACACCCAAGTGAACACTGCACACTATGAAATTGCATTTATGCCTCACCCGTGCAGGGGGGCAGCCCTCAATGGCGCCCCAAGGGAGCAGTGTGGCGGGACGGTACCATGCTCAGGGTACCTCAGTCATGGAGGAGGATGGGGGAGAGCGCTGGTTAATTACTCCCCCCACCAACCTGGCGGGTCGGGAGTCGAACCGGTAACCTTTGGGATCCAAGTCTGACACCCTAACCGCTCACCCACGACTTAAATTAAACAAAATTGAATCTTAAATGAAAAAAAAATAATGAGTCTATTTTTAAAATGTAAGGAGTAGAAAGTAAAAAGTTGTCTAAAAATAACTACTCCAGTACTTATTTCTACTTAAGTAAAGTAATAAAAGTATTTGTAGGTCTTTAACTGACATCTCCGGTTGCTTGGTGCTTTAAAGACGAACTGAATCCACATCAGTTGGATTCTGATTCTGGACACTTCGTTGCCTAGCAACAGTAGATGCTTCTGCTGGTCAAAGACTCAACTTTAGCATCTTTTTCTTCAAAGAACAGAAAACTGGTGCGAGACGGAGAACAGAGGCTTTGGTCCGGAAAAAGAACAACTTTTGGATTTGGTTCAGATCCTGAAGGAGCGGCTGGAGAGCTGAGAGAAAGGAAACTCCACCTAACATCTGCTTTTTAGCGTCTCACCGAACGCCCTCAGAACGGCTGTCAGTTCCTCTTCACCTTTTACACCTCAGGCTTCACCTTCATCACGGACATCATGTGATGTTATTTTGTCTTTTGCCAGTTTCCTTTCTCAGCGTAGCAACCAGCGTGAAAAGACAAACCCTCTAATCCGTCCTTCTCTTAAATATTAACCCAGCTCAGCCCAACAGACGTTTTCACAGGTGGCGTCAGAAGTGATTTTATTCCCATAAAGAGAAGACATGAGGCAGCAGAAGCCTGACATTTGAGGTTAGTGACTCCAACCGCAAGTTCTTTTCCTTTGGCATTTATCTTTTTATTCCATATTATTAGTTTCATGCTCGGAGTTGAAATCTTGGCTTTTTTTTACGTTTTTATTCTGTGTGATGAAAGGTAGATTAGATCATGAAATTGTAGCTATCACACTTATTCAAGTTATTACTGTTTAAATACAAATCAATCAATTATTTCAATATTTAATCCAAAGCTAACATAGACTTCATCAAGTGTTCACAAAATCCTAGGATGTTCTAACTTTTGACTCTTTTTTTATAATCTGCCTTTTAAAGCATCAAATCCACCAAATTAGTTAAATTTTAGGATCTAAAGTTTGAAGATTAAAATTGAACAAAGCCTTTCCTTTGAGTTCAGGGATTTATAACAATAATACCATAGCAAAGATAATAATAATCATTATCATTAAGAAGACATGTGTTTTGTCATTTAGCTGGAGAGGAAATGCTTATCAAGTCGATCCAAAGTCTAAATGATTAAAGTTACGGTAAAATAGTTGGTCAGTTACAGTAAAATACCTGCTGGTTAATCTTGAACATCTGACGTCTTTGAAATGCAGAGATATATAACAATAAAAAGAAACAAAGATGAAGATTAACATGAATTCCCCCGGTTATCATTAATGATTACCTGGCGTGGATCTGCTTATCAAATCGCTTTACGAGATCCAAAGTCTGAACATGCAGAATCACACGGAGAAGCACTGAATTTTAACATTTTAACATTTTATTTCCAAAAAGCAACAGACTGCTGCAAACAGGAGAGACCTTTTCTATCAAATCAGAGGCAAACGGAGGTTCACTGGTTTTTCTGGAACATTCAAATAGATTCACAGGAAGACAAATTTGAACAGGAAGAAAATTCCAGGTTTAGGATATTTGGCTGGAATCCCATCGGGGGGGGGGGAATCATCCGTGATCCTTCACCTCCTTATTTACTCCACTGATCTCTATTTATTCCCTGGATCGCTGATTGGCCGTTGGTAGTATAGGGTTAAACTGAAGCCACCGACCGCCATATTGGTACTCCCATGTTAGAATGTAAACAATGTTTCATAGCATCACTAGATTAACTTTAACTTCAAATAAAATAAATATCACATCACATAATGCCGAGTCATTATGACGTTTATAAATCATGTAATATAACATAGTAAATAAATCCATCACAATAAAATGAATGTGTTAATGGAGCAAAATAATATAGATGTGCCAAAAATGCTACATTGATGATGCACATCTAATATGCATGTATCTAGTATATTGTTATAGTTATTACATCTTACACATAATTTGAAGATTTCACATCCAGACTGATTTACCAGTAAATGTCTGTTAATGCTGCAGTATTTTCCCGTCTGCAGATTGTGAATGAATGACGTCATAAACTTTATGCTGTTTCTGCCTTAAAAACGTTTTAGCTGCTTTTTTTCCATCAATATAACCTGCAATATATTTCAGCACATGAATTTTTGAAATGAGAAATAAACCAAACTCTACAGGAACTACAGCATCATCCACTTAATAAAGAATTCCTACATTAACATTTCACAGTGAATGACTTTCTATTTCCTCTACTTTCTATTTTCTAACGTTAGACCCAGTGTCAGCGTCTAACTCAGTCAATGTCTTCCAGTCAGTCTGAGATAGCCAGACTAATGTTAGTCTGCAGACTAAACTATAGGATCCATCGGCTATAGATGGATTTATTGCTTAGTGTGTTGTTATGTGTTGCTTTAATGTACTACATTGCCCATAATGCACCAGGCAAGACGTTACCTGGGAGACCATGTATTAAGATTGGAGTTGGTCAGTAAAGTTTCGGCATAAACCCATGCAGACCGGTGTCTTTTCATTAATGCACCAACATAACAGTTAGTTCATCCACTGACTGGGAAATGAACAGTGGAACGTCTTCCTGCAGACAGATGCTGCTCAGGGAGGCATTTTGACTCTGCATCTCTGTGGGAGTGGGGAGTACCAAGATGGCGGCCGGTGGCTTCACTTTTTTAAGGTCCATCAGCAATCCAGTGAATAAAAAGAGATCCGTGTTTAGACGCTGGTCCTCTTAATCAGGTGTGCAGCAACAGGCATCACCCAACACCCAGCAAAGATCCTCTCTGAGACAGGAAGCTCACTCACACCAGAAACACAACATTAAATAATAAACGTTGCAGTAAAAACAGTTCTTGCTTCTTTAAACAGTGTGGTGAGGAAAAAAAAAATCCAATAGAAACCCTCCATGATATTTTATTTACTTTCTGAAAGTATTCACTCACAGCTGCACTGTGTCTGAGGGAGAGGAGATGGTTTTATCAGGGATTGTTTGGAATAGAAAATAATCATTCTAATAACCAGACAGACTCCTTCTCAGGATTTATTCTTAGCATTTATCTGTTTTTATTTGTCTGTATCTGTTTTGACTGACTGCACATGGCGTCCTTCTCCACTTCCCTGCAGGCTTTAGTTTAGTGAGATAACCTTGGTCTAAAATAATGAAGTACAGACTGAGTGAATGAAATCAATCTTTTATTTAAGCGGATTAAATAGTAGAATACTTTTTTCCCAAGACAACAGTAATTCTTGTTCAAACTTTGTTAATCTTTCCTAACATTTAACCTGCTTTGTGAGGCCAGTAGAGGCTGGGATCTAGCTGCTGTTATTTAAGCATTGGACAATTATAATTTCTGATGTTTAATCATCTTTACTTTGTGCTTCTGCAAAGCTATAAACAGTATGTTCCAGAACATCATGCTGTTTTTAAACTAGTAAAAGGTGTGTTTATAGTATTTATATGGTTAAACTGAATAAAAAAATGGATAAAATACAGTAATAACTTAACATGTAAAATATAATTTGAAACATTTCTGACTGTCTTTTCTAAAGACTGTTTAAGTTTTATGGTTCAAGAGTTTTAATTTCTTCTATAAAAATCTGTATTTTAGGAGAATTCGGAGTCTAAAACCAAGAAGCGCACATCTGACAACATGAGTGAGTATACGTTACCCTGCAGTCAGTCAGTCCATAGATCAATCAATCAACTAATCAATCAATCAATCAACTAATCAACCAATCAATCAGTAAATTGATCAATCAAATATTTATTTTATAAAACTTTGTTGCACAAAACTGATAAACAAAAATATGATGCTCATAATGGTGAAAAAAAAAGAAAACAAGAATTGTCAAAAAATGCATTTTAAGATAACAATAAACTTTTGGTATAAAAACACAAAAATAAACACAGTAGGAGACATAAATGGAAATGTGGAGCATGGTGTGCCTGGGTCTGAATGTGTTTTGTGGAGGTGGAGATTCAAATGGGGGTGGGTGTGAGCACCATGGAGGTATGTGTATAGGTGCGTACTCACCTGTCTCACTGAGTAGAGAGTAAAGGTGGAGCTGCCGTGGGTTTGTTTGATCGCTTCAATCCACGCTTCGTTTCATTTTGTTTTTCAGTATTCGTTTGTTTTCCGATATTAATTAACTGATCTAACTTTGTTTGCTGCGCCGTCATAACTCCTGCTGCTGCTAATAAACCAAACAAAAGCATCCTGGATTCCAGCATATCTCTAACAATAACCTATAATGAGCCTCACAAATAGGGCAACAAACGAGGACCCGACCCACCTCTCAGCAGCTGAAAGGATCTGTTTGGAAGCCGCAATAAAGTCAAATCAGCAAAAAAAAGGTTAAGAAACTAATAGATAAAATGATACTAAAGGTAAATATTTCCATGCAATAACTCCAAAATCCTCTTCACATTTGAAGTAGCATTTCGATTAGATTGCAATAGTTAAACCCTGTGCTGTATGATTTTGTTAACAGTAAAAACTGTCGGATATTCGACTATCAAGGTCATCGACATAGTTTAATATGTGGTTGATGATTATCTCTGGGATGTTCTCAATTTTAAGGGACAACCGATTTTTAACGTCTCTCCATAATTTAAAAGAAAAAGGACAGAAAGAAAGAGATGATTAAGGGATTCTTCTGGACAGTCAATAAAATTTGGGTAAATATTGTGAACGATTTTGAAATGAGTCTCTTTAACTTTAGGGGAAACCATCCATGTTGCATACTTGGAGAACGCCTTCGCAATTATAGACTAGTTTGTTGTTGCCAAGATATTATTTGTTAGGTTAAAAAAATTGTGAGTTCATATAGGACAAAAAATGAATCTGACACACCAAGGGATTTCAATCTGAAAAACTCACAGAGAGAGAAAGATGCAATTGGAAGAGTTTATTGATACAATAGTTTGAACTTTGGCGCTCAGGCCTCGGCAGCAAACATAAACGCGTATTTATACTTTAATGCAGATAAACTGATGAATGAGAATAAGGATATTCCCCCCGGGCCTGAAACTGGTGGTGGAGTTTAGATAGGTGAAGTTTGGTTAATCCATAGAGGCTGGTATACAGGGTGATGCTTGAGTTAGATGTCACTGAATGAACAAAGTTGCATAGACTGTCCATGAAGAGCAAGCATGAAGCGACTGTGGAGAGAAAAAACTCCCCTTTGGGAAGAAATCTCTGGCAGAACCAGGCTCAACATGGCGGTCTTCTGCCGGACCGTTTAAAGTGACAGGGAACTCCATGAAAATCTGGAGGGAGTACGCACTGGAGGTGAGGTTGAAGGAGCATCGAGGAGGAGTCGGATGAGCTTACTACAATGGTGGAGAAGGGGATGGAGGTGGGTTGTCTGAATCAAAGTCCGACATAGGAGCGATGGATCTTGCGCTTGTTGAAGAGCAGGCCTAGAGATGATTTGGAGTGGCTTTAAGTAGAGTGCTGGAATATGATTGGGCAGCGAGGAAAGTGGCTTGAAGCGAAATTGGCTGCGTCGGAGGCGGATCAGCCTCAGATTGAATGGAAGTAATCAGAGTTTCTTCAGTTGAATTACCGCCTTAGCTTCATTTTCAAACACAGCTTCCCGCAGGAGGAGAAAGGCTGCCTGCTCAAATTTCAGCACCTCTCTGCCCCCCCAACAGAACAGCAGAGTCTTTTATTAACAGAACATGACACAATGGGGCGGGTCTTAGGACAGAAGACCCTGCAATGATGATCTAGCTGGATGCAGGTCATAAAACAGCATGACCCTGCTTTATGACCAACTGGCTGGAGGCAGGACTTCAATGTTTCATATGCACAGACATCAACTTTATAATCATCATTGAATAATCCTAACATTATTATTGCAATCATTAAAAAATTTAGATTTGACTGCAGTCACAGGAATAACATAATTGCACTTCCTGTCCATCACACGATATTCCCCAATTTTCTATTTAGGTAAAGATAAAATAACAGTGGAATAACTTAAGGTGTTTTGGATGAGATGGATCAGAGCTACAGGAACAGCTTTGCATACATTTAGATATTCATTACAAGTACAGTTCAGATTCAATGTGTTGGTAAAATCTATGATTTATCAAAATACCATTTCTGTCCATTAAGTCAGGAACAAATAGATTACCTTTTTCATATGTCAGTTTTAAAAAGAGATTATTTATTTATTAATATCGATCTGTTATTCCGCACTACGGATCCACGTGGGGCAAAATTGTGGTATATTGAAAATAGACGTATACCAAAAACCAGTCAAATTTAGTTATCACACCGGAATATTTATATGAATGCCGACAACAAAAAACATTATAAAAACAAAACATAATTTCATGAAAAGCTTTACATTTTGTCCATAAATCTTGTCCTTCTGAGGCTGTGAAGGTAAATCTGTATTTTCCATGATCCCATATTATTTCACAAACCTAAAGAAATAATCTACCAGTTTAATAATGGAGAAGCTATTGGTCAGCATTATATATTATCTAAAATATATAAATCTATTTATTTTCTGAGAATGTGTTTATTTATGAGCAACTATGCAGATTAACAAACGTCTAGAAAAAGTCGACTATGTTCTATTATTTTCCATGTGAATCCCAGATTGTTTGTTCTTCTTTGCCTTTTCTAAAAAGCGCTTTAAATCAGTCCTAACTGTCTGATGTTTGAAAAAGGCGGCAGGCTACATAGTATACTATAGGATAAATCGGCGTATATATGGATTTTCTTGGTTAGTTCATCCACTGAATGTGATTTTACCTGTGGAATACAGCCGGCAAACTGCAGCCAAATGCTACACATGAAGCATTTTTACTGCGCATCTCCATGGGAGTGAGGAGAACCAGCATGGCGGACGGTGGCTTCACTTTTTTCATGTAAATAAATAGAGATCAGTGACCTGCAGCCAAAAATGTCTGTTTGATGCACTGGTTGAAGGGTGAATGTGAATGACATCAAGCTTTTACCTGAACTGAGTTTAGAGAAGAATTTTTTTCAATTTATTGGTTCATTTTCATTCAAATTTCCATACATTTTATACTCTATTCACTTGGCTTATAACTTTCCCTCTGCTTTGTTAGAGCAAAAAGAAAGACCAGATTATAATCTAATTTGTTTTGAGATGGCATGTTGAAAAATGTTAACAACCAAACCCTACACTGCGTGTTTTGCTAAAAAGAAAATGTTCAACAGCATTATAAATGATTTTTGTTGTTGCATTTTTTGGGGTGTAAAATATCCGGTGAGGGGGAAGTTATATCAGAGTGGAAGTGAGCAGATTAGTTGCTCTATTTTACATTTGAGAGGTAAAGACTTCCAATGTGACAGAAACTTCACATTTGTTTTTATTTAGTTTTTAATCCTCTTGCTTTACAGGCTCATTTCTCCGGATTATGCTGTTTGGATCAACTCTGTCAAGCAAGAACAAACTCTGTAACTTCATCCTAGGGAAGAAAAGTCTGGACACTCCTAGTTCTCATCAAGCCAAGACAGTTGAAAAGGGGACATGGAGAGGAAAGACCTTAGCCGTTGTGACACCCTCAGAAAGTCAGATGGGAAAAGTCGAAAAAGAGGAGCTGAAAAACTGTGTGGGTCTTTGTCCTCCTGGACCAAATGTTCTGCTGCTCTTAATGAATCCTTCCAACTTCACAGAAAAGGACAGAAGGTCTCTAAAGGCCACCCTGAGTTTGTTTGGTGAAGAAGCCTTTAAACACTCAATGGTCATCATAACTGAAGAAGGGAGTGAAACGAGTTTTGCTTTTAACACACTAATCAAAGAATGTCAAGGTGGACAGTACAGCCTGTCTGAAAATAATCACCAGAAATTAATGGAGAAGATTGAAGATATTGTGAAAAGAGACAGCAGTGCTTTCCTTAGCATCAAAGAGGTTGGAGCGGCATCAAAATGTGACCAATCGCTGCCATCTTTAAACCTGGTTCTGTTTGGGAGGAAAGGAGCAGGGAAGACCTCAGCAGCCAAAGCCATTCTAGGTCAGACACATCTTCATTCAGGCTACAGCTCGTCAGAGTGTGTTAAACGCCAGGGAGAGGTGTCTAAACGTAGAGTTTCTGTGGTAGAACTGCCTGCCTTGTATGGAAAAGCTCAGCAGGAAGTGATGAAGGATTTGTTCAGTTGTGTCTCTCTCTGTGAACCTGAGGGTGTCCACGCCTTCATCCTGGTCCTCCCTGTGGGTCCCCTCACTGATGAAGACAAGGGAGAGTTACACACCATCCAAGACACCTTCAGCTCTCGGATCGACAACAACACAATTATTCTGTTCACTGCAGATTCTGATCGTAAACATCCAAATGTGGCTAACTTTTTTGACCAAAATAGCGAATACGCAGAGCTTATTAAGAGATGTGGAGGAAGATATGTTGTTGTCAAAAATAAGGACAGTAAGCAGTTCTCTACTGTAATCGATTTTGTGGTAAAAATGAATCAAAGCTGCTACACATCAGCAACCCTCTGAGAAGCCTACTTTGATAAACTCCTACAGAAGGAGAACAACACAGAACTACAGAGCCTGCCTACCACTCTACCATCAAAGGTTCAGATTGGTAAGTATTTTAAACCATATTCTTCAGGTATTAATAATAATCATTAAAAATAGTAAAAAGATCATATCTTTTCCGCAGGTTGAGAACAGATTGAATGTGCTTTGCACAATAACTATTCTTGACCTTATAGGGTTTAGCTTTACCGTGTTCCAAATATTCCTAGATGTTCCAGAGGATTGGCCAATGACTTTCTGTACTACAATTATGTCCTCGGTGTCTCCAGGAAGTTTTCCTCATGTTGGAACATTTTTAAGAAGGCCTAACATATAGTATGTGTTTAGAGAGGAATTTTAATCAGCTCTTGTCTAGTTAAAGTAAAGCCAAATAAGATTTTGTGTTTGTGGTGGTAAAAGTAAGTCTTATGACTGAGCCTTAATCTGACTATTCTAAGATCAGCCAGAGCAGAATCCTTTTTTAATCAGATACAGACCAAAAGTACCCATTAGTGGTCAAGACTGAAACAAGGCCAAGACCTATGGTGGTCAAACCGAGACAAGCCTAAGACCTTTAGTGCTTGAGACCAAGACAAGGCCAAGACCTTCTGTGGTTGAGTCGCGACAAAGCCAAGACCTTTGGTGGTCGAGACAGAGACAAGGCCAAGACCTTTGGTGGTCGAGTCAAGATGAGGCCAAGACATTTGTTGGTCGAGACTGAGACAAGGCCAAGACCTTTGGTGGTCGAGACTGAGACAAGGCCAAGACCTTTGGTGGTCGAGTCAAGATGAGGCCAAGACATTTGTTGGTCGAGACTGAGACAAAGCCAAGACCTTTGGTGGTCGAGACAGAGACAAGGCCAAGACCTTTGCTGGTCGAGTCAAGATGAGGCCAAGACATTTGTTGGTCGAGACTGAGACAAGGCCAAGACATTTGTTGGTCGAGACTGAGACAAGGCCAAGACCTTTGGTAGTCGAGACTGAGACAAGGGAAAGACCTATGGTGGTCAAACCGAGACAAGCCTAAGACCTTTAGTGCTTGAGACCAAGACAAGGCCAAGACCTTCGGTGGTTGAGTCGCGACAAGCCAAGACCTTTGGTGGTCGAGACAGAGACAAGGCCAAGACCTTTGGTGGTCGAGTTGAGACAAGGCCAAGACCTTTGGTGGTCGAGTCAAGATGAGGCCAAGACATTTGTTGGTCGAGACTGAGACAAAGCCAAGACCTTTGGTGGTCAAGACAGAGACAAGGCCAAGACCTTTGGTGGTCGAGTCAAGATGAGGCCAAGACATTTGTTGGTCGAGACTGAGACAAGGCCAAGACATTTGTTGGTCGAGACTGAGACAAGGCCAAGACCTTTGGTAGTCGAGACTGAGACAAGGGAAAGACCTATGGTGGTCAAACCGAGACAAGCCTAAGACCTTTAGTGCTTGAGACCAAGACAAGGCCAAGACCTTCGGTGGTTGAGTCGCGACAAAGCCAAGACCTTTGGTGGTCGAGACAGAGACAAGGCCAAGACCTTTGGTGGTCGAGTTGAGACAAGGCCAACACCTTTTATGGTTGAGTCGAGACAAAGCCAAGACCTTTGGTGGTCGAGTCAAGATGAGGCCAAGACATTTGTTGGTCGAGACCGAGACAGGGCCAAGACCTTTGGTGCTCGAGTTGAGACAAGGCCAAAATCTTTGGTGGTGGAGTTGAGACAAGGCCAACACCTAATATGGTCTTAGTTTTGCCCTTGTCAGGTCTTGACCTTGTGATGTCTTGGATGGCGTGGTCTTGACTACAACACTACTGTGAACTGTTAACTAATGTTTTGTAAATCAATTTCTGTTCCCTTCCTTGATTCTAGTTAAATGTTCTTTTTTAATTCTGAGTAATCTGAGGCCTGGTTTCTCTCTGTTACAGAAGGTAAGAACAAGTGGACTAATGAGTGCCTCAGGATTGTTCTGATTGGGAAGTCTGGGTCTGAGAGGAGCTCCTCGGGAAACACTATCCTGGGTAGAAATGTGTTTGAAGCTTTTAGTGCAACATCAGTCACAAAGTGCTTTAAGAAATGCGTGGGTGAGGTGGACGGCCGTCCTGTTGCTGTGGTGGACACCCCTGGTTTGTTTGATAACAGTTTATCAAACAAAGAAGTACAACAAGAGTTGCTTAAATGTCTTAGCCTTCTGGCACCAGGCCCACATGTCTTCCTGGTGGTGGTACCAATCGGAACAAGATTATCAGCAGAGGAGAAAGAGACATTAGACCTCATTAAAGAAGGTTTTGGCCAAGGTTATGAAAAGTATTCGATCATGCTTTTTACCAGAGGCGATAAGCTAAAGGGAAATAAACAGTCCATCCACGATTTTATACAGAAAAACTGCAGAGATCACTCCTTCAAAAAGATTATCAACAGCTGCGGCGGAGGATATCATATGTTTGACAACAGTGACACCCAAAACCGCGGACAAGTGATAGAGCTGATCAGAAAGATTGACACCATGGTGTTTAAAAATGGATGCTTCACCAACAAGGTGCTGCAAGAGGCTGAGAGAGCCATACAGGAAAAGATTAAACAAATCCTCAAGGAGAAAGATAAAGAAATAGAGAGAGAAAAGAAGAAACTAGTAGAAACATACCAGAAGGAAATGATGAAAAAAAAAATTGAAGAAGAGAAAGCAAATAATCAAAAAGCAACCAAGATGGAAGATGATAAAACAAAACAGATAAAGAATAAACTTCAGCAGGATCAAGAAGAAATTATGGAAGAACAAGAGGCTAAGATGGAAGATCTTTACTCAAATCCTGACCAATCAGATGATATTTATGAACATATTTATGAAGGTTTTGTTGAAGCAGAACAACAAGAAAGTTATTATGAAACGCTGAAAGAAGACGTCAAACTGCGGAAAGAGCAGGTTGAACATTTTGAAGAAAGGGAAGGAATTTACTCAAATGATTTGGTATATACATTATTACATAAGTTAGACAAACTAATAGAAACACATGAGGAGGAAGCTCGACGAAAGGCTGAGGAGCTCAATGATTTCAAAGAAAAAAATACTAAAATATTTGAAGCTCAGGCAAAAGTAGGTGAAAAAAAGAACGATAAAGGCTATAACATCCTAAAGGCCCTGAAGGAGCTCACTGAGAAGAGAAATCGAACCAATAACAGAAAAGAAGTCACTGACTTGGTGAAAAGTTTAACCGGACGCAGTGAGGTAAAGAACATGCTTTTAAAACAAGCAAAGGAGATGAAAAAGGTCTCTCAAAAGGATTCCTGTCAACTGGAAAAACTTCACGAAAAAGAGCTGAGTGATCTGATTGAGCAGCTTTTGGATAGAATGGGACAAACTGCTTTACTTCATTAGACGAACCTAGCAGACTGAAACACAGCAGGTCGTCACTATAAAGCCCCATTTCCACTTGCCTTTTGAAACCGTGATGAGATCGGTCCGAGCACGGTAACCGAGCTAACTGTTGATTGCAAACAGAACTCAGCTGAACTGGACCGTACCAGACCCAACTGAACCGCGCTAAACTAGTTCTAGTTCATCAGTAGGGCTCGGCACGGTTCATCTGTGGCTCAGTTCTCTAATAACAAAAAACGCATCAGCAGACGAACACATCTCCTGTTTACAGTCAGCTCACTCATGTAGCGGGTTTTCTGACCTGTCCGGCTTTTTAATCCTCACATCTCTTCACAGCACAGATGCTTCTCAGGTTAGTGTGGTGTGACCTGGGATGATGCAGAGACCGAGGCTCTCATGGAAATTTGGGCGAAGGACGCTATCCAGGCACATAGGTCCCTGAATGTTATAGGTGCCACCATTTTTGTTTGCATAATTCTCATCTTGAGAACTGTAATGTTGGGTTTAAATCCAGAGAAATGTGAGTTTAAGAGTTTAAGAGGACGAAATGATCAAACACAGACAGGGATTTGCAACGTCAGCCTCTGCACAGGGGAGAAGAACTGCTGGCTCACAACCAGCACCTTTTCTCACTGATCCCTTCACAGCAAAGCCTTTTATTAACAGTTTATTAGATAATAGGGCGGGTCTTAAACAGAAAACCCTGTAATGATTATCTGGCAGGATGCAGGTCATAAGACAGTGTGACTCTGCCTTATGACCTACTGGCCGGAGGCAGGTCATAAAGGATATGACCCTGAAATGACCATCTGGCTGGATGCAAGTCACACAACAGTGTGACTCTGCCTCCTGACCTACTGGATGCAGGTCATAAAAGTTTATGACCCTCCTGATTGAATCACAGGACAGAAATGTAGCATCTCCTTTCTTCAATGTTTCATATGCACACACATTAATTTTATAATTGTAACCCTAACATCATGGACCTCCGACAGGAGATGAGGATGTGCGAGGATGTGCTAGCGTGATGTGGAAATGGACGTAAGAACCAAGCTTGGCATCGTTAATGGATCCAAGCTCGGTTCTAACTCGGCACGGATCGGTTTGAGAGGATAGTGTAAATGGGGCATAAGCCAGGCTTTATATTAACGGCCATCAACAATTCCTAGTAAAAAAAATAAAAAAAAACAGCTTGTTGTATATAAATCTCTCCACATGTCAGATTCAGACTTAGACAGATTTTATTTTGTCATTTTGTAAACACAAGTGTATACAAAAAGAAATGTCGTTGAGTACAGCTCTCTAGACTTTTTTAATTAAGTAAGCAGCAGTGATAAAAACAATATGGGCATGTACTTTATGGGCAATATCTTTGTGTATATTTAGGGAAATATTTTCATACCTTTAAAATTTTTCCAGGTAATACTTAGGGGTGTAAATAATAATCGTTTTGTATCGATGCATCGATCCAACAGCCGATGATCCGATGCATCGATACGTCCGCAAGAGAATCGATTCATGTTTTTTTTTTCCTCCGGTCTATTTTTATCCATTTGCTCCTGGGCGTAATTCTCCCTCCCATGCTGCGGTGGCGCTAAACCTATTTTGCCCTCCTACCTCGCTTCCTGGTTATACTCTTACAGCAGTGTGTTGCAGTGAGCTTGATGCAGACATTTTTGATTTATGCTCAGTATTGAAGCGTGGTCTGTGCTACACGCTGTGGGTCTAGATACGGCCGAGGCGGCGAGGAAGTGGGGGCGAGTTTAGTCCGACGACGGAGGGACATGAGGGCCAAAAAGAGCGGAGATCCAGGTGGAAAAAGGGTCCCAGCGTTTTCGCGCACCTCGCTCTTCTAGCGGGTCAAACTTCACGAGTTGTTTTCCGAAATTTTGGTCATAAAAACAAACCAGGCCGGCCTCCTGTCTGCGGTCAGCTACAATCTGAGAGAGGAGCAGCGGAGCGTCTGTGGAGGGGGGGGACGTCTGGAGCCGAGGTATTGCTTTGAACTCATTGCACTGATTTTCTGCAGGATTTTTTGATGCCACTTTTCTACTTCTGTTATTTGCTGTTGTTTCTTAAAAAAATGCATAACGATATTACAGCTTTCAATGATTTATTTCAAACTTGAAACTTTGTTTAGCCTGTAAGGTGTAAAAAAAAAATAAAAAATTAACCGATTAATCGAATCGAATCGAGTCGTGGTGTATTCTTGAGTATTGAAAATAATCGAATCGTTGGGTCAGGAAATCGATGCTGAATCAAATCGCCATGATGGATGGGATTTACACCCCTAGTAATACTTTTCATAACAACCAGTTTAACCAGTTCTATTAGTTTAGCTGTTGACCCCTTGATAAATGTCAATTAAATGTAACTCAGTTTTAATGAGTACAAAACTTAAATGTTGTGCAAATGGATTCATGACACCTAGACAGCAATTCACCAGAATAAACTCAATCATTTATCCACATCCAATCAGGGGCTTTAACCCTAACCCTAGTCCTCAGAGCCGGCCAATCAGCACTCAGAGTCCAGATGTAAATCCACCCCTCAGCCTGCAACCCAACCAAGCTCCTGCATTCAACGCTCCTCCATTCCCTTCTGCACCTTCATCCTCCTCACTGCAGGGATTCCCTGGACATATGCTGCATTCAGGAGGCCTAGCATGCAGGCTGGTTGCCCACACATCTAACAGCAAAGTCAAAACGGCGCCCCAGGCGGACCTGGGTAAATTTCAAGGCAAGGCAAGGCAAGGCAAATTTATTTGTATAGCACAATTCAGTACAAAGACAATGCAAAGTGCTTTACATGATTAAAATACAGGAAGATAAAACATTGAATCAAAGCAAGTAGGAAAAAATAAAAAACAAATAAAATAAAATAAAAAAATGCAGAAACAAAAAAAGAATATTAAAAACAGTTGGATTAAAGAAAACATGTTTTTGTTGAATTGTTTAACTGGAACAGTGGAAGGCAATCCTAAACAAATGTGTTTTTAGTCTTGATTTAAAGGAACTCAGGCTTTCCGCACTTTTCCAGTTTTCTGGAAGTTTGTTCCAGATAAGTGGAGCATAGGAACTAAATGCTGCTTCTCCATGTTTAGTTCTGGTTCTAGGTCTGCAGAGCAGGCTGGAGCCATTTCAGCGCTAATGTTTCCTGCCGAGGTCTGAGCGCCAAACACTTAAATTATTGTATTATTAAAGCTTTTGTAATTTAAGTGTTTCTGTGTGTCTGCATGTTTTTAAGGTTGGAATTCTCCTTAATATAAAATCTTTTACATTTTGTCCATTGCAACCTACAGGAAGACGTATTTTATTGTATCATTGTGTGACAGACCAAGAGCTGTTTTACATTAGGTAAAGATTACATGAAAAGTTCTGTAAAATAAAAGTCTAAATTCGTATGATGATTATATATCATTTTCATATTATTCTGCCTTTAGAGTTACAGATGAACAATGAAGCATGTCGACCTCTAAGATCATAAAGAACCTGCTTATTTATGGCTGACTTGGCTGGAAATAAACAAAATGAGGAAATATTTATTTTCTCACGACAAAAACCTTAAACTGTAAATATGTAGAAACTGGTTCTTCTAAATATGGACAGAAAATATAAAGTTCTCGCTCAAATTAGCTGTTTAAGTTTTAATGATTGATAGCCGTGATCAAAATTTAAAAAAGGCTTTTTTGGATTTAATTTTGCAATTCCTTGAAGTGTCTAATCTATTAAGTTTTGTTTTATCTTTGTTATCTGTGAAGCAACTTTGATCGCTCTCTGTTTGAATGGGGTTTTATAAATAAATTGGTCTGACATGTATAGAGAGCTGAAGCTTTCTCCATTCTTTTTATTTCAATCTGAACTCAAGCTTCAGTTTTAGAGTCTTTTATTGGCGCCTTCTCTTATTAGATGACAAAGTAAATTGAGAGACGCTTTCACCACAGTAAATGCCAGTAAACTGTCATGAACTAAACCTTAACTGCCTGCAGGAGCGGATCCGCCTATCAGACTCTCTGGAGGCAAATATACGGAGGCCGGGAAATGCAAACCAACAATACAAAATCTAAAACAACTCTACATTAAATAGGCTATTGGTGTGTTGGGAAAATAAGCAATCTCCTATTAATTCTCTTTTGCATAAATTGTTTTCTGAGTGCTGAGATTCATTCAGGCCTCAGTGCTGCAAGGCTGCAAGGTGTCTGATTGAGAAGAGTTGTTTGGAAAAAGAAACACTTTTCCCACAACAGGTAAGATTCTTTCTGAAGGATCATTCACAACATTTCACTGTTTAACCAAAGTATCTGTAATAATTTCCCCTCATGTGAGACGAACTCTGTCCAGATCAGAACAGGGCAGAACATCATGCTGTTGTGATTGTTTTGTTCTCTTTACTTTGCAAAGTAAAGATGAGCTCAAACATCTATTATTGAGAACACAAGAGAACCACAGTACTCTGGAATTTATAGTTCTAGACAGATACCTGCCTTCAGTGCTTTATTTATAAAGGGTTTAAAACATTAATGTAGAAAAAATGACAAATAACAGCCGATATCGATGCCAACATCAATAGATCCTGCATCCCTAGAATGGACACTTCACTTCCATCCATCCATCCATCCATCCATCCATCCATCCATCCATGGCTTCCCTTTAAGCTGCATCAGCGATCATCCTCCTTCACAAGCAGCTAAATCTAATTTAGAAATTTGTCCCATATGTCATTGACAGCCAAAGTCTTAATATTGAACCTTATATTTCAAAAATAATTTATACACTGAATTATATTATTTGTGCATTAATTCTTGTTGGTTTCTTATATTTTAATTTTAAGGCTGTGTCCTGTGAGTCTCTGGGTTGCTGCTATTTCTGAGTCCTGCTAAACAAAAGACAAAAAGATATGTTGAATTTTATTATAGCATAGCGTATTTTTTCTTGTCAACTTGGATATATATTTTATTGAATGTTTCATATCCCAGTAAATCTATTTCTCCTTTAAATCTGCAGCTCTCCCTAATTGCGTCTCTGCTCTGCTTAAAAACAGATTTATGAACCTGTCTACTGATATAAAGATGCAAAAGAAAATCATTTTCCGGATCTCTAGAAGCTCTGATTCTCAAATCAACAGATCTGTGTTCATTTTAATTTGTAACTGAGTAATGGTCCTGAGAAGCCCAGCTTTTTTAACTAATATAAATGTACAATCGGTTTCCATTTTTAGCTGAAAAAGTTCCGTATGTAACGAAAAGATTTTTCGGTGGCATCTCTAAATTTTTTTAACCACCAGTCTCCTAACTTTTACTGAAACATCAAAGTAGCTGCTGGTTAATATTCACTAAGTGCTGCTGTGTCTCTCCTCCTCGTAGCGACTCTGTAAGCAGTGAACAGTGAACCCAAAGCGACAGATCCCACGATATTTCAACAGGTGGGACTGGAGAGTAACTTTGTATCGTCCGCCAGGTCCTTACTCTGAATGTTTAGATGAGTTTTCAGAGTTCCTTTCTGATTTGGTATTAAATACTGACAGGGTCATCATAGTGGGAGATTTTAACATCCATGCTGACATTGAAGGCGATAGCTTAAGAGCAGCCTTTAATGCTATCTTAGACACTATTGGCTTTGTTCAAAATGTGAATAGTCCCACACATTCTCATCTTCATACTTTGGATCTTGTGCTGACATACGGCATAGAATGTGAAGAAATAACAGTATTTCCTCACAACCCTGTCCTCTCTGACCACTTTCTAATAACCTTCAGGATTACTTTAACAGAGTTCTCCTCCCCCAAAAGAAGGTTACATTTTAGTAGATCATTATCAGATAGAGCAGTTATACATTTTAAAGAATCTGCTTCACTTTCTCTCTCCTCTGTGTCGCTGAGCAGTGCTGCAGAGTGCAAAAGCATAGCTTATTCCCCTTCACAGGTTGATGATTTTGTTGATGGGGTTGCTAGTTCTCTGCGTATTGCCTTAGACAACGCAGCTCCTTTGAAAATGAAAACCATTAAAAATAGAAAGCTTGCTCCTTGGTTTAATGCAGAGCTGCGTACTTTGAAGCAAAATGCTAGGAAACTGGAGAGAAAATATCGCTCCACAGGCCTGCGGGAGTCCTTCCTAGTCTGGAAAAATGGTTTACTGCTGTATAAGAGGACCCTTTGTAAAGCAAGAGCAGCATACTTCTCCTCATTAATAGAGGAGAATAAGAATAATCCTAGATTTCTTTTTAATACAGTTGCCAAACTCACCCAGAGCCATAGCTCTGTTGAACCGTCCATTCCACCTGCTCTTAGCAGCAATGATTTTATGGGATTCTTTATAAATAAGATTGATCTTATTAAAAATAATGCAGGGCTGCTAAATGCAGAGGTAATATTCCCGAGTGTGAGATCAGTAAAGTTCAATTATATTATTAACCACATGTATAGGATGCAGAGACAGGAACCAGGCCGGGTTCTTCAGTACAGAACTCTTTATTGAATGAAGCATAATAACGCAGCAGACTTCAATCCCCTAATATGAAAATAAATAAATGATTTTTTTTTCTCTCAGAAGCTCAGAACTGCAGCCGACGCTTCATCCATTTCCTGCCGACAGTTCAGCTGCGACGCAGAAACACCAGAGGGAGGTGGACCTTCTGCTGCGGAGCTTTTTGGCACGAGATAAGCGCCCGCCCGCGATGAGGGGGAGGGGGGGATAAATGATTCATCAGCAGTGCGTGTGGTTGGTTCATCCCAAACGTACCCACAGAATAAAACCATAAAATCTCAGAGAGAAGCGTTACCATGGCAACTAATTACAAGTTTTCCTTAATGAGAAGAAGACCTGCTGTGAAGGTCAGCCTACGTCCCTTTGAGCTCTGCTGCTTCAAACGCTAAAAGAAAAATGATTCCTGCAGAAGAAGAAAGCTCTGATCCTATGACTGAACATGTGGAGTAGAGAGGAGGGAAGATGGGAGGCGCCACTCTGACCAGCAGCTGGAGTGTGTGTGTGTGTGTGTGTGTGTGTGGAGGCCGGGTCCGTCCCAACAAACACGCCCTGTTTGATGTGACGGAGTCGGACTCCAACGTTCGTTGGATTTTCGAGGAAACTGCGATCAAAGCGTCATCAGCGCGAGTTTAGGGTCCGCTCTATCGGACCGTCGGGTTAAACTCAGCCCTCAGTGAAAGCTGCTGTAGTGTCAGAAACAGTGGAACCGGGTGGAGGGGGGTGGGTCAGAGTGGGCCCCGGGGCCGCTCTACTGCTGGTCTTTGAACGCGTCCATGTCGAAGGCCGTGTCCAGGAAGCGCCGCAGCTCCATCAGGTGGGTGTTCTTGTTTCCTGTGGCCGGAGCTGCAGCCGGGTCTCTGCCGGCGTACCTGAGACAAAAAGAGGGCGGAGTCAGAGGATGCGGGGCGCGGTCGGGCCGTACCTGGAGGGGGGCGGGGCTGCTCGTTACCCGACGTTCTTGGCCTTGTTGATGGTGGTCCGGATGCGAGGCTTCACGTAGTCGTAGTAACCCTGGTTCTTGTGCTCCTCCTGACACCACACCAGGTCGGCGTTGTGGAAACGCTCAAACTCCGCCTTCACTTGGTCGAACGGGAACGGGGAGAGCTGCAGGAGGGAGAGAGAGAGAGGAGGCGGGGCTAAAGACCTGCTCTGGTGCCGAGTGTCTGTCCCTGGGTGGGTTCTGGTACCTGCTCCATGCGGCTGATGGCCACCGTCTCATCCAGGCCCCTCTTCTTCCTCTCTTTGGTCAACTCGTAGTAAACCTTTCCTGTGCAGAAGATCAGCCTCCTCACCGCCTCCGGCCGCTCCGCCGCCGGCCCGTCCTCTGGGATCACCCTCTGGAAGTGGCTTCCTGCACACAGGGAGGAAGAGGAGGAGCGCCGAAGGTCAGTCTGGGAAAACACCTCAACCATCAGAAACATGTGCGGCAGCGTTACCCGGCAGCATCCCGTCGAAACTGGACCGGGCGTCAGGGTGACGCAGCAGAGACTTGGGAGTGAAGACGATGAGCTGAAGAAAAGAGAGGAAGTTCAATAAATCACCTCCTTTCAAAATAAAAGCCCATAACGAAGTGGAGGTTCTGGAGGGTACCGGCTTCCTGAAGGGCAGCAGGATCTGTCTCCTCAGAACGTGGAAGTAGTTTCCTGGACTGGAGCAGTTCACCACGATCCAGTTACAGTCGTAGAGCTGCCGGACCGCAAAGTCCTCCCCTAGTTTCTGAGGGACAGAACCAGGCAGAACCAGTTAGAACACAGAGACCCGGTCTGGCAGACTGGTTCTGCTTCACACAGGGCCTTACGGGCATCACGTCCGGGTCATCGTTGCACATTTGGAGGAACCTCTCAGGTCGAGCCGAAGAATGTTCTGGACCCTGTGGGCATAAACAGAGCGTCAGGACACGGAGTCCAGGCCCGGTTCTGTACGGGTGTGCGGCAGCCTCACCATGCCCTCCATGCCGTGCGGCAGCAGCAGGACGATGCCGTTCTGTCTGACCCACTTGGCCTGACCCGGGCAGATGAACTGGTCGATGATGCACTGCGCCGTGTTGTGGAAGTCTCCAAACTGGGCCTCCCACAGAATCAGAGCGTTCGGGCTCGCCATGGCAAAGCCCAGCTCAAAGCCTGCAGAGAAGCAGAACCGGCTCAGAACCTGGCTGAGAGGAAGAGCCCAACAGAACCTCAGAGGAACAGAACTGACCCAGAACTCCGTACTCGGACAGCGAGCTGTTGCAGACGGTGTACGGCGCCTGGTCCGGAGCCAGATGGTTCATGGGGATGCAGGTTCTCTTGTCCACGTTCTGGTCATGGAGGACGTGATGACGGTGGCTGAGAGGAGACAAGAAGCTCAGAAAACATTCTGGACCCAGCCAGAACCAGGCAGGCGGCGCCAGAGAGCTCAGACAGGGGCAGAACCTGATCCACTGGGATACTGCCAGGTGAAATGGACCTTGTGGAAGTGTCCTGATCAGGCTTCATCTAGAACTTTTGCTCACCTGAAGGTTCCTCGCTCCACATCCTGACCCGACAGACGGACGTGGATCCCCTCCTTCAGCAGAGACCCCAGAGCCATGTACTCAGCCAGGGCCCAGTCCACGGTCCGGTTCCGGACCATCTCCCCTCGGCTCTTCAGGATACGACTAAGACCTGATCCAACGATAACAGAGTCAGTTTATCGCTGGTTCCGTTCAGCAAAGCCGTTTAATCCATCTATGCGGGTCGGACCTCCATGGATGGTGAAGTCCTCTACGGGGACGGAGGACGCCACCTGGCCGATCTGGTTCAGGTTCTCCTCAGAGATGCCGGTGGACGGGCAGCTCATGGACTTGGGCTGTCCGTCCAAAGTGAAGAAACCTGAGGAGGACAATCGTTAGGTCAGCAGCAGAAGGACAGACTGTAGAAGCAAAGTTCTGGTTCCGCTATCGGGAACCTGCTCACCGGGCCATGGCGAGTCCAGCCAGTGCTTGATGTGCAGGATCTTCTCATCCTTAGAGCGAGCGTACGCCTCCTCACAGATCTTATCGTACTTGGCGATCTCCTCCTGCACACATCAAAAGGTTCTGATGTTTTACTGACTGGACCTGAAGACGGATCATTTGTTCTGCATAGGCAAACAAAGCACTGATCCTCTTGTTCAGGGTTCCGGGCTCCATCTTTTACCTCATACTCCTGTCGGCTCACGGCTCCTTCTGCGATCAGCTTCTCTGCGTATTTCTGCAGAACTGGCTTCTGCTTCTTGATCTGTTTGTACATCAACGGCTGAGTGAACATCGGCTCGTCCATCTCGTTGTGACCCATTCGGCGGTAACACACCTGGGGACAGGGGGACACGTTAGGACAGGGGGGCAGCAGCGGGTCCCTTACAGGAAGCAGAATAAACACTCACCAGATCGACCACCACGTCTTTGTGGAAGGTGGCCCTCCACTCTGCAGCCACCTTGCAGACGTAGATGACTGCTTCAGGGTCGTCTGCGTTGACGTGGAAGATGGGGGCGTTGACGACCCGAGCAACGTCAGTCGGGTACGGAGACGAGCGGGCCATGCGGGGGTCGGTGGTGAAACCAATCTGCACCCAGAATTGGGACGGTTAGCCTCTGAGAAGTTAACCTCCAGCCCAGCAGTGACTCCACAGGGTACCTGGTTGTTGACCACCACATGGACGGTGCCGTGGGTGGTGTAGGACGGCAGGTCAGACAGGTGGAAGGTCTCGTAGACGATGCCCTGACCTGCGAAGGCTGCGTCTCCGTGCAGCAGAATGGACATCACCTGCACACCGAACATGGGGACCGAGGTTCTGACTGATAAGCTGTTTTATTTCGGGTCGGATTGAGTGTCTCATTATGGTCAGGGATGCAGGTACTTCCTGAAGAGCGTTTCTTCTCAGACTTACCCTGTTTCCATCGGTGTCTCCGCAGTAAAACTGCTCGGCTTTGGTTTTTCCCTGAACCACAGGGTCAACGGCCTCCAGGTGAGACGGGTTAGCCACCAGAGACAGGGTGATGTTCCGGTCCGTCACTCTGTTGATCCGACGATGATACATCCCCAGATGGTACTTCACATCTCCAGAGCCCTGAGGAGAACCAACGCTTCATTGTTTACAGTCAGCTGCATTTTTAGCAGTGACAAGTGTGTGTTCTAATGAGCATGAATATAAACGGCAGAAGCATCTCCTCCTGAGGAAAGAATCAATATATCAACCAACTATCACAAAAAAAAACCCAACTGAAACCCAACACTGAACTGAAAAAAAACAAACAACCAAACTTTTTTGACCCCCGCTGTGTACTGTAACCATTTAAGTACCTCATCAGCAGCTTCCAGCCTTGAGTCAAACTGGCAGAAGATCTGCTCCAATTCTTTACGGATCACATTCGCCAGAACATTCAGCCGACCCCTGAAAGTGGAGAGATGAAAAGATGAGGGGAAAATAAAATCATTTGAGAAAAAGATGATAGGAAGAGAAGATTTTAACCATTCTATAACCACTGGATTGAATTATTTCAGCCTTAAAACGTTTACAGACCTACTCACTCTTATCTTCCTTCTCTGGACCTGTTTTTAGCCTCAGTCATGAAGAAATAACAGGTCTGCATAATCCTGTCTTGTTTTACCATTTTTAAGAACTTTTTAGTTTAATTCACCCAAGCTCTCAAGCAGTTTTCATTGTAGTAGATAATTTTTAACAACTTTTAAAGGCCACATATTATGCAAAATTCACTTTATAAACATTTTCGTAACAGTCAAGTGTCTTTAAGCTTTTTTTATGAGTTTCACAAATAAAAAAAAATAAAAAAAAACATTTGCTTCTATTATTGCCTTTTCTTGAAATGCTGTTGGAAAAGCATTCCCTTTATGATGTCATAAGGGGAATTTTGCTATCCAGAGCTGTCTGTAACAGCCCAACAGTTAAGCTACGGCCTTTGTCTAGTGTATTTTTCCACAATCCTAGGCTATCTTTACTAAGTCTGAATGCTTGTCATGGTTTTGGGATATGGAGGAGCGGCCTTGAGAAGGATAGTGGCATGGAAATCCAAAAAATCTAATTTAGAAGAGGGCTGAATGAGGAGATCTTTGGTAAAGGCCATCTGCCTAATCTGGGAAGAATTTTCCTGCACAAACGGAAAAAAAAATATTGCAGAACACAGAACCTTAAATCATCTTTTGCATATTATTGCATATTCCTTGATTCTAAATATCCTGGATGACCATGAGAGGGTGGTGCTGAAAACATTTAATGTAAGGGGAAGATTCTGTGCTTTAAGGAATGCTAAAGAACACGTTTTTTGTTTGAGTATCTTGATTTTAACCTTTAACTTCTATGTTGGATTAAATCCCAACAATTTTTTTAAAGGAAGTCTTGGCTCTGATTTCCAACTCCATTCTAGACATGATTAAAGTGAGACACACCACAGGTTTCTCAGGTAGCTGTAGTTAAACCTTAGAAACCTTCTCTGGGTCAAGAAGGTCCCGTTGGAAACACTTAAACCCTGATGTCTCCATCATCCTCTCCCTGAAGCTTTTACCTGTGAGGCATGCCCATGATGACGTTCTCCACTCCGTTCTCCGAGGATTTATCTATGATGGTCTTGAGAGCTGGGATCAGAGACTCGCATCCCTCCAGTCCAAACCGTTTCTCTGCAGACCACTTCTTCTGAAGGAACTCCTCAAACCTGACCACACAGACGATCAGATGAGCCACAGCTCCACCCTGCTTCTCCTCTAACGGACTGAAGGTGGGGCTTACCTGGTGGAGCGAACCATCCGAGCCAGCAGCGTTCTCTTCTCCTCCAGGGTAAACTGCATCACTCCTGGGGTCTCAATCTTCTGTCGGATCCACTGACACTGCTCCAGGTCGTTGATGAACATGAACTCCACGCCGATGTGCTGACAGTACGCCATCTGGGGACAAACGCATGCCCGGGTCAGCCGCAGCAGGAAGAGTTCCTCATCACGAGTTTCACCTGCTCCTCTGAGACCAACCGAACTGCCCACACCACCCCCCAGCACCACCTGCTCTTTACCTCCAGGCGGCGGATGATCTCCTTCAGCGGCAGCGCCGACTCTGAGCCACCGATGAAAGTGGTGGTGGGCAGCCGGAACACCTTGTCCAGGTCCGACTCGTCCAGACCGTAGAACCCTACATGTCCCATGATGCAAAGGAGGGAGAGGGACAGGAAGCAAGGAGGAAGATGAAAAGACACAAGATGAGGGAAGTGAGGAAGATTGCAGGAAACAGAAGGTTGAAGATGGAGATGTTAGAGACGAAGATCAGACCAAGACAGACGGACAGAGGAAGAGTTAAAACAGGAGGTTAGAGCCAATCAGCTGCTCACAGGAAGCAGGTCTTCACACACAGCCCACCATCAGGAGAGGAACAAAGAGAGGCTCTCTGATCGGATCGAGAACCTCCGATCTTATGTGACCTTCAGGTTTTAACATCTTTGCTCCATCATGAACTCTGATGGTTTTTCTCCACAGGTTCTGAAGCCAGCAGCTCATCCCTGCATGAAGCCCATTACTGAGAGGCCCGAGCAAACGCCCAGGATCTTCTGAGGTGGAGCAGAGCCTCTGCAGCTGCTGCTTGTTCTGGAAGATCAAGGTTCTCCTTCAGGAGATGAAAAACATGCTGAGCTGGATAAAAACCAGCTCCGTGTTTTAACGGAGAGAGATGCCGCCTCAGCAGGAGGCAGATCATTTGGAAACATCCAGTTCAGAGTCCTGCTTTACAAGCTGCTCTATTATCAGCCAGGCCCACAGCATAACACCTCCACCACCATGCTCCACCAACCAATGCTCTGGATCTCTACAGCTGTCTGATCTGAGTTCAGCTGGGTGTCTCCAGAACTCCTACAGTCTGCAGAGACCTTCAACATCTGCATGTTTGGTGACACTTCGTCTTCCGACCAGCAGAGGGCGAACTATTCATGGCTCACCTTCAGTGATTGGTGAAGCAGTAGAGGTGGAATGAACAGATGGATGATGTTTCCTTCAACCAGAACCGGCTGGTTTATATAATCATCGGCTCTCTGCTGGGTTTTGGACCTCAGTCAAAAGGTTCTGGGTGATTGACAGTTGTCTGGAACGTCTGACTCATTAAATCCTCTGATGGTGAGAACTTCCTTAGTCTGATGAAGGTTGGACTGGTTCTCTTCATCAAAACCTCCAGAATGTTTCTCAAACATCACCAACTTGGAGCAGCAAACTCAGACGTTCAGGAGACCAGGGTCCCCTGAGGACCAGAGCCAGGAGGACCATCAGTGGACCTGCAGTGACTCGGTCTGCCGCTTTCATCGCTTCTCCTGAGGTGGACCAGTAAAGTCAGTGAGATGTTCCTGAATCAGCAGCCAGGAGCTTCCAGGTCCCTCAGCTGATCTTTAGGAACATCTACTGTGGACATTTGGAAAACAGCATCAGCAGCCAGCTGAGACCAGAGCTCAGGAAAACTGGAGCTAATAAGATCAACGTGCTCCGGCTAATTTGTCCCAGTGGTTTCCATGGGAACGGGGATTGGCGAGTCAGATTAGCCTGGGATGTTTTCCAGCTCTGGTCTCAGAGGCCGGGTCCAAATCTGGTTGAGACAAAAACAAAATGACACGCTGCTTGACCAAGGTGATGGCATGAAGGCGTTACTATGGCTGGATGAGACGTTACCATGCTGGATACGGATGGAGGCAAGTGGACCGGGCCGGTTCTGGGTGGGTTCAGCTCATCATCAAACAAGCTTCTCATTCAGAAAGAAACCAGAGCTGCTGCAGCCAATCAGAGAGCCAGCACAGCAGCCTCAGCCAATCAGGAGGCTCTACAGCCTGCAAATAGGAAGCTGGACGACAAACTGCTGGACAGCCGAACCCGACGACGATCATCTGAGCCCAGGAGATCAGGAACCGAGCAGCTGTCTGAGTCCAGAACGTTCTCCCCGCTTGTTCAACGCGTCTGGAGCTTCTCCATCAGAGCATCAGCAGATGCTCAGAGGGGTTCTGGTTCTGCCCAGCGCCGCGGATCGTCTCCACGGGGGACATTCTGCACCCACAGGACGGTGACTCCAGTCCTGGAGGACCAGAGTCCAGCAGACCCATCTCTGCTTCTATGCACCAAAATTGGATCAGAACTTTGTAGAACTTTAACAGTGATGATTCAGCCCCGGGTTCTGGTGAGTTGGACTCAGGCTGATCTTAGAACCGGGTCCTGAGGAGGCGTCTGACTGTAGGGGAACCGTACTGAGCTCCACTCCTGGGTTTCAGTCGGATCCGTGAAGGAACCAACCGGAAGTTAGCTTAAAAAATGATTGGACTGGATCCAGGAACCGGTCTCATTTATCTTATGTTCTGATTAAAAAACTAAATCTGGGTCAGAATCTTCTAGAACAAGCGGGTTTGCTAGAACAGAGAGGAGAAAAGGTCCAGTTACTGCCGAACCCTGACAGGCTACCTGCAGGAGACCCAGATAGAAGCCGGTTCTGATGGACTTGGTTTGGGTTATGAACAAAGGTCTACAGAGCAGGGCGCTACCAGCAGCTAGAAGCTACCAACAGAACATGGACCTACAGCTGGCCCGGTCCGAACCTCCATCTGCAGTCCCACGTTTCCATCAGGGGGAAAACCCACAGGTTCTACCGGGTCATGGATCAGAACCGTCCTGTCTGCTGTTGTGCTAAACAGCATCCCTGGATGAGCAGAACCAGGACCTGTACCGGGTCTGGGAAGAGGTTCTGGATGGTTCTGTGGTGAAAAGTTTGAAACCATCCCGTTTAAAAGAGACCAGAACCATTTCAGTCTTTAGGAACCCAAATGAAACCCGGTTCTAGATCATTCTCTAGGAAACAGAAACATTGAACAGCGGAGTGTTGGACCGGGCAGAGCTGCAGTCTGGCGGACCGGGTCAGGACGGGCTTTGGTCCAGAACCTGAGCAGTAGAAGCTACAGAGGCAGCAGCAGCGGAGCTTTTCGTACCTCCGACCGTCAGCCGGTTCAGACGCTCCTGGAACAGGTCTGCAGGGCAGCCAGCAGGGGGAGACACACCCAGACAGCATTAATCAACCTCCGCATCACCGACCTACACACCACCTACTGCTAAGGCCAGCAGACGGCGCCGCTCTGGGTGGGGTTAGGACAGGTTCTGGCTGTGGCCCGCAGTGTAGAGAGGAGGGTGAGACCATGCCTGGGTTAGCAGGTCCAACAGAACCACACAGGAAGGACTGGACTAATTCCTGGAGCAGCGGACTCGCTATGATTCAGTCGCCAAATGAACCGGAACCAGACTGTCACCTTTCTACGGCGCCACAGAACCAGAGACCCTTCAGTCACGGGTCAACGCAGGACTCTGCAGCTGACCCCACCCACATCCCACATACACACAATGATAATTCATGAAAAGAACAGCTGATCCGGACTTCATTCCCGACCAGAACGCCACAGATTTGTTCATGGCGTGTAAAGTCTGAGCCGTTTCTAGTTACTTTGACATAAAACCAGATTTCTGTCTTGGTTCAGTCTGTTTTTGAAGATCAGTGCTGACCGGGAGACAACTCTTTAAAGATTAAAAGAAACAGTCCTAACTACGGCCCAGCAACTTTATGACTTAATTATCTAGAACGGGTTTACAACGTGAACAATGACCTAATACTCCAGGAGTATGAATATTCTGTACCTGTTGGTCCGTCAGGGTGAAGATGAATGAGGAAGACCTCCGGAGGTCTGAGGGGTTTATTCTGGGTTTAAATCTTTGGTGTCTGTGACGCTCATCCCCAGATCCGTTCATCTGCACTCATTTCACAACAGATACAGAATAAGTTCTGGAGCCAAAGCAACGATGAAACATCTGGGTCAGAACCCATTGTTCTGACCCGTCGACCTGTGGGCCCGATTGCTTCACCAGGAGGGCATGAGGTTCGGTTTTCTCTGGACCAACCAGGACAGATGTTCGGGTCAGAACACGACCATCAGCTAACAGACCGTCCTTCTTCTAAACCCATATGACACCAGAACCACAGCAGTGGAACCAGACAGCAGACATGAACGGGTCAGAACCAGCACATACAGCCCACCAATCGAGAGAAACGGGCCCACCGACCCAGGAAACACCAGCATCTATAGTCATACTTCTAGATTGAATAAACTAGAACCAAGCTCCTGGTTCTGGCCCAAACCAACAGGAGGGTCAGAGTCCAGCAGCGTTTAGCTGATATCAGCAGGCATCTCACTGCTGAGGCCGTGTGAAGGTCCTCCTGCCAGGAGACGACTCCCAACAGAACCAGTTTACCCTCCGGTTGGGTTCTAACTCAGCTGCTCCTCTCCTCTGTTGGGGACAGGAGCTTCTGCTTCGTGATCGTCAGAGGCTTTAAACAGAACCGGTTCTGTTGGTGTACCGGATCGGATTAAAGCCAGAATCAAGATGGATGGATCCCAGTTTGGGTCCATCATGCTCCATCCCAGCAGCCATGCTGTGGGGGATGTTATGCTGCCTCACTTTGGACCTTCAAGAACCATCCAAAGCCTGAGCATCAATGCCGACCCAGTGGACCCATCTTCACACAGGTCAGACAGTGGATCTCAGTCCAACAGAACCGCTCTGTCTCTCGTCATCAGAACCATCTGCAATATGAACCCAAACTTCTCTGGCATCTTAATGGATCGATTCAAAGAATCAAGGCGGTTCTGGTGGTGAAGGTGGATCCAACTGGCCAGCCGAGTCTAAAAACTGGGAACTTCCTGCAGATCTTCTAACACCAACACGCAGGAAGCAACTGAAGAACTAACTGTCTGAAATCCACCACTAGAGGGCAGCAGACGTCCCAGTGGGACCCTGGCTGGTTTCAGGCTGAACCAGTGAGACCAAACCATGACTGGTTCTGATCCGCTAAACGGGAAAAGAGTGTAGAGCAACGATTCCAGCTCCAGAGGATGGAGAAGTTCCTGCTAACTGCTACCTGTTCAAGAAGGTTCCAGAGGTTTCACACAGGGAGGGGGGAACCTGAAAACACTGAGACTTCCTCATATTTTGGGGGGGGGGTCCTCACCCAGCTTGTCGGAGGATGTGATAATGTCAGTGGGAACGCACGAGTCCAGATCAGCGTCCATGATGCCGAGGGGGTCCAACTGGGCCACATGGTGCCCCCGGATCTACAGGGGGCGACAACAGCACAGAACCCACCCGGGACAGGACAGGAGGAAGAGGAGCAGGACAGGGAGTGGGGGTGATGAAGAGCGTTAATGGGTTAAAGGTGGAAGGAGAGAGGAGGGGGATGGGTGGGTGAGAGGGAAAAGCAACATTAACACCAGAGTCTGAGTGCTGCTGCAGCCGCGGCGCTCTCACCGACGTCCTGGAAGCCGGCATTGACCGGAGCGTCATCAAAGTTCACACAGCTGATTCCCAGAGGATCCAGGTGGGCGCTGTGATGGCCCATCACCTGAACACACCCGGAACAACCACACACAGTTAGAGGACCTGACCCGCAGCAGGAGGAAGACCTGAGGAACCTAAAGGAGCGTCGCATTTATTCCAATCTGCTGTCCACTCATTTTACATGATGGACCTTTGACAATTGGACCTGAGGAACCATCGCAGCTCAGAGAGCTGATACTGGGACCAGTATCTTCCTACAGCAGGTCAGCTGTCCAGAACAAGGAGCTGCTGCTGGTCCCAGTTTGGAGTTCTGACCTAACTCCAGATATGTTTTTGAGATTTTGACTTTTTCATTTTTCTATTACATGTAGCGCTACGACTTTACTCTCCTAGCGCTACGACTTTACTCTCCTAGCGCTACGACTTTACTCTCCTAGCGCTACGACTTTACTCTCCTAGCGCTACGACTTTACTCTCCTAGCGCTACGACTTTACTCTCCTAGCGCTACGACTTTACTCTCCTAGCGCTACGACTATACTCTCCTAGCGCTACGACTTTACTCTCCTAGCGCTACGACTTTACTCTCCTAGCGCTACGACTTTACTCTCCTAGCGCTACGACTTTACTCTCCTAGCGCTACGACTTTACTCTCCTAGCGCTACGACTTTACTCTCCTAGCGCTACGACTTTACTCTCGTAACGCTACGACTTTACTCTCGTAACGCTACGACTTTACTCTCGTAACGCTACGACTTTACTCTCCTAGCGCTACGACTTTACTCTCGTAACGCTACGACTTTACTCTCGTAACGCTACGACTTTACTCTCGTAACGCTACGACTTTACTCTCGTAACGCTACGACTTTACTCTCGTAACGCTACGACTTTACTCTCGTAACGCTACGACTTTACTCTCCTAGCGCTACGACTTTACTCTCCTAGCGCTACGACTTTACTCTCCTAGCGCTACGACTTTACTCTCGTAACGCTACGACTTTACTCTCGTAACGCTACGACTTTACTCTCGTAACGCTACGACTTTACTCTCGAAATTTTATGAATTTATTCTGAAAATGTTATGACTTTATTCTTTTTAATTTTCGAAATAAATAAAAAAATCTCTAGCCTGGCCCTTATCTTTCGTACTTTAAGGACGAGATTAAAATAAACCAGAAGTTTCCTTTAGTTTCATGATAAAGTCTGAGGTAAGTCTGACTAAATAAAGCCCAAACTTTGTGTGTTTTACAGCCACTCCAGGACCTGTGAGGATATTCAGAACCACAGAAGACATCCGACTGTTCAGGTTAGGTTCAGTTTCAACTGTTAAATTACAGAAGTTCAGACTTTTAATAACTAACATCTAAATTCTCAGAGCTTCAAACTTATTTCTGTGCATTTAGTTGATTTAAGGTTTGTTCTTCAGAATCTGCTCTCCGAGGTTCTGGATTTAAAAGAAACCATCTGAGTTCTGCAGAACCAGATCCTGGTTGATGAACCTTCAGAGAAACCCTTCGGTCTTTAGTTTAATAACCAGGTTCTCTGTTCCTGAATCATTGGGGAACTTCAGATATTGATGAACACTGCAGATCTTCATCTTTGCTGATCTTTTCAGAATAGCTCTTTGTTCTACTGAGTCCCAGAACCACAGGCAGAGTTCCTTGGGTTCCCTCCTCAGCAGAACCAGCTCAAAGTCCAGCCGAGGCTGATAGGAACCAAATCAATTCAGGTTCAAAGGTCAGAGTTTTTAAGTTCCTCAAACCAGTTCATCTGGTTCAGGTCTGTTTATCAATGGATCATGAAATCAAGCCTGTGGTTCTGGTTCTCAGAACTCCACGCTACCCTATCGCCCTCGTTCATTGGCGGTTAGAGAGGTTCCGTTCTGGTGTTTGGACCCGAGTGAAGCCGACAGGAACCTGTTCTGTCGGACCAGGACCCTGAGGGGTGTGATCTTCTACCTGATAAGCTCTGATGAGGGACTGGACGGCCAGATGATCCTCCACCAGCTTCTCCACGTTGGGCTGGGCTCCAACCAGCGAGGACAGCTGTGGGGCTGCCAGGCCCGATGCCGCAGCCAGACCCAGAGGAGACTGATAGGCGGCGCCGGGAGGAGCACCGGCGTTGGCGTTACGGAAAAACACGTCCCACGACTGGAAGGGAGAGGAAGAGGAGAGGTCAGAGATGAAGGACTGGCAGGACACTTCTAGCAACATCAAACCAGTTTAGGTTGAAGTGGTTCTGATTCAGTTCTAGGATGGAGGCTTTTCTAATACTGATTCTATTTTCCTTTTCCTGTGATGGATGTTTGGGTCAGAGGGGCCGGTTAAAGGCTCGGTTCAGTACCTACTGGGATTGGGTCACTCCTCCTCTGAATTCAGTTTAAACACCAGTGCAAAGCAGATTCTGGCCGACCCAGTTCAGCTGTTGAAAGTTGAGGGATATTTGCTATTGATCCTTTATGTAAATCAGAAATATATCAAATATCGTTCAAATCTTTTAAAAGTCTCTCCCTGTTTGTTTTCCAGCCAATCAGAGGCCTGCGTTTCCAGCCAATCAGAGGCCTGCGTTAGGGATGCACGATATAATCGGTCCCCTATCGGTATCGGCCTTAAAAATGAATATCGGACATCGGCCACCCCACCGATATTTAACCCGATATTTGATCAGCTTCTGAGTTTCTAAAGTCTTCTTCCTCAAAAACTTCTTTTTTACAGACTTAAAAACTTCTAAAGACGAGGGAAAAAATATTGATACATTAAAATATCCCAATATCTTCATATGCTGATATATTGCCATTTAAAAACACCATATCAATCTCTTTTACTAATGAAATATTGCTATATGTCATCGTTATGCTACGAAATCCCCCGAAAATTCACCAAATGTTGCCATATTTTTATATGTTGATACATTGACGCGGTATCGATCTATTTTACTAACAAAATCTCACAAGAATTTGCAAAATATCACGAGAGTTTGTAACAGAACGATGAAATTTCACGAGATTTTGAAAGTAAAATAGATCGATACCGCGTTTTTAAAAATCTATTTGATATCAGCATATGAAAATATATTTGAGTTTATTATTTCTCAAAGTGTCAGAAATGGATAACAAAACTGCTATTTTCAATGACTACTTATTTTTGTCCAGCTTTAACATCAGTATCGATATCGGTTATCGGCTATATGAGTTTTAAAATATCGGCATATCGGATATCGGCCAAAATCCCAATATCGTGCATCCCTAGCCCGCGTTTCCAGCCAATCAGAGGCCTGCGTTTCCAATGGGGAAAGCTTGACCAGTAAAGGTGTTTATGATCTGGTTAGGGCTGCAACAACGAATCGATAAAATCGATAAAAATCGACTTTTAAAAGCGTTGGCAACGAATTTCATCATCGATTAGTTGTGTCGCGCGATTATTGCGTCATCCGCTGCGCCGTCATCACTGCCTCTTGACTGAAAGAGGAAGAAAAAAAAATACGGCAGAGTGAGTCAGCGCCGCAGGTGCAGTGTTGCCAACTCCGCGACTTTTCATTCCCCTCCAGCGACTGTTTTTCAAAAAAGCGACTAGCGACAAATCTGGCGACTTTTTTCGGTGTCACTGGCGGCTTTTGGAGACTCTTACGTGAAAGCATGTATCATTCCTACTCTGCCGTGGGGCGCCTCCCCCACCCCAACCGCGTTTTCCCGCAGGAGTCCCTCTCAGTCAGAGCCTCAGCGTCCAGACTGCAAATGAAGCGCGCATGCACCGGGATTGACGGCGCAAATTGATCACAATAATTAAAATAGCCTGCGCTTTGTAAAGCGAAAAAAGTGATAACATGCAACTTTTTTCAAAAGAAATTAACATGGCACGGAACCACCATGTTTGTTTGGTTTTAAAGTGGGGAAACGTAACGTTAGTTTCTCAGGTAGCTCATCTGATGCTTTCCTTACCGTGTTAGTAGGTTACAGACAGTGATAAGGTTGGCTACTTATTTTACTTTTAATTTCATTTGAATTAGCTTAAGCAGCGTTTACATTTACTTTATAAATAAATTAACTTGCAAATTATGAGGGCAAGGCTTTTAAAGTTTAAATCTTCTGGCAAAGATAAAGTAAAGATGATCCTGCAATTTATAGAAGTAAAGCAGAATAAAATCCAGCAAGATCAGTAATATGTCAATTAATTATCTGCCACATTCCCATGTAAATATCTGTCTTTGGAGGATGTGTGTTTTAGCACCCCTAGTTCTCTCATTTTTATTCCAAATACAATTTATAATTTGAATCACAGGGCTATTTTTATCTCTATGGTTCAGTATTTTCTCAAGTAGCAACTTTAACTGCTATACTTTCCTGTCTTAAAAGGCAGAACTCTTCTAGTCTAAAAAAAACTCATTTGTTGAAATGGGGGGGCCTATTGTTTGAACCCCTTAGGGGCTTTAAAAACAAAAATGTCTTTTTTTGCGCTTTATGAAACAAAGTACCCTATATTTTGTGGATGTACAGCTACATTTCTCATGTAAGTTTGCGTAGTTTTAACACAAACATTTATTTTTCATATTGCACCAGTACAGTTAATGAGCAACCTGTACTTGTGTGCTTGTTTGTTCTGTCTATAATGTTTATTTTGGAATAAAGAGGTTAATATAAAAAATATTTTTTGTCCGATTAATCGATTAATCGAAAAAATAATCGTCCGATTCATCGATTTTTAAAATAATCGTTAGTTGCAGCCCTAGATCTGGTCTCCTTCAGCAGAACAACCACTTAAACAAGGACCTGGGTTCTGGATCGTTCTGAAGGAAACCGGGTCTGGGTCAGAGTTCTAAAGGTCAGAGTTCTAACAAGAGTTTTAACGGTCAGAAACTCCTCGGCCCAAGTTCTAGCGGTCACATTTCTAAAAGTAAGAGTTTTGATTGTCCAGGTTCTCACTGACAGATGTCCTTAAGGTTAGATTTCTAAAGGTCAAATTCCACCACTAAGAGGTATATTATTTATTTTTTACACCATGGATCAGTTTTTAAACGTTGCTGTAGTCATTTTCCAGAGTTCCTGTGAATAAATCTGATTTTATTACTTTTGGCCACTCAGGGTTGACTGAAACAGTCCAGCCAGAGCTGGGGTGGCTCTGGCTGGAGGACCAGCAGAACCAGATGGGACATTAAAGTAGAGACAGTTCAGGTAATAAAAGCTGGACGGGTCTCAGCCATGGTGCCATAATCCGCCTCCTGACAGCGTCTCTGTGTGGTGCTGTTATGGATCAATGTTCTGCCCAGAATGAATGTGTTGGAATCTGATCCTGACCAGTTCTGGTGTGGCGGGCCTGTGGCCTCAGCAGAGACAAACATGCAGCTAATTTTAGCATCTGTCTCCTTTACCACCCAGACCCCTGAAACACCATCAGCTCTGATGGCCTGCAGCCGGGTCGCGTTCTGGTTCCGGAACCAAAGGACTGAGCAGAACATGTCCGTTTGTTCACAGTTCAGTTAGCAGACACGACAGAACCAACGGGTCACCTCCTCAAACCCGCACCCAGAGATCCTCGGCTCTGATGTTCAGGGTGGAGTTGACCCAGAACAGGTACCAGACCAGTTCCGGTACCAGAACGGGTCAGGAGCACCAGGCCTCCTGGTTGACTCATGTTTCTCAGAACCAGCAGAACTAAAAGCTTCAGAACCAAACTCATTCTTTGCTCCTGGACCTCAGTCTGAGGAGCTCATCTGTTGGAATCCCTCCGCCTGCAGGGAGCGCCACGCTGCTCACCTTGTGGACACTCTTTGGGTTCTCCAACCAGGCGTAGTACATCTCCTCCACATAGTTGGAGCTCGTCCCATTCAGGAACGGTTCAGAGGCCACAGGTGTCGAGTAGCACCTGATTGGCCGAAACGTCCTTGTGCCGACTCCATTAGCAACTGTGATTGGCCGCTGTTGGCCGACAGTCTGAGCCGCCTGCGAGGCGGTGAGCGGACGCAGTCGCGCCGCACAAGTCCTTAAGCGATGCATGAGCAGTCCTTAAAGCGTCACACGCGCACCGTGGCGGCGATGGGTCCGACGGTCCGGACGTCCTCAGAGAAACGAGGGAAAATGGACTCCACCCGGGCCTGGACAGGAAAACGGCGAATCAAACGTCCACTGTGGGAGAGAGACACAGAGTCAGACGGCAGCAGGAGAAAAATAAGGCTTTAATATTTAAAGCAAAGTTCTGCAGGATTCTCTGGAACCAGGTGAGGAGTTCTGCTGGACCTGAACATCAACATCCAACCAGAAACAACCCAGGTTCATTCCTGCCACTTTGGTTCTCAGCCTCTAGTTGACTCCGCCCCCTGCAGCAGCCCGACCCAACCGCCTCTGCTCTCATCTGCCAGACCCAGAACCAAGAGGAAGCATGGAAGCCAAGATCTAAACGGACCCAGGAACAGGTTTCCAATCTACCTGGAAACCCGCCTGTTCAGGAAGAACTAAGCACAGAACCAACCCGACTGTTCCGGGTCTTGGAAACATTCTGCACCAATGAGCAGCTGGGTTTTACTGGGTTAAACGGGTCAGGATGACAGAGTAGGTCCAGATCATCTGGGTCAGCACCAGGATGCATTATGGGTCCAGTTTGAAGCTATAAAGAAGGTTCTGTTGGATGAACCGGGCCAGAACATCCATATGGATGCTTAACCGTTTACAGTCTGAGGCTTCGACTCTAGAGGCTCCAGATGTTCCATCAAACACATCTGGTCCATCTAGATCTGGACCTAATGGGGCTGTGGAACGCCTGGACCAGAACTCTGCAGTGGTGGGTGAACGGGTCAGGGGGATAAATCTGAACTTTATTCATCTTAATCTGTGGGAGTTGAACTCAGAACCTCAGGGACCCGGCGCACTGCTCTAAGCACTAAAGCTCGGCCACCCCCCAGTAGAACCAGATCATTTCATCATGGAGGAGCAGGTTCTGGAGCAGCTTCTTTTCCAGCTCCTCTCCTTGTCGTCTCAGAACCAATCAGATCAAAGATCCAGTTGCTTCGGTTACGCTCAGGCTCTGACGGCTGGAAACCAGATTCACCCTGACCGGAGCAGCAGTCGATCGCTGATGGTTCTGATCCAGCTCCATCAGGTCTCCATCAGAACCGAGGACGGTCTGGTCATAAAGTTCTGGTTCTGAACACGTCCTGTCCAGGTTTTTGCTTCCCCTTAACTGCTGTGAACATGCCAGATTCTGGACCTACCGGGGTCTGGACCTGCCAGGTTCTGGACCTGCCAGGTTCTGGACCTGCCAGGTTCTGGACCTGCCAGGTTCTGGATCTGCCAGGTTCTGGGCCAGAGTCCGGTAGAAGTCAGAGTCTGGTCCTGGTCGGTGTGGAAACAGGCTGTGGTTCTGGGAAGTTCTGGGAGCTCCCCTGTAACAGGACCCGGCTAATGCTGGTTCTGCCGACCCGTCAGACCCTCCGCCCAGTGCAGTTCCTGTGTTTTGACCTTGGTGTTCGGTTCCGCTCCTGTGTGGACACGCCCACCGCCTGCCCAGCCGGCCACCTGATTGGCTAGTGGTGGGACAGGAGGCCCGCCTATTGGCCGGTTTAACTGTCAGTAACTTTGTCCTTTCAGGAGTCATGAGTTCCAGAACATGAAAGTTTTGATTAATGCTGAGAAACTCCTCCGCTCAGGATGTTTAAACAGCTGAAACCGCTCCGGCTGTAAAGTAGTGCGGTGTATCCCTCCGCCGGGAGGCTGGTTAGCTTCAGGGCTAACCGGTCAGGTTATGTAATTAGCCGGTTAGCTCCGCAGAGCAACCGAAGCTATTTACATGTAATTAGAGGCCTAAAGCTAAGCCAGCATCTTCCCCAGGTGGGGGCCATCCAGAGCGGCTGCAGGTCGGACAGGTGAGGCCGCTTTTTCCAGGTGACCTCGGAGTTCAGCTCACACCGCGGTTAGCTCTCACGAGGCTAGCGGCCGGCATGCTAACAGCAAGCAGAGGTGTTAGAAACGATTCAGCTCCAACTGAAAGCCGCTTCATCCGTCAGAGCGCGGCAGGCCGCCTCTTCTCACACCCACAGCCGCCCACCGACCACCCTGAGCCGGGTACTGACCTCCAGAAAGCGTCCTAGCGGCTCTGCCTCGACCAGTCACCCCGGACGCCCTTCTTCTTCTTCTTCTTCTTCTCTTCTATTATGGCGGATCACAAGCAACTTTAAGGTGCATACCGCCACCTACTGTACATGAGTGTGTAGCAGCGTTACTTCACATCTATTAGATTCTATTTTTTAATTTTGTATTCTTAAGATACAAAAACAATGCTTTCCTTAGTTTATGAATATCTGTTATGTTTCCTTCATTTCCTAATATTCCTTTAAGATTCCATTCATGCCCTATACTTCTAACTATTCTCTTTAATTTTTCCCTTTCGTGTTCATATAACTTACAGTTCATCAGTATGTGTTCTACATTTTCTTTTTCACCACATTTCTCACATTTCTCACTATTTTTCCTCCCTATTAAGTAAAGCATGTCATTTAAGTAGGTATGACCTATTCTTAATCTACTAACTATTATTTCTTCTCTTCTGTTTCTTTCATTAATGTTTCGAATTCGAACTGACTTTTGCACTTCATATAATCTTCTTCCTTTCCTATCTTCGTTCCATATTTTTTGCCATTCCTCCATTTCTTTACTTTTAATAAGTGATTTCCCTTCCCCTTTTCCAAAAGGAATTGAAATCGTTATTTCCCCCTCTAAAGCCCTTTTAGCTAATTTATCTGCCTTTTCATTGCCTTTTACTCCTTCATGTGCCGGCACCCAACAAAACCAAACATCAATGCCACCCCTATATAGTCTAAATAAAATATGATGAATTTCTAATACCAAATCTTTTCTATTATTTCCTTCTCCCTTAATACTTTCCACTACTGCTTTAGAGTCTGTGCACACCACCACCCTGATTGGTCGAATCTCCTCCACCCATTGCAAGCCTAATATAACTGCCACCATTTCTGCTGTAAATACCGACAATTGATCTGATATTCTTTTGTGAATACATTTTTTAAACTCTGGGATATATATTCCTATACCCACATAACCTTTTAGATTTTTAGAACCATCTGTATAAATTTTAAGGTAATTATTATATGTAGTTCTTAAATAAATATCAGTTTTTATCCCTATTTCATTTATATTCCAATCATTTTTCATTGTATTGATTTGCAAATCTACATTAACCCGGACGCCCTTCTTCTCTCCCGGTGAAAAGATGACAGTGACGTTCCTGACGTCATGACGCACGTCAGACGGAGCGTAAAGTTTCTTCTAAACTAATTGGTTAATAATTACATAACTAAATATTTGCTTCTCATATTTAGCTGGAACTGAACCAGTCTGATATCCTTCTGTTCCAGTAAAACCAATCAGTCTAAACTTAAACATTCACTGGATCAGGAAATATCTCTATGGATTTAAATTCCTAATTATATCTTCTCTAAACTAACAGGTCTTCAGTTTTAACTTCAATCTAACTATGATATTAAAAAATGACCCCATAAATCTGACCAATTAACACCTTTCCAGTTGGTTTGATAATGAGATCATTTTTAAGCTAAACTCTTTAAGCATCTTTACTCTTATTTAAAGGTTTTATCTTCCTATTCTGTTCCTGTGGCTCCCAGAGAGTTTGCCATCATTTTGTTGTTCCTAAAGAAACTCTTATTCTCTTTAAAGGATGTTGCTTCTCTGTACAGGACAGGACTGCATGTAGTCTCTCTTTCAGGGGCGGATTTAGGAAATCCGGGGCCCTAGCCAGTGTTGGGAAAGTTCTCTTTCTACGTGAACTAGTTCAAAGTTCAGTTCACACATTTTAAAATGAACTAGTTCAGTTCATAGTTCTTTTTTTTTTTCATATATTGCTCAATTACACCATAGCCTACTGTAGAACCACAGACGGCAATTATTTTATCAGTTGTAACTCTGAAACTGTGCGTCAGATTTCATCTTCATATCCAGTTTTGAATCCTTATCCAACCAGGGTTTACATTAGCATTGAGGGGACAGATTTCCCCATTGTTGCTTTAACGCTTTGTTGCTGTCCATTCACTTCACACTAGTAGCAGCTGCAGCTTTCACCCCTACAGTATATTCTCAAAAACATCAGGAAAAATGTGCTGCTTGAATGGTCTTTTTTATGAGTAATTATTAAAAGAAAAATAGGAAAGTAGTCTTTAAGTTGCAAATGTTTTTTTTTTTTTTTATATATTTTTTTTCCATTTGAAATTCCATTTCAATACATACTAAAAAGGAATCATGGAATCCTGGAAAATTATACCAGGCAGGTTTAACAAACAAGTTACATGGATAGTAAAACCATCAAGAACAGGGGTCTTCTATGTTTTCCAGACCAAGGACCCCCAAACTGATGGCGAGATGGAGCGGGGACCCACTAACTATATATATTGTATGAAATTGTGTCCTATAGTCACTCTATTACAGATGGAGTAATGTAAAGAAATTAATTTCTCCCTGGGATTATTAAAGTTTTTCTGATTCTGATTCCTGGTTGATGGGACAGGTGTTGTGAAGGAAACGGTGCCCAGCTTGAAAGAGCTCCTGTGTGTCGCTGAATGTGAGCATTGATGACTGAAAGACATCTTCTGCCTCCATTTATCTGTTTACTACAGTGTGTTGATTTCATGTTAATGAGTATTTAAAGACATTTCAATTAGTGGGGGAAAAAATGCAGGGGGGGAATATAAAAATATCAACTAACCATGCAGACCTTCATGCAGTACCTCCGTAGACCCTCTAGGGGTCGCGGATCCCCTGTTGAAGACCTCCGCTCAAGAAGATTTTACTAACACAAACTGAGGGACCAGGCTGAGGTAGGAATTTAAGGTTACTGAAGTGCGGATTTTTTTACTGAAAGCCGGCGGGCGAACTTGTTGCCATCATCCTCACCGACCACCTGGTCATAAACCTGTTTTAAGTCGCCTCCATGCTGCTGTGGCTTCCACGCTGCATTTTGTTTTGATGACGCACGCGGCTGTAGGCTACGACGCTGGTAGCTGCTGTTGCCAGATTGGGTGTTTTTCCCGCTACATACAGGTGCTGGTCATAAAATTAGAATATCATGAAAAAGTAGATTGATTTCAGTAATTCCATTTAAAAAGTGAAACTTGTATATTATATTCATACATTACATACAAACTCATATATTTCAGATGTTTATTTTGTTTAATTTTGATGATTACAAATGACAACAAATGAAAATCTCAAATTCATCATATCAGAAAATTAGAATATTACTGAAGACCAATAAAAACAAAGGATTTATAGAAATGTTGGCCAACTGAAAAGTATGAACATGAAAAGTATGAGCATGTACAGCACTCAGTATTTAGTTGGGCCTCCTTTGGCCTGTATTACTGCAGCAATGCGGCGTGGCATGGAGACGATCAGTCTGTGGCACTGCTCAGGTGTTATGATAGCCCAGGTTGCTCTAATAGTGGCTTTTAGCTCTTCTGAATTGTTGGGTCTGGTGTATTGCATCTTCTTCTTCACAATACCCCATAGATTTTCTATGGGGTTAAGGTCAGGAGAGTTTGCTGGCCAATTAAGAACAGGGATACCATGGTCCTTCAACCAGGTACTGGTAGCTTTGGCACTGTGTGCAGGTGCCAAGTCCTGTTGGAAAATGAAATCTGCATCTCCAAAAAGTTGGTCAGCTGCAGGAAGCATGAAGTGCTCTAAAACTTCCTGGTATGTGGCTGCGTTGACCCTGGACCTCAGAAAACACAATGGACCAACACCAGCAGATGACATGGCACCCCAAACCATCACTGACTGTGGAAACTTTACACTGGACTTCAAGCAACGTGGATGAAGTGCCTCTCTTCTTTTCCTCCAGACTCTGGGACCTTGATTTCCAAAGGAAATGCAAAATTTACTTTCATCAGAGAACATGACTTTGGACCACTCACCAGCAGTCCAGTCCTGTTTCTCTTTAGCCCAGGCAAGACGCTTCTGACGCTGTCTGTGGTTCAAGAGTGGCTTGACACAAGGAATGCGACAGCAGAAACCCATGTCTTTCATACGTCTGTGTGTGGTGGTTCTTGAAGCACTCACTCCAGCTGCAGTCCACTCTTTGTGAATCTCCCCCACATTTTTGAATGGGTTTTGTTTCACAATCCTCTCCAGGGTGCGGTTATCTCTCTTGCTTGTACACTTTTTTCGACCACATCTTTTCCTTCCCTTCGCCTCTCTATTAATGTGCTTGGACACTGAGCTCTGTGAACAGCCAGCCTCTTTAGCGATGACCTTTTGTGTCTTGCCCTCCTTGTGCAAGGTGTCGATGGTCGTCTTTTGGACAACTGTCAAGTCAGCAGTCTTCCCCATGATTGTGTAGCCTATAGAACTAGACTGAAAGACCATTTAAAGGCTTTTGCAGGTGGTTTGAGTTAATTAGCTGATTAGAGTGTGGCACCAGGGGCCATCAATTTTGAACCTTTTCACAATATTCTAATTTTCTGATATGATGAATTTGAGATTTTCATTTGTTGTCATTTGTAATCATCAAAATTAAACAAAATAAACATCTGAAATATATGAGTTTGTATGTAATGTATGAATATAATATACAAGTTTCACTTTTTAAATGGAATTACTGAAATCAATCTACTTTTTCATGATATTCTAATTTTATGACCAGCACCTGTACAGTGTGAGCAGGTAGATCGCATCAGAGTGTCGAGTCGCACATATATCGTTAGCTGTGAGCTCACATTGTGCGACGAAACCCTGCTGTTTTGTCGAACAGTGTGAGCAGTAGCTGCATGCAACGATTGAGCTTTAGTTTCTCTAGTTTTAGTCAAGAGTTTTTAAGGGAAATATGTTTGACTTGGAGCTGAATGATTTATGTTAATCCCAAATTTTAATGGAATTTTTGCTGAATTTATTTCATGAATGTGCAGAATTATCTGTTTAACCATTATTTGAGCTCGATTCACTCTTTCATTTGTTGTTCTAAACAGTCCGAATAATATCTGATCAAATAAGATATTTACCCCCCTACCGGGGAGGGCAATAAATATACTAAAGTATCAAACATAATATGGCGTCCCTGGGTGAGGACTGAATATAACAGTCATTCTGCACATATATGAGTATAAAACTTAGAGCCATTATTGATTAACCGTGTGAAAGCATTAATGTCAGAGGAAAATATAACCTTTGGCATTCCGGGAGTTTAGTAATATAGAAATGTATCAAAAGCTAATATCTCTAATATGTCTCCTCAGCTAGTGATAACAAACATAACTTCAAAGCAATCTGATTACTTTGGTCCAAATAAATTGACAGATTTTCCTTCCAAGTTAACCTTATTGTTTGACCGAAATTTATGCACATCTATACCTAGATGTTGCCATTTATGGGTTTTTTAACCACATCCCAAAAACTAAAACTCCCAAGTTATACTATTTCAAAGTCACTTCCAGTCCAAAATAGCTTAAATGCCTCGAAATTAAACTAAATTTCTTTGCCTATTAGTCTGATAAGACTCCTAAACACTTATTTTATATTGTGTAGAACAAGATTTTTTGCTGTATTTAATGTAATCCGAGGTCTAACCAACCGAAGGGGGTTGATTCAATCTAAATTGCTTAAAATCCTTAAAGAAAAGGTGAAGCATAAACTAATTAGCTAGTAAATCCTTAAAGGTTAAGCTTTGCACCAAACAGCTAATAAATCCTCAGACAGATAAAGCATGCGCTAAAATGGCTAAAGCCTAAAATACAGAGTGGCATCTTTAACAGCGAAAGAAAAGTGTTTCTTTGATATCACAGGTTTAAAGATAACCTGCAACCCGTTTCTACACACTTAAAAATAAGTCCTTACAATATGTACATGGAAATATACAAATATAGTGGATAAGGACTGGATTGTTCTTTTGAAACTTCTTGTTTTTCTGCCAGCAGCTGAAAATTGATTCAAACATTCTCAACGCTGCGCGCATCATTGACTCCACAGGCATAGAGAAACAAAAATTCCTAGTTGCAAACCTTATCCACTTATCTCCAGATGAGTTGGATAAGAAGAAGAAAAGATCCAAGAATGAACTTAATTCAAAACCCAACTGAAAACATTCTGATGTCATTCTGTTGCATTGGCGTAAATACGAACTAGAAACTTAAAGATAATATAAAGCTTTAACCTCTGCGCTTTTAAAATGGACAGAGAAACATGGATGAGCTGAAACTGGCCAGCAGACATCTAACCAAGCAGTCTAACTCCTCCCGACCAGAAAGTGGTCCAGCTGGGTCGGCTGGTTCTCGTTCCGCACCGTTAGCCGGTCGATCTGCTCTACCCAGAATCCTCGAGTGGAAAAGTTTCAGTTTGACCTGGTTTAATGCTTTAACTCCTTATAGGGAACGCAGTTAAATACTTTGAAAATCCACATTTCCAGCCAATAGTGTTATTGGAATCAGGAAAATATTACCTTTGGAACATTGAAAAAGATGGATATGTTGATGGCAAAAATGGATGTCAATGTAATAAGAAGAAACACCAACTTGCTCAAATATATTAAGAAAAATAACAAAAGTGCTTCTAGAAGAATTTTGTTTGGTCCAACATAACCTTAGAGGCATTAATGCTGACACTGGCACTGACATTTTTTAATTTTTAAAACCTAAATATAATTGTTAACTAGGCTTATAAACTTTTTAATTAGCTTTTTACCTTTTTTCAGCTTAATTTCCAGTCTATAATATATTATTGAAGGGCTCATCTAATTGGTCAAATGCTAAAATCAGATGTGCAGCCATGTAGCAGGATCTCTGCTGAATGGCTGGTTATAGATCTAGTGCTTCTAGATCTCACTGAGGGACAGAGGGGACTCCATTTGTAAGAGGTATGCAAGTGATCAAAAATGCTAACTTGCCCTATAAAGGGTTGAAAATGTTTTCTAAGGATCATTTTCCTATCCAGTTATTAATCTATGCATTGTAAAGATAATCAACAGATTAGGAAATTAACGGTTGGTTGCAGCCCGAGCTTAAACCACCATGAGGTCGAGTGAAGGTCGGTGTTCTGGATCAGAACCGATCCGATGGCGGCAGCATCCATCCTCTGACGCCAACGCAGCCCCCTGGATCTGACTCACTTATTGTCTTCATCAGAAACACATCAGTGTTGCTATAGCAACCTGCATCTCCGCATGTTCTTCCTCATATATAAAACCAACCAAGAGGAAAAGCGACTGCGTCTGGTGTGTGAAATCACGACCATTAGTCTGGCAGAAAGTGTTGAAGTTTAATAAGGAAATAAAACATCTGAAATGATGTGGATGAGCACGGACACACAGAATCATATCTCAGAGCAGAAACAGCTTCCTATAAAATCAGTGTGTTTGTAACAGACGTCCATCCGTCCCCCTGCAGCCAACAGGCTCTCCATCCATCACAGATTAAACCGAGCCTAACATCCAGTAGAGACCTTTATCACCCTGAGTCTGTCTCAGGCTGCTGAAATCCGTCCACCTTTACAAAAAGCAGGCTGAACTCAAACTGTTAGCAGAGGTGCAGGAAGGAAAAGCTCACTGTGATTGGCTCACACAACATAACTACTTTAATTCCTCTTTACATTTTAAAATGTGATTATATTTATTTATATATATTTATATATTATTGATTTTTAAATTTCAGACTGTTGCAGCTCAACTCTGTTGATTATCTCAGCCTGAATTCAGGGATTAGAATGGCCTGACCCGACGCTCCGTCCACATCCCAAAAACATCTGCATTTAATGATCAGCGGACTGATCCGAAGGTTTAAACATCTAATTCCTCTCATGTTTAGGCTCAAACCAACCAGGTCACCTGATCATCATCAGTTTCTGCCATATATTAACCTTTTTTAGTCAGAACCAGGAGTTTATGTCCTGAGATACGCAACAAACTTTGATCCAATCGCTGATTCAGTCTTTCCTAGTTCAAACTAAACTCATTTGACTTCTGTCCAAATTAAAGTGACAAAGCACCATTGTGTTCCTGATCCTCGGCAGCAGCGCCCCCTGGCGTGGATAAGGTGAAAGAAACCAGATTTAGATTTTTCTTCCGGGGTTTAATTTGAACACATCTTAATATTTTTCCTCTGCTTTCTAACTGGAACTGACAGAGGAACCTTTTATTGGATCAGGGCATTAAAGGGCCGGTGGCTGAATTGTGGCGACCTCTAGTGGCATTAAATGAACATTACAGGAAAGTGAAGACTCCATTGTTGGCATTTCCATCTACCCACAGAAGCTAAAGTAATCTGGCCTGCTAAAGGACCCCAGTTGGTTTGTCTCCTCCTGGCTGCCGTAGTGAGCCGATGACAGAGAAACAGCAATTAGAAATAAAGTCATTTTCAGCTTTAGGGGATGAAACCTGCTGTAAATCCATCTGTTTTTGTGGAGGAAGAATGGAGGATTTAGTGCAGAAGGGAAGGAGTGTGAGCATCTGATGAGTCACTGATGTGCTTTCAGGGTCGGATCCCTGCAGCGTGTTCTGACATGCAGTTGGTTTGAGCCTCAGCAGGAGAAAAGTCCTTTAAAAGTGAAGCGACTCGTCTCACGCCCTGATTGGGTGTTGGACAGTCATTGGCACCAAGTTAGCCCCAACAGTGGAGTCCTGTGCAAAACAAGCAGGGGAAACAGGAAGTCCTCCTCCCGACAGTGCAGATCCAGGTTGAGCCGTTGCAGTGCTGCTCACCAGCAGGAGCGTTTGGTTTACTGGTGGAGTAAAAATCCCTGCTTTGATTAGAGTGCATCGATCCAAGTGGTCTGAAGTGTTCCAGAGGATTCCTTTGAAATTAAACCGTATAAAATGTGCGCACACTCCCAGTGGAGACGCTTGTACCAGACTAAATGTCCCAGGGGCCCCGCGCACAGAGGGGGCCCCGCGCACAGAGGGGGCCCCGCGCACAGAGGGGGCCCCGCGCACAGAGGGGGCCCCGCGCACAGAGGGGGCCCCGTACTGGCTGAATACTGAGCGATCCGGGCCGGGCCAGGTGGGGAAACTAAACGCACCTCCACACGGCGGCTTGGAGGGTGCGTTACATTCCTATGACAGCGCTGGGCAGAGCTGCAGTTCAACACCACAGAAAAAAAAAGGGAAAAAAAAAAATCAAAGAGAGCAGGCTCCGCCCCCTGTGTCCAAACCAGCCAATCAGAGTGAGGTTAGCTTTCTAACCTAAAAACTCGTTCCTCTTTATGAAAAATCTCCCAAATCTGTTTTTCCAGAAGGCTTTGATGTTTAACTGGTTTAACTGGTGAGTTTTAATACACCAGGATTTAAAACAAGCATGATAACTGCCATGAGAGTAGAGCTCTTTAACACTAACGTCTGACTGTTGATGCTAACACTGACAGCTGATGATTATGCAAAACAAATGTCAGTAGACGATCGCAGATTGGATCGACTGATAAGTGTTTGTAGCATCGGTTCATGATGCTAACGCTAACTGCCGATTTCACGTCCAGGACATCCAGGAAGCAGCGGTACGCAGATCCTTCACTCAGTTAGCAGTTTGTCGGACGCTGTGGCACAGCTAACGATATAATGGAGGGAAACGCCCTGCAGGTGATTTAAATTAATGTTAGAAATGCTCCAAACTGTAATAAAGTCATCATCACCTCCAGGGTGTGACGCACTGATTAGCATCGACGCTAACACTGAAGTTATGCTTCGTTTTCATGGTAGATCCAGAACTATCAGATGCGTTTTAAAATCAAATCTTATGAAGGATATGATGTCATTTTATTGCTTTTATTGGACCAGAACTGCAGTCTGCAGTCCCGCATGTTACTGGGAAACTGGTAAAGGCCCAGTGGAAGGCTATATTATCTGTTTACTCTAGGAGGAGGATCTATTTTGGAATCTCTACAATCTGATTGGCTGGTTAGGTTGCAGCTTCAGGGGTTCGCTCCCGTCTGAGTCCGGTTCGCTCTCTGACCCACGCGCCTCCGGCGAGGCTCCTGCATGTTGCTAGGCAACCAGCTCTGCATGGAGCGGGCTGAAATTCAGGAGGAAGAGGGTGGGCAAGAGAGGAAGCCCCCTGATTGGTTAAACAGGGGGAGCGGGGGCGGGTCTTTGAGGCACCAAAGGTTGAGATGCAGCAGAAGGTTTGGGTTTTCTGGAGGAGATAAAAACAGAGAGATGTCAGCTTGTTCTCCCTGGAAGCAGATCCTCACGATTCTCCTGCAGACGTTCTTACAGAGGAGGGGGAGGCGGCCTCGCAGCGAAGGGCGGAGCCGTGGTGCTGGTCTGAACCATCTGAGACGACAAACAGGAAAAATAAACATGATCAGCATCAATCTGATCCCACAGCTAGAGACACCAGAGGAGAAGATGGAAATAAACTGAAGGATAAATTAGAGAACAAATAAAAACATGAAGCATGAGGAAATGTTTCATCTACGATGGTCCTTCATGCAGCTCCATCATGTTCAGGATGGCAGAAGATGAAGGTGAAAAAAGACCAAACAGCCATGACAGTTTTTCTGCTGTGGGTTTTAAGGTCACTGCGTTCTCCATGAGACGCACAGCTGAACGGCTGCCTGACTGGACTGAAGCTGTTACACGATGGAGAGGAATGAAGACGTTTAAGCTCCTCCCCTTCCTCCATCCATCCATCAGTCCCTCCATAGAGGATGAGGAGACTTCCTATCGATTCAGCTGCTGAGCTTCTGATCCATATTTCAGGCAAAACAAACAGATTCTTTGTTTTTTACCACAAGAAGAGATTTATCAGTTCTGACAGATTCTGAGACCAGCTGGACTGGAGTAGTAGTATTACAGTAGTATTACTGTAGTAATGGTACTGTGGTAGAGAGGTCAGGGTATTTACCTTCTGAGGTGGCAGCAGCTGACTGTTTTGCTTCACATGTGGAGAAAATAATGGATGTTAGTTCATTGAAATTAACTTTATTTACTACAATAGAACAAACTACAGTCCTGCAACGGGTCGGGTCCCCGACTGGTCACCCGCTAAAATGCTCTTTTGCGGGTGAAAAATACATTAATTAAAATAAACGGGTCGGGCGGATATTTCTTTAGTGCGGGCGGGCAGTTGGTGATTTTTTTTTTTTTATGCGTGTCTATTGTTATGGACATCAGAAATGTTCTATTAATCAGGCACTGGGGTCCCCCTTGCTGTAGCTTAAAGCCCTGCCGGCAGTGTGGGCTTCCCTCCAAATAGGCCACAGTCAGTGCATACACGTCTGCTGCAGTGTTAATGGCGCTGTTCTGCAGCGCAGCGTGCTATAGCCTATTACTGGATGTGTTAACGGGTCGGGTTGCGGGTTAAATATCAACGGGTCGGGTCGGGTTCGGATTTGAATTGAAGATATCCGCGGGTGACGGGTCGGGTTCGGTAGTCATCCTAACGGGTTCAGGCGGGTGCGGGTTGGGAAAACTCGACACCTGCAGGACTCTAGAATAGAGTAGAGTAGAATAGAACAGACTGACATCTACAAGCTTCATCAGCCAATCAATCAGATGGTTTAGAGACGAGTCAAACAGCAATAGATGAGTTAATTTATGAATTTATTCTGTGTAGCTTTATTGATCAGCTGATTATTTACTGATCAATAAACGACGGGAAGGATCTGAGGAAGAGATTCATTAAAAAGTTAAAAAGGTGTCTTTAGAGCAGCTAAGCTAGCAGCTAAGCGAGCAGACCCTTCAGCCTCCCACCATCATCCTCATCATCATCAGCAGCACATTAATCGTTGGTTTTACCCTGAATGAGAGACACAGCAAACATACCCCGTCTCTGACCGTGCCGTTTGCGTTGCTGCGACCAACAGGTGGTGGCTGCGCCCTGGGGGGCGGAGCTCTGCTGGGATTGGTGGAGGCCGCTCCGTCAGCCCTAAAAATACATTTAGAGGAAAAGTTCAGTGAACAGAAGAACCAGAACCAAAACACTGGTGCTAACGACCCTGAGCATCCACTTCATCAGATATTCGTACAGCAATGGAGGGTCTTCAGTCAGAGGGTCTGACTCCCTGCTTCAACACAGACCACTACAGGAGACCCTACCTGCCCACAACGTCTACAAGAACTCTGAGGAAAGTGCAGTTAGAGACACTATCGACTGCTTCAAGTGCAATAAATGCTGAGTCACTGGTTACCATGGCAATTAGCGTCTTAGAAAATGCTGAGTCGCTGGTTACCATGGCGATTAGCGTCTTAGAAACTGCTGAGTCACTGGTTACATGGGTATTAGCGTCTTAGAAAATGCTGAGTTGCTGGTTGCTATGGGTATTAGGGTCTTAGAAAATACTGCGTCGCTGGTTACCATGGCGATTAGCGTCTTAGAAACTGCTGAGTCGCTGGTTACATGGGTATTAGCGTCTTAGAAAATGCTGAGTTGCTGCTTGCTATGGGTATTAGCGTCTTAGAAAATGCTGAGTTGCTGGTTGCTATGGGTATTAGCGTCTTAGAAAATGCTGAGTCGCTGGTTACATGGCAATTAGCGTCTTAGAAACTGCTGAGTCACTGGTTACATGCCGATTAGCATTTTAGAAACTGCTGAGTCGCTGGTTGCCATGGGTATTAGCGTCTTAGAAACTGCTGAGTCGCTGGTTACCATGGGTATTAGCGTCTTAGAAAATGCTGAGTCGCTGGTTACCATGGGTATTAGCGTCTTAGAAAATGCTGAGTCGCTGGTTACCATGGGTATTAGCGTCTTAGAAAATGCTGAGTCGCTGGTTACCATGGGTATTAGCGTCTTAGAAAATGCTGAGTCGCTGGTTACCATGGGTATTAGCGTCTTAGAAAATGCTGAGTCGCTGGTTACCATGGGTATTAGCGTCTTAGAAAATGCTGAGTCGCTGGTTACCATGGGTATTAGCGTCTTAGAAAATGCTGAGTCGCTGGTTACCATGGGTATTAGCGTCTTAGAAAATGCTGAGTTGCTGGTTGCCATGGGTATTAGCGTCTTAGAAAATGCTGAGTTGCTGGTTGCTATGGGTATTAGCGTCTTAGAAAATGCTGAGTTGCTGGTTGCTATGGGTATTAGCGTCTTAGAAAATGCTGAGTTGCTGGTTGCTATGGGTATTAGCGTCTTAGAAAATGCTGAGTTGCTGGTCGCTATGGGTATTAGCGTCTTAGAAAATGCTGAGTCGCTGGTTACCATGGGTATTAGCGTCTTAGAAAATGCTGAGTTGCTGGTTACCATGGCAATTAGCATTTTAGAAACTGCTGAGTTGCTGGTTGCTATGGGTATTAGGGTCTTAGAAAATACTGCGTCGCTGGTTACCATGGCGATTAGCGTCTTAGAAACTGCTGAGTCGCTGGTTACATGGGTATTAGCGTCTTAGAAAATGCTGAGTTGCTGGTTGCTATGGGTATTAGCGTCTTAGAAAATGCTGAGTCGCTGGTTACCATGGGTATTAGCGTCTTAGAAAATGCTGAGTTGCTGGTTGCCATGGGTATTAGCGTCTTAGAAAATGCTGAGTTGCTGGTTGCTATGGGTATTAGCGTCTTAGAAAATGCTGAGTTGCTGGTTGCTATGGGTATTAGCGTCTTAGAAAATGCTGAGTTGCTGGTTGCTATGGGTATTAGCGTCTTAGAAAATGCTGAGTTGCTGGTCGCTATGGGTATTAGCGTCTTAGAAAATGCTGAGTCGCTGGTTACCATGGTGATTAGTTTCTTAGAAAAAGCGAGTCACTGCTTGCTACCTGCTATTTGTGACTTTGTTTCCATGGTGCTATGGTGATTTCTGTCTTAGAAAATGCTCACTTACTGGTTACCATGGTGATTTCACAATACCAAGCCAAATAACTGGTTGCAATGGTTTCTCCTGTCTCAGAAAGTGGTGAGTCACTGGTTGCTAGGATGATTGGTGTTTGAAAACCCAGTTACTAGTTGCCATGGTTGATTTCTGTCTAAGAGGCCGTTTCTCAATCTGTGTTCTGGTGCGTCCTCATGAAAAGTCATCAGCCTCAGCCCTAGTGCTGCTCCAATTCACAAGAACACAAAACCGAGAACGGACAAAGTCCCCGGATGTTGTTCTGGCCCCTCCCTCTTTACCCGGAATGCATCAGAGCAGACCTGTCCGTTCTCCAGACTGACAGCTGTCCCAGCATGCACTGCAACAGCAGCTTCCAGGTTAGCGCTCAAAGAGCTCAGAGGATTAAGTTAAAAGTTCTCTTTTCTGTTGCCGTTTATCAATAACAGTACATTTTACAATCATTTAAGGCGAGAATATTTTACTTCACTAAGCTTCACTATATGGAAAATTTATTGATTTAGTGCATTATTTAAAAAGAATTCTGATGTTGAGAGGATCGCGGCAACCAGGTGAACTCCAAGGCTAACCACAGCCAGAGCTAACGTTAGCCCGTCTGCGGCAGTCAGGGCTAACGTTAGCCCGTCTGCAACGGTCAGGGCTAACGTTAGCCCGTCTGCAACGGTTAGCCCGTCTGCGGCGGTTAGCATTAGCTGCCGCAGCCCTCTCTCTGCATAGCCGTGTGTGAAGAACAGCTCGCTCTGATGGTGGTTTCTTTGGTTTTATTCTGCGAAATTTATTTTTGTGTTTATCTGACTGTGTTAATTATTATTCCCCCACTAAATGAAAAAGAAGCACCAGTTCTTTTATTATCATCTATTATTATTTAGAGACTACTAATAGCAGGAGGAGAAATGCAGCTCCAGGTGAATGTGAATGTGGTGATGTCATCAGTACGCTGCTGTTCTAATTGACCCAGATCTATGCTGCGTGCTCCCCTTCTCCCACAGTCTTTCCTGGGTTCTTCTCAAGAACTACTTGGTGAAAACACGAGTCTGTACTTGTGTTCTTGTGAACTGATAAATAGCTAGAGTCCTCTAACACGGTAATAGGAGGTCGGTGCGCCGACTCGGTTGGTACTCACTGGTATCCCTGTGACCTCTTCCTGCCGCTCAGTCCGAGGCGCCGCAGCAGCTCGTTCCTGCGCAGGAAAACAAACGCTCCCAGAGCAATCAGAGGAAGAACGAGGAGGAAGAAGACCAGCAGGCCGTCCCTGACGGACGTGTCCTTATCTGTGGACCACAGAAGGAGTCATTAAGGAGCGGGGACACGGCGGCTGAGAACACAGCAGGGAAAGTACCGTTCCAGGCAGGTCCGCTGTCCACGCTGCCGCCGTACCCCGGGTGCTCACAGAAAGGCGGAGCCCAGCCGTAATCGCAGTGACAGTTCTTGTTAATGTTACACACCTGAGAGGAGCATGGAAACAGTCTGGTCAGACTGTGGTCACATGACTCAGGTCGTCGGATAGACCAGAACCAACTTACCCCGTGACCGTGGCACTTGTTCTCCATGTCACAGTCGTAGTTCAGGACATCCGCGTTACGACACTCGTAGTTCAAACACACCTGCAGACCATAGAAGAAGAAGAAGATTAATCAGCTTCTCCGAGTAACCGTCCCCGCCAACCCCCCCCCCCTCACCTTGTTGTCGCCACACTTGGTTCCTTCGTTGACCATGCCCGGGTCGGGAACGTCCGAGCCCAGCATGAAGTCCACTCCAAAGCACTTGGCTCCTCCCTCTGTGGGAGTGGTGATGATCGCCGGATGGATGCCGAAAACCGTTTCAGACCCCAAGTTCAGGCACTGCAGTTTTCCACACTTTGCGTTTCTATGGAGACAGAGTCACGTGACCAGAGGGCCGGCTGGGACAGACCTTCAGTTGCCGGGTCAGACCAGGTACCTGCTCTCACACTTCTTGTAGCCATAGTGTTGGTATCCGCAGTTGCCGAAGCGGTCTCCTTTGCTGTTGACGTCCTTGAAGCAGAGGTCTGGAGCAGCCTTGGACTCTGCAGGGGAGGAACAATCAGGCGAATTCAAAACCTCCTGAACCGATCAGGCTGGGAGCATTAAGGCGCGGGGGGGGCGGGACCTACTGGATCCAAACAGGGCTTTGCACTGTCCGTCGTAGTGTTGACACCTTCCGTTGAAACAGTAGGCCTCCTGGTTCCTGCAGGGATGCCCGTTCTGGACCAAACACAAACCGAGTCGGTTAGCGCCTCCCAGGGGAAGCAGGGCCCAGCTGCGTGGAGAAGGACGGGTCTCTGGGTCTCACCTGGACGAAGACGTCGCTCTGACAGAAGGGGGTGGAGCCGTTGCAGTACTCTGGGATGTCACACTCGGCGTCTTTCTTGGAGCGACAGACGGTTCCGCCCGGCAGGAACTGGACACACAGACACCAGAACATGTTCTGGTTCTACGGGTTGATCCAGAAACCAGCGCTAGCTTTGGCTGGAGGCCTGGGCTTACCTGACATTTGGAACAGCACTCTCCGTGCGCACACTGAGCTCCAGGCTTTAGTTTGCACGTCTTGTATTCACAGCAGGGGTCGTCCTCACACTCCTGGACACAAACACCAGGGGTCAGCGTTTCCGGACCGAACCGGACTCTAGTTCTGGGAGTCCAGATACCAGCTCGGCCAATAGGAGCACAGCCTCAAACCTTCTCTGATCCACAGTCGCACTCCTCTCCGATGTCCACCAGCTGGTTTCCACAGTAGGGGGCGCTGTAGGCCTCGTCGGGTCGAGGGATGTTCAGGAGACACGTCCCTCCTGTGGACAGGATCATCTTCTCAAAGTCGTCGGCACTGCAGCTGCTGAAGGTTTTGGATCCACTGCGGAAACAAAGAGGAGTAAAGAACAGGAACGTTCTGACTGTGGGAGGGGGGGGGGGGGGGGGGGGGGGGGGGGGGTCCGGAATGGGAGTTTTCCTACGTAGCTCCGGAGTGCATGATGCAGTTGGAGGCGGAACAGAAGCAGGAGCGTCCGTCGTCGTGGTTCATCCCCAGGTTGTGTCCGAGTTCATGAGCCACGATGGAGGCGAAGGACGGAACGTTGTTGTTGAGGAACTGAGAGAAGAACAGAGACAGAACCTCAGGATGGACCCAGGCGTGACATCAGAACCAGGTGGGTCCGTCCGTGTGGGAGGAGTTACCGCATTGATGCCTCCTCCATGGCTTCTGGAGCACACCGTGGAGACGAAGGCCATTCCTGCTGTCGCTCCGAAGCTCTTCATCCTGGAACATCAGCAAAGACCACCGTCATCATCACGATCATCATCCTCACCATCACCGTCTTCCTGGTGCGGACTCACAGGATGAGCTGGGCCGAGTCGTGTCGGCGCCGAGGAACCAGCTCCTTCTCCCTCCACTGAGTGAAGCGGCCCAGAACCTCTCCAGCCGATCCGTCTGTGCTGAACGGGTTCTGGTTGGTCCAGATCTCCAGGCCCACCAGGACCACCCTGACCTTCAGCTGCATGTAGATCTGCTCACAGAGACAAAGGCAGGACCTTAGAGACAACATCTCCGATCTAGATCACCTAGAGAGGGTGGGGGGGTACGTACACTGTCTACCAGGTTGGCCAGCTGAACCATCTGCTCTCTGACCGCCGTCTCGTTTCTGTTCATGTGATTAAACTGCAGAAGAAGAAGCAGGAATGCTGCATCAGCACGGTGGGGTGGGGGGTGTAGGGTGCGGGGGGGGGGGGGGGGGGGTAGTACAGGTGTGTGTCTCACCCTGTCGTTGTCCACCACCAGCAGCAGCTCCACATAGTGGGTCTTATGGAGAACGGCTCTCTTTACCTGGAAGACAAACGGCTCTGGATGAGGGTAACCATGGTAACCTGGTTTGTTTGTTAGGGAATATTTTAAAGCAGGAAGTGAGTCTGAGTTCAGGCGGCTGAATCCAGGCTTGGCCTGAGGAGAGACGCCTCCCCGCTGCTCCCAGCCTGGGATCAGACCCTCAGCGTTCCTCGTGCGGCTGAACCCACCCTGCTGTGCTGTTGGTGCTGGATCTCCTGCGGTCCGTACTGAGCGTGCTCCGTGCCGTGCTCAACGTGAGGCGTTCCACATCCTCTGGGCTGTGATGTCACATCCTGTAGGCGGTACAGCATATGCTGCTCGGGGTCGGACTCTAGCGGCTCGATCCCATAGCTGCCATGACTCAGATGTAAAACTCCTCTGAGAAAAAAAACAACAGACGAGTAAAAAAGCTCCTAGCAGACAAAGCTGAGGGACTACTTAGCCCAACCTACTGACTGAAACATGGTAACAGGTTCTGTTCTGACCCAGATTCAGCTTTGGGTTTTACTGTTAGAGCCGTCCATGTTGGCTCCGGTAGCCCGGGACGGGTCGGCGTTACCTGAGGCCGTTGCAGATGCTCATAGCCGCGGCGGAACCGTCCATGTCCTGAACGGAGCCCCGATAGTGACAGTGGTCCTGAAACATAGAGCGGGGGTACCAGGTGAGTCCAGCAGGGGGAGCCCAGGAGCTGCTCCTACATCACCTCCTGTCTCTCTGTGGTTCTCCAGAGAGCATCTGAGTCAGCAGATGACCCATCAGTTTACAGGAAGTGACACATGGATGATCCGCTCTAACTTCCTGTCACAGAATCCGGTTCACAGCAACAAATCCTCCCTCAGCTTCTCAGCAGTGAAACATGAAATCAGAACCTGATCCAGAAGGATCCTGACCGTGGTTCTGGACCAGACTCTAACTGGTTTGGATGGTTCTGACAAAACACTGTAGGAACTCCCAGAATGCACCTGGGTCCAGTAAAGCAAACACCTTCAGCCAGTTCCGTAGAACTCCAAGTCTTCCCTGATTGGGTTCTGGATCTGGGCGGTTCTGCTCAGCAGAACCCGTTTATTTTTCCATCAGATGAAACCGACCCTGAGGTACGGCAGGCTGTAGTACGATTTAATAAAGGATCAAGACATGATTCTAACAGGAACCGGTTCTGATCCACGTGGAACTAATATTCAAAGCAGGTAGAAAGCTACCCGGGGGGAGGGGGGTCGGGTTAAAACCCTTAATGCCTGAAATTAAACCAGATGTACTAAAAAAAAATTTTTATCAATCAGATGTCAAATTAAAGAGGTTATTGAAGAGTTTAACATAGAAGCTACACGAGATGAAATGTAGAAATGAGGCTAATTATTGACACCAGGCATCAAAGAATAACAACATTAATCTGAGTAGGTCGACTAGCTCATTAAAGCTGATTTTTTAATCAGATGATTTATTTAAGAGGCCTAGTGGTTAGAGCATAGAGCTAGGTATCCAGAGCTTCTGAGTTCAAGTCCATGGTCAGTCATGGGTTTGGGATCAGAGCCTCCAGTCTAATAATCTCAGTTCTTTCTTGTGAACGTTTCACCGCTCAGAAGCTGAGGGAGGATCTGTTGCTGATTCTGGTCGCCTGGTCAAATGTCAAATTTATTTATATAGCTCTTTAAAAACAGGTATAAAACTGCACCAAAGTGCTTTACAGGAAAGACAACAACACCAATTAACAAAGCAGAATGTGAAACACTGCTTCAATTAAAAGCCGAAGAATAAAAATAAGTTTTAAGAAGCGATTTAAAATGATCCAGGCTGTGGGCGGATTTAATTTGAAGAGAAAAATGGTTCCACAGAATTGGAGGAAGAACAGAGAATCTCCTTTCCTCTTAAGTCGAGTCCAAAGAACTGTCAGTAACAGTTGATTATTAGAGCATAGACTTCTCCACACAGACTGGAATTTTAAAAGGTCTCTAAGATAAGGAGGAGCTAATCCATTTAAGACTTTATAAGTTAATAAAAGAATCTTAAAATCTATTTGGTAAAAAACAGGCAGCCAATGTAAAGAAGCCATTATATGCCTTATATGGTCACGCTTCCTGGTGGTTTATCCATGCCTCTATATAATCATTTGCAATAATCCAACCGGCATGCAATGAAAGCATGGATACGTCCTTCAAAGTCCTTAAAACAAAAATAGGATTTAATTTTTACTAAAATCCGCAGGTGATAAAAACTTGATCTAACAACAGATCTAACTTGTTTATCTAGCTTTAAACAGCTTTCAAAAGTAAAACCAAGATTCCTAGCAGCATAACTTGAGTTTTACTTTGATTAAGGTGAAGAAAGTTCTGTTCCATCCAAGATTTGACTTCAGCTAAACAATCTATCAATAGCTGAAGAGATTCATTTTTCACATTTTGTAGTTTAAGGGGCAAAAAAATCTGAACATCATCTGCAAAGAAATGAAAAGAAACACCAAACTTATGAAAAATCTGACCGAGAGGCAGTAAATACAACATAAACAAAATAGGACCTAGAATTGAGCCTTGGGGGACGCCATACTTTAAAGGTTTCAGAACAGCATCGGTCAAGATGAACTAAAAAAGTTCTCTTTTCTAAATACGATTGAAAGCATTCTGGGCCTCTCAGGCCACCATCATGTTTTAATCTGTGTAGAAGAATCTGATGAACTTCAGCACTCAGGTCTAACAGTAATAAAACTGCAACATTTCCTGAATCAACTGTTAGGAGAAGATCATTGTAGACGGAAGCAAAGCTGTTTCAGTGCTACGTTCAGCTTTAAACCCAGACTGGAACCTCTCAGTTGTCTTTTAAAAACACCTCAAACCGATTAAGAACTCATTTTTCCTGAATCTTGGTTAAAAAGGGAGTTTGGAAATTGGCCTAAAATTTGCTAGTAGGCTTGAGTCTAGATTGTTTTTTTTAAGAAGGGGTTTAACTACAGCATGATGGGACTAAACCTGAGTGCAATGAGGCGTTTATCACCATTAGAACATGTGATGGCTGCATGTACAACCACACAAATGGTCTGCTAATTCTTTCATTAAATCTTCTATTTTATTGTCCTGTATTTCATTTTTTTCTACTTTGATTTTCCATTGGTTAACTATTTGGGTGCACACATTCAGTCGGCTCATTTTGTCGTTTCTTGCTTGTTTGGTTTTCTGTACATTCATATATTTTTCATTTGAGTTGCCAGTTCCTGGGAGGCTGGCATGAATGAAGCCAGGAAAGGAAAGGAGGCTCCATCTGCAGAGGATCTCCTCATTGACATGGAGGCCCAGTTGGACTCTTCCACTTACTTTTAGAAGGGGTGTAGAAAGGGTTTAGGTTTCTGTATTTTGTTTTGTTCTCTATAATAACATTTGGAATGTTAAATATTTAAGTCCTCTTGATCATAGGTTGCTGATTGAGTTTGATGCTGATTAGTTTGGTATTTTGTTGTAGTTTTCTTTAGGAAAATATATTTTATGTTTCCCTCTTGTTTCAAGATGGTCTGATCAACCAGTGTATATATATATGTTTCCCTTGTGTGTCAGTTAGGGAGGCCTTTTCCTGTGTCAGGTTTGGATTATGCTGATTTTTGTCATTTGTTTTCCTTGATGGGCCCAGTCTTGTTTGAACGTTCCAACTTTATTTTTGCAAAATAAATTTGTTACCATTTTTTCATCAAGACTTCCCTGTGAATCTCTGACATTTTTGGCTCGGTCCCTCATAGAAAAAAATGGTTGGAAGTGAGAAAAATGTCCTTTATCAGACGAGCAGGAAGACAATCCAAAGAATAATTTGATGGCCGCCGATGCTGAATAACTGGAGTCAGTTCATCTAAAGAAACAGTCTGAAATGATCCAGAACAGCTGCGCATGGCGGCTTTTCCTCTGAGTCTAAATCTAACAGGAGATTCCAGCTTCTAGGAGCTAAAATCTGTTCTGTGGAAAACTCAGAGAAAGCCTCAAAGTTCAGCAGAGGCCAAAGGGCCAGATGTAACCAAGGGATTAACAATCCAATCCAGGAAACTAAAAAGACCTATGATTGTTAGAAGCTACAAGATTAGTGAAATATTTAGATTTTTCTACTTTGACAGAATTCTGATAATTAAATAAACTTTTAAAGTGAATTCTGCAGCTTATCCCTGGTGACAGGAAGTAAGAGCGGATCATCCATGTGTCACTTCCTGTAAACTGATGGGTCATCAGCTGATGCTCTCTGGAGAACCACAGAGAGACAGGAAGTGATGTAGAAATATAATCTTATCATTTATTTTTGTTTCAAATCCATCTTATATCATCAAATGTCTTTGAAGCTTTGATGTTATACGTATATTTAATGAATCAATTTAGTATTTTGGTTTAAAATCATTAATTTATTCTTTCATCAGTTTTATTGTTAATCAGATTCAGTTTGATGGAATAGAGATAATAGAAATAACTCATTTAATGTTTTCTACATGATAATCATTTTATTATTCGTCGTTCCTTCATTTCCTGCTGATGCTGAAAAGCTTCAAACCAACATGGTGGTCAGACGCTCTAATAGATCAGATCTAAAAGGCGCCGAAGAGCCGCCATGGATCTCCTTCAGCGCCGCCGCCATCAGGCGGAGATCACTGCGTCTGATTCTCCCTCTAGAAATGAACAGACTAGATCCGCCATGAACTTGCTATGAAAACATGGAGAATTCAGGAAATCAGGACTTCTGTGTTCTCTGATGGCAACAGAACCGGGCCCCACAGAACCGGGCCCAACAGAACCGGGCCCCACAGAACCGGGCCCAACAGAACCGGGCCCCACAGAACCGGGCCCCACAGAACCGGGCCCAACAGAACCGGGCCCAACAGAACCGGGCCCAACAGAACCGGGCCCCACAGAACCGGGCCCAACAGAACCGGGCCCAACAGAACCGGGCCCAACAGAACCGGGCCCCACAGAACCGGGCCCAACAGAACCGGGCCCAACAGAACCGGGCCCCACAGAACCGGGCCCAACAGAACCGGGCCCAACAGAACCGGGCCCAACAGAACCGGGCCCAACAGAACCGGGCCCAACAGAACCGGGCCCCACAGAACCGGGCCCAACAGAACCGGGCCCCACAGAACCGGGCCCAACAGAACCGGGCCCAACAGAACCGGGCCCAACAGAACCGGGCCCCACAGAACCGGGCCCAACAGAACCGGGCCCAACAGAACCGGGCCCAACAGAACCGGGCCCAACAGAACCGGGCCCCACAGAACCGGGCCCCACAGAACCGGGCCCAACAGAACCGGGCCCCACAGAACCGGGCCCCACAGAACCGGGCCCAACAGAACCGGGCCCCACAGAACCGGGCCCCACAGAACCGGGCCCAACAGAACCGGGCGGGGAAGCGGGAAGCAGACAGAGAGTTGGAGCATAGAACCACGCTAAGTAGAATGGACCCAGAAAGCCTTCAGCAGAGATTCTCTAAGCCTCACTGATCTAAACCGGATCCATCCGGAACCCCCCCCCCACAGGTCCGGTGGTCCAGAGCGGCTCACCTGGACGGCAGGTCTGGACGTGATCGGGGATCCGTTTGGGCCGTAGGTGAAGACCGTGAAATCCGGCGGCAGCAGGATCCTGGAGGCAACAGCAGCTGGTTAGACGGGTCAGAACCAGAACATCAGATCCGTTCTGGATCCGCCTGGAGAGGAGAGGGTTCTACAGAACCATGGGGTTCCAGCTGAAGATGCTGGATTCTGGTTCCGACCCATTCAGGATCCTTGGTGCTTCAGTAGAACCCAGCTGGACTGGATCCTCCTCCGACCCAACAGAACCGCTTTGGGTCAGAGGAGGATGCCCTGAAGGATCCAGAACCAAGGTCATCCGGAGCGGCCGGTTCTGATGCTTCTGCTGCAGAACCTCTGAGTTCTTTTTGGTTCTGTTCTCATGTCCATCTTCAGGGAAAGGTTCTGATCCAGCTGGACCCAATGGTTCCTCAGGATGAAGAACAGAACCCAGAACCAGAACCTGGGACTTTGCAGCAGAACCCATCAGAACTGGGTTAGGATGAGGTCAGCAGGGATGGTACCGGTACCAGAGAGGCTCGGTGGAGGAGAAGAAGAGTTAGAACCTGGATCCAAACTTACTGGTTCCGGTCCAGATGGACCAGCAGCTGCTGTCCGTCCATGGGGATGATAAAGGACACCTGCAGACACAGAGAACTGGTTTCACTGGGAGGACTGGGACAAAACCGAGCCAGAACCAAAGAACCCAAAATCAATCCAGTAGACAAGCAGAACGGGTCGGGTCAGAGGAGCAGAACCAGGGGAGGATCTGATTGGTTGGAGGATCCGCTGTAGCTCTGCAGGGTCTCCTTCATCGGCCAGAAACCCGGGTCCAACCGGGCCGGATCCACCCGGATCAAACCAAGTCCACCCGGGTCCAAGCGGGCCGGGTCAACCCGGATCCAACCGGGTCCAAGCGTCCAGCAGCAGGATGACGGCTGCTGACCTCCAACAGATCATCTGATCCCATTCATCCTCAGCTGCAGGAGTTAATCTAGAGATCCGTTAATCCATCAGATTAGAAAGTTGATCATCTGATTCATTGGGAAGCAGGATAATTATTACATGGAACATAGAAACCTGGAATCAGGGTTTGGATCTAAATGTCCTACTTCCTGCTGTCAGCAGGTTCCTATGAGGCTTAAAGGAGGAGCTGCAGCTGAACGTCTGACTCACTGATCTATTTATTCCCTGAGGGTTGAACTGAAGCCACTGACCGCCATATTGGTACTCCCTAGTTAGACCGGTCACAATGTTTCATAGCATCAGCAGATTAACTTTAACTTAGAATAAATAAATCGGCCCGTCACATTGCAGAGTCATTATGACGTCAAAGAAGTCTATAAATCATGTAATATAGCATATTATACAATTCATCACACTAATTAATGTGTTAATGGAGCAGAATAATACAGAGGAGCCGAAAGTGCTAAATTGATGATGAACGTGTGATAGACATTAATTTATGACATAGTTACAGTAATTACATCTTACATGTTAATGCATGCAGTATATATATTTAGAGGTCAAATGATTGAGTTCTTTTCCATCAATATAACCTGCAATATACACTATATTGCCAAAAGTATTTGCTCACCCATCCAAATTATTGGAATCAGGTGTTCCAATCACTTCCATGGCCACAGGTGTATAAATTCAAGCACCTAGGCATGCAGACTGTTTTTACAAACATTTGTGAAAGAATGGGTCGCTCTCAGGAGCTCAGTGAATTCCAGCGTGGAACTGTGATAGGATGCCACCTGTGCAACAAATCCAGTCGTGAAATTTCCTCGCTCCTAAATATTCCACAGTCAACTGTCAGCTGTATTATAAGAAAATGGAAGTGTTTGGGAACGACAGCAACTCAGCCACGAAGTGGTAGGCCACGTAAACTGACGGAGCGGGGTCAGCGGATGCTGACGCGCATAGTGCGAAGAGGTCGCCAACTTTCTGCAGAGTCAATCACTACAGACCTCCAAACTTCATGTGGCCTTCAGATTAGCTCAAGAACAGTGCGCAGAGAGCTTCATGGAATGGGTTTCCATGGTCGAGCAGCTGCATCCAAGCCATACATCACCAAGTGCAATGCAAAGCGTCGGATGCGGTGGTGTAAAGCACGCCGCCACTGGACTCTAGAGCAGTGGAGACGCGTTCTCTGGAGTGACGAATCGCGCTTCTCCATCTGGCAATCTGATGGACGGGTCTGGGTTTGGCGGTTGCCAGGAGAACGGTACTTGTCTGACTGCATTGTGCCAAGTGTAAAGTTTGGTGGAGGGGGGATTATGGTGTGAGGTTGTTTTTCAGGAGCTGGGCTTGGCCCCTTAGTTCCAGTGAAAGGAACTCTGAATGCTTCAGCATACCAAGACATTTTGGACAATTCCATGCTCCCAACTTTGTGGGAACAGTTTGGAGCTGGCCCCTTCCTCTTCCAACATGACTGTGCACCAGTGCACAAAGCAAGGTCCATAAAGACATGGATGACAGAGTCTGGTGTGGATGAACTTGACTGGCCTGCACAGAGTCCTGACCTCAACCCGATAGAACACCTTTGGGATGAATTAGAGCGGAGACTGAGAGCCAGGCCTTCTCGTCCAACATCAGTGTGCGACCTCACAAATGCGCTTCTGGAAGAATGGTCAAAAATTCCCATAAACACACTCCTAAACCTTGTGGACAGCCTTCCCAGAAGAGTTGAAGCTGTTCTAGCTGCAAAGGGTGGACCGACGTCATATTGAACCCTATGGATTAGGAACGGGATGTCACTTAAGCTCATATGTGAGTCAAGGCAGGTGAGCAAATACTTTTGGCAATATAGTGTATCTCAGCTCATGAGTTTTCCAAATGAGAAATAAACCAAACTCTACAGGAACGACAGTCAGTGTCTTCCAGTCAGTCTGAGAGAGCCAGACTAATGTTAGTCTGCAGACTAAACTATAGGATCCATCGGCTATAGATGGATTTAGTGCTTAGTTCATCCACTGACTGGGAAATTACCAGTGGAACGTCTTCCTGGTTTTAGCAGCTAAATGCTAAACAGGGAGGTCCCCATGGGAGTGGGGAGTACCAAGATGGCGGACGGTGGCTTCACTTTTTTCAGCAATCCAGTGAATAAATAGAGATCAGGGGTGATATATATGTTTTATATTTTATGTTCTTTGACAATCATACCAGTTCTGTATCTCAAATGAAGCTCTCTTATTATCTAAGTTTCTGTTTCCTTGAGAGCACGATATCATTTGTTTTTGTTCTCACGAGCTCTCGGTGCCACGATGTAATGTTTTTGTTTTCAGCTGTCCACGAGCCCTGGGTGGGTTCGGGGGGGGGCGTTCCATATTTTGGTTTCTGTAATCATGCGCTCCAGGCGTGAGAGGGAGCGATCGCTTTACCCGATTGGGTGAAAGATTTTCCTTTGAAGTTCGGCATAAATGACGGATGGCGGTTGGCACTGGGGGGGTCTGCTAGGGTTGCGTACGGACGCCTAGCTGCGCGGGTTGCTGCCCTGCCGGGGTCGTCTGGCTCTGCGATCCTTGTGTCACGGTAGGAGGACAATATAATTTGCATTCAGCACCGTGCTTTAGTTGCTTTGCTGTTTTCTGTGGCGGAATAAAACGACACATTTTACTCTAGCAGAAACAGTGTGTGTGTGTCATCTTTACTGCCGACTCATCCCGATCCTGGCAGAGTTTCACACTACAAGGGGCGTGCAGGCGACGCAGTGGTAAGAGAGCACAACCCAGCATGGAGACCTTAGTCCTCGACACGGGCGACCCGGGTTTGAATCCGACCTGTGGTCCTTTCCCGCATGTCTCCCCTCCCATCCTCTCAGCCCACTGTTAAAAAACGAGTCACTAGCGCCGTAAAAACTCAAAAAAAAAAAAATTAGAATAATAAAATAAAATTAATAGAGCTCGGTGGCCTGACTCGCCCCCCTCTGATTAAGGCCGATGGAATCTGGACCGGAACCAATGGTTCTGAAGCAGCAGCTGCTGGATGAAGGACAAGGTGACCCGAACCGCTGAGTCACTGGAACAGGTTCAGCTCAGCTGCTGCTGGAGGAGCGGAAGAGCTCAGCGTGGCCTCCATCATCATCATCGTCATCTGTCCTCTAACCCAGCGGGCTCAAAGGTCCGTTTGTCTCTAAGTTTCTGGTTCTGGCAGCCCGCCTTGTCTTCTGAGTGGAAACTTTCTGAGCCTTTGGACCAGAACTGTTCTGGTTTTCTGTCTCAACAGAATTTATTCTGCTGGTTTATGTTGAAACTTTCTTTTGTCCAAACGGGGAAAATAAAGACAGAACTGATCCTCTTCACATGTTCTGGTCTGGTCCAAAGAACCGACCCAGTTCTGAACCCAGGAGGTCCAAAAAGAACCCAGAACTACATCTAAAGTTCTGCTGGACTCACTGAAAGGTTCTGATCCAACAAAGCGGAGAAATCAGAACCACGTTCTTCCTCCATCAGCCGTAAAGACCAGAACCTGCTGATGGGGGAGGGGTCGGCTCAGTACTCAGCAGATCATCGCTGCTGAGTACCACATCAGTGGCGGTTAGCCAGGCTGGCAGGTTTCCATGGAAACAGGAATGTGGGCGTGTTAAAGGTGGTACCTGACTGGGCGGGCTTCCATCAGCGTCCCTCTTCAGCCGGCCTCCTATTGGCCGAGGAACAGTCAGCTGGTACGAGGAGAGCCCCTCCGTCTGCTGGGAGCCTGCAGGAAGCAGAACATTGGCTCAGTGACACCAGAACACTGTCCTTCACCGCCGCATTTCTACACGCCGTGAAGCGCCTCCGCTAAGCTAAGGCTAGCTCAGCTAATGCTAGCTGTGTTCAGCGTGCGGTCTGACCAATCGATGCTTTTATCTACAGAGAAACGTTTTTAATCAGATGGGTGGGTGAGTAACTCCTCCCTGACCAAAACTCCTCCTCTGCTCCCCCTTCCAGGGAGGAGAACGGTCAGCTGTTGGAGAGAAAAGGTCAGACTGGATCAGCAGAAAGATCTGGAAGCCGGTTCTGTTTATAAAGTGACTTTACTAACGGTTAGCCCCGCCCCTCTGCTCTAAGGGCGGGGCTAACAGGAGGGGTGTGGCCTTATGTCCCCAGCTTTACCTTCCGCTGCTTCCAGAACCTCTGGACTCGGACCTGCTGAGCCGGATCAGCTGCAGCAAACCGGGCCAATCTGAAAGACTGGGTTTGTTCCCACCCGATCTGGGAGCAGAAGGTGAATAAATGAAACCATCCGGTCCGACTTTATGGACCATTTCAGAACCAAATCAGGTGGAACATCCCAATCTGTTGGTGTTTGGATCAGAACCACACCTGACCGGCTGGTTCCAGGTTCTGACTGACCCTGCTGTGGTTCTGCCGTTTCCCTGCATATTTATGACGGACTGTAAAATAAAAAAAAGATGGCTGATAAATCGGCCATATTTGAATAAGTCTCCTTTCTGTGGGTAGGAGGCGCCCCGACCCTCAGGCCGCTTTACTTCCTGTTGCAGCAGAACCTCTGAGGCCGCAGAGCTAAGCTGCTTATGGGACCACAGACACACACCTGCTGCTTCTGCTATATGTATGAGGACCATGCTTTCATTTTAACCCCTTCTATGCCCTGACAGTGCAAACCTCACCCTCAGCCCAGTGACATCATAGCCCTGAAACGACATGACTTCAATTTAAAGCGCCGCTCCTCATTGTGACGCTGAAATGGTTCCTATCACACCAACACTCACACTGGTCACCCTATCCATGTGGGGACTTCTATGGTCTACCCAAACCCCCCCCATGGTCACCACAACTGTCTCACTATTATCACTACTTATATTAATAATACTACATCTTTACTTTGACTTTTACATTTTTCACGTTCGTAAAATAATTCCTGGAAATAATGAGACACAATCTGCTGAATGAAGTTAGTTCGGTTAACCCTTTCATTCCCATAAACAGAAATCACATGTTTGATGCATAGATGATCATCTACTCTGGTTTTAGTAGATCTACAGCAGACGGCCATGATGGTGGCATCAGCAGGTCATCCTGGTGTTCAGGTTTGTTCAGATTATTCCAGGGAAAACTGCCTCTAATCTCCTCCAGGTTGGATTAGATCTGGAAGGTTTTCTTCTGGACTTGAAGTTTCCAGAAGAAAACAAACTGATTCATCAGAATATTTCTACAGGGAGGAGAGATAAATCAAACAGATACGCAACTAGCTGGATCCACACATGCATCCTGAACAGGAAACATAGATAAACACAAACTAGATTTCTCTTTCCAGATCTGTTTCTCGTTTCCCTCCTTTTCTATACTAGAAGTCTCCTTCTGAAGGAACCACATCTGTTCCATAAAGTTCTATCTTTGATCTGGTTTTCTGTCTTATAAGATCTATAGTTTTAAATCACAGAGGGTCACGTGTCCTGGTTCTGTAAATCTGCATCAGTCAGTTTGGACCGGAACCAGCAGCAGACCCAGTTCTACAGTCAAACTGCTGGGATTACAGATTTAATGCTCAGAAGGAGAACAGAGTTCGGAATTATGGGATTAAATCCAACTAAAGGTTCCGGAAGTTTGCCTTTATTTTCTGCCCCCCCCTCCCTCACCTCCGCAGTGACCCCTCCTGCTCAGCAGAACCAGAATCCCGCAGAGTCCCAGCAGCTCCGCTCCTCTTCCTCCTCTCATCTTCATCTTCTCCTTCTTCCCAGAACCGAAACTCTCCCCTTCCTCCCCCCTCTGAGTCCCCCTCAGGTCGTCTCCACCCGGACGGTTTTACTCCGAACACCCAGCGGAGGCTTCCTTCCTGGACCGACCCATTCCTCTGCGAACACCCGACAGCGGCTCTGATGTCCGGTTCTGTCCGCTGTGGTTTTCAGCTGCTCCTGGTTCTGTTGGGCTGAAGTCTTTCCTCCTTCAGCAGAAAATCCTTTCCTCTCCTTCGATCAGAGGATAGATATACTGTTTCCGTTCAGACCTTTCAAAATAAGAGCACCGTCACTGAAATAACTTGATTCCGTTTATTTACATTGTATGGAACAGGATTAGGGCCACTGATGAAATAATAAAAACAAGTTTTGTTTTAAAATTTCATTTCAGTTAATATGGGGGGGTCAGAATTCTGAAATTAAAGTCAGAATTTTGACTTTTATTCCCATATTAGGCTGAAATAAAATGTTTTTCAGTGGCCTTAATTCTCTTCAGAAAAAACGTAGAAATAATGGAATTATATTCATTTATAGCAAATATATTTTTTATGATATTTAATTATTTAAGCCACCATTTAAATATGAGCTAATAATATGAGACGATCAATTATTTAATTGTGCATTTTTCAAATGAATCAAAGTCCTAATTTTCTTTACTTAAATAAAACTACAGATTCCTGTTTACTCTTTAATAGTGGTAAGACCAATACAGGAAACAAACTAGATTCTAATAGAAATAGTTGAATGAACAAGAAATATGAGATTTCCCAGTTTCCTCTCAATGTTGTTAGAACATAAAATACTGAATCATTCGGGTTTGATTCTAACTTAAACTTTCAGACATTAAGATTTAGATTAAACTGAACAGAAGTCTGACAGGAGCAGCTAAACATATTTAGTGCTCTAATATTTATTAAAGCAGCAAACAGCAGAACTGAAAGAAAAGAGAATTTAAAGTCTGATAAATGAATAATTGATAGGTGGATAAATAATGGATGCTTTTATCAGCCACCCTAACCTCAGAACTGATTCATCTTCTTCCAGTTTGACTTCAACTCAGCTTTTATGTCGGTGGGGTTTTATTTTGAAGTAGCTGATGTTGAACCGGAACTCATTGGTTGATTGAGCTCACTAAACAAAACTGATCCCAAAAGCCTCTAAAGGGTGTAAAACCATAGACATACACAATAGAGCAGACCCCGCTTTGACTGACGCGGCGCAGAAATTAAGTCCGCCATTTTGGGGAGGTCGACCTGCTACCCTAACCTGCTGGTTTAAAGGGGAACACCGTTTTTTTCCCATTGGTCCTTGATTTTCCGTTATTCCATCATGTTCTACTCACCCATATGAGTTTAGTGTCATTTGGAGCCATTCTGAAGATATTCCGTTAGGTTATTTCCAGTAACGTCTTCCTATGGGCAACGACTTGAAGGCACAAACTAAACTGTTCATCATTTATTCTTTATGGTACGCCAGCATTCAGAACATGGAGGCCAATCACTGTCCCCCAGACATCCACCGTTAGATTTTTATATTTTTTAAAAATTTAGCTAGAATGAATAGAAGGGGTAGAGCGTAGCCGCCTGTGGCCCACGCTGCCTGTCACTACTCCAGTCCGACACGGGGATATGGAAGCAAATCGTTACCATATTTCAAATGAAAAAGCATTTCCAGAAATGCTTTTTCATTTTAAGAATGTGGCTGCATTATTTGACTCATAAATGAAATTAGTAATCAGTCATCAGGCGCGGATTCAGGCGGGGGCGCGCACCCCCTTTTGGGATATGGCAAGCCGATTGGGCCAATAATCGTCCGTATAATAACGCGCAGTTCCAACCCGTATTTTACGCGAGCACGCGTTTTTTACGTCACCGCGCGTTTCCAGCAGAGCGCTCTGCATCAGCAGTGCTGTGTCTGACTCCCTGCCAGCTCCCAGATCAGCTTCTCTGATTGGTTGATGAGGCGCGTCCAACAGCTAATGTTAAATCAGGGTTCCTACAGCATAAGGCAAGTTAAATTCAAGACTTAAGACTTTTTAATGTCACTTGAAATAAAAATTTAAGACCAAATTCACAAGAAAAACCTGCTTGCGACAACTTAACCCAAAGGTTTATTTTAACATAAACCACTGCACTAATGTTTCAAATTTTGAAAAGCTTCCCATACAGGAAGAAAGCTAGAAACACATAAATGACAGATAGATTTTAACAATTATTTAACTGAATTCACAAACTTTGTTTTAGCAGGGAACAAAACTAATCAGTTTTAAAGCCCCAACATAACCAGTGCTAAGTCTTTTTTGCAGCTATTTTTCTTTGTATGGTTTTCTTAGTATGTTTGATTTGGTGATAAGTGGAGGCGTTGCAGAGACAAGGGTGGAACTAAACTGAAATACCGGCTGTTTCTCTGTAACTCCATTTTGACGCTTTGTGTTTCGTGCTTCGCATGTGTGACTCCACTGCCTTAATTCCCATCGTTCTGAGCTTCAATGACTTCTTGCATAAATCCACTGAGCCTCATTTACAGGTGCTGGTCATAAAATTAGAATATCATGAAAAAGTAGATTGATTTCAGTAATTCCATTTAAAAAGTGAAACTTGTATATTATATTCATACATTACATACAAACTCATATATTTCAGATGTTTATTTTGTTTAATTTTGATGATTACAAATGACAACAAATGAAAATCTCAAATTCATCATATCAGAAAATTAGAATATTGTGAAAAGGTTCAAAATTGATGGCCCCTGGTGCCACACTCTAATCAGCTAATTAACTCAAACCACCTGCAAAAGCCTTTAAATGGTCTTTCAGTCTAGTTCTATAGGCTACACAATCATGGGGAAGACTGCTGACTTGACAGTTGTCCAAAAGACGACCATCGACACCTTGCACAAGGAGGGCAAGACACAAAAGGTCATCGCTAAAGAGGCTGGCTGTTCACAGAGCTCAGTGTCCAAGCACATTAATAGAGAGGCGAAGGGAAGGAAAAGATGTGGTCGAAAAAAGTGTACAAGCAAGAGAGATAACCGCACCCTGGAGAGGATTGTGAAACAAAACCCATTCAAAAATGTGGGGGAGATTCACAAAGAGTGGACTGCAGCTGGAGTGAGTGCTTCAAGAACCACCACACACAGACGTATGAAAGACATGGGTTTCTGCTGTCGCATTCCTTGTGTCAAGCCACTCTTGAACCACAGACAGCGTCAGAAGCGTCTAAAGAGAAACAGGACTGGACTGCTGGTGAGTGGTCCAAAGTCATGTTCTCTGATGAAAGTAAATTTTGCATTTCCTTTGGAAATCAAGGTCCCAGAGTCTGGAGGAAAAGAAGAGAGGCACTTCATCCACGTTGCTTGAAGTCCAGTGTAAAGTTTCCACAGTCAGTGATGGTTTGGGGTGCCATGTCATCTGCTGGTGTTGGTCCATTGTGTTTTCTGAGGTCCAGGGTCAACGCAGCCACATACCAGGAAGTTTTAGAGCACTTCATGCTTCCTGCAGCTGACCAACTTTTTGGAGATGCAGATTTCATTTTCCAACAGGACTTGGCACCTGCACACAGTGCCAAAGCTACCAGTACCTGGTTGAAGGACCATGGTATCCCTGTTCTTAATTGGCCAGCAAACTCTCCTGACCTTAACCCCATAGAAAATCTATGGGGTATTGTGAAGAAGAAGATGCAATACACCAGACCCAACAATTCAGAAGAGCTAAAAGCCACTATTAGAGCAACCTGGGCTATCATAACACCTGAGCAGTGCCACAGACTGATCGACTCCATGCCACGCCGCATTGCTGCAGTAATACAGGCCAAAGGAGGCCCAACTAAATACTGAGTGCTGTACATGCTCATACTTTTCATGTTCATACTTTTCAGTTGGCCAACATTTCTATAAATCCTGTTTTTATTGGTCTTCAGTAATATTCTAATTTTCTGATATGATGAATTTGAGATTTTCATTTGTTGTCATTTGTAATCATCAAAATTAAACAAAATAAACATCTGAAATATATGAGTTTCTATGTAATGTATGAATATAATATACAAGTTTCACTTTTTAAATGGAATTATTGAAATCAATCTACTTTTTCATGATATTCTAATTTTATGACCAGCACCTGTATGTTCCCTGGTTTTAGCCATGGAGGAAACTCTTGGCTGGAGACAATTTTGGTTCCATTTACACTTGATCATATTTTCCAGACAAAAATTTAATGGCGCATCTCCCAAATGTCCCGGCCGCAACAACGCTTTTATTGGTTCCGCTATCGGGACGGAACCAATAATGGCGAGCTGTTTTTTTTTTATTATAAAAAAAAAATAATAATAATTGTAAATTTTAACATTTTATTTAGATTACAAAAATAAATCGTAATAAAAATAATCCTATTTATGTTTTAAAAATTAAGACCTACCAAAGACTGATTTAAGACATTTTAATACCAATTAAGGCCTTAGTTTTATTTTGAAGAATTCAATGCCTTTTAAGGCTTTTTAAGGACCGGCGGGAACCCTGAAAATGCTCGTTGTGCGCATCAGATGCTCAAACGCTCACGACGCACTGCGGGACATTTTGCTGCACCTGGACACACTAGCTGCTCCAGCTGCCTCTGCTGCTTTTGGTGTGAGCGTAGCATTAGAGGTTAACCTACAATCATCGCCGTCAAATGACTTTGCTGCTAAACATTTTTTCTTTTATCAACAGATAAATATCTGAAGATCCTCAGTCATCAGGTCATGGGCAGTTTAGGCGGCTGGATGTGAAGTTTTCTAGAAGATCTTTTGCCCCTCATCCAAGATGCTCTGCTGCTCTCCACCTGAGCCGGACACACCTGGCGGAGGACACCACCCAGGTGCAGCTGCTGTTCCTGGACTTCAGCTCCATCATCCCGCAGCATCTGATAGCTGCTAAGAGTTTGCTGCTCAGCACTGATGGCAGAACATGGAAGTAAATCATAATTACATTCCCATAAACCATTGAAAGAACCATAGTCTCCTCCTGAAAGGTAAAACCAGCAGTTTGGACCACGGTACCGGCTCCTAAAACCAGAACCAGGTTTAGAACAGAACTCCATGGTTCTCTTCTAAGCGACTTTAAATCAGCAGGCAACACAAGCTGAAGTATTATTTGGGTTTTTATTAACAGAACATCCGTATGCCAACAAATTCTGGATCAACTGAACTATTTGACAGGTTGGAGAAAGTTCTGCTGACCCGGTTTGACCCGATTCAGTCAGCCAGTCATCTCCTCCTCTTCCTCTGTGGTTTCCTCCAGCTGAAGCTCGTCCCCAGCAGAACCCGTCCCATTGTCCTCTCCGTCAGCAGAGCCCGCTTCGGATTCTTCACCCTCCTCCTCCTCTGTCTCCTCCTCCTCTGTCTCCTCCTCCGTATCCAGAGTCTCTCCGGTCGTCTCTTCTGGATCAGAATCCATCTCCAACAAATTCTCATCATCATCATCTTCCTCCTGGACGTCCTGATCCTCCATGTCTTCGATGATGGACTGCAGGAGGGACCGTCGGGACACCACAGACACGTTCCCTCCCCCGCTGGGGGAGCGTTTGGGCGTGGACGACCCGAGGACCTGGAAGGAACTCCTCAACTCCTCCTCTTCTTCATCACTGTCGTAGATAACGGCTGCTTTCTTCCTCCTGGTAACAACGATGGACTCGTCTGCGGACTCGTTGACGGATCGTACCACAGACTTGTTAATGGACTTGTCCACAGGTCGTACCGTGGACCAGTTTGGAGACTCTTTGACGGACCTGGCCACGGACTCGTCCACGTGTGACTCTGCGCAGCCGTCGGCGGTCCATCTCCTCTCTGACAGAGACTTGTCCACGTTGAAGCTGCCGTCCATCTGGAGCTGAGACAGCAGCTTCCGCTCCTCTTCCTCGCCGTCCGCCTCCTGGACGCCATCATCCGTGTCCTCCAGCTCCAGGTTAAAGTTCCCGTTGAAGGATTCCAGCTGGGCGCTCATCCTGGAGCTTCCAGCTCTGAGGCTGTAGTCAGACTGCTGGAGATCTGAAACTCTTCTGTTCTGCAGAGGGGGGGGGGACTTTAGAGCGCTGTCAGGGTGGGAGGTTCTGCCGGGTCCAGATCTGTCCATCGGTTCTTCTGAGGCGTCTGCAGAGAGATCGATGATCTCAAGGCTTTGATTCTGATGCAGCTCTTCTCCTCCAGAACCAGACTGGTCCAGATTGAAGCTGCCGTCCATCTGGAGCTGAGACAGCAGCTTCCGCTCCTCTTCCTCGCCGTCCGCCTCCTGGACGCCATCGTCTTTGTCCTCCAGCTCCAGGTTAAAGTTCCCGTTGAAGGATTCCAGCTGGGCGCTCATCCTGGAGCTTCCAGCTCTGAGGCTGGAGTTGGACTGCTGGAGATCTGAAACTCTTCTGTTCTGCAGAGGGGGGGTGGACTTTAGGGCGCTGTCAGAGTAGGAGGTTCTGCCGGGTCCATCAGGGCATCCATCTGCTGTAATCTGAACCAGGCTGGCCTCAGGTCCAGATCCGTCCATCGGTTCTTCAGAGGCGTCTGCAGAGAGATCGATGATCTCAATGCTTTGATTCTGATGCAGCTCTTCTCCAGAACTAGACTGGTCCAGATCCACTACGTTGGAGTTCTGGTCAGGGGGCGGCGGACTTGGTTTGAAGTTCCTGGGTTTCCTCTCGTGGTCCAGAGGTTGTCTCAGCCAGGCTGGTTCTGTGCTGGAGGCCATGCGCTCCACCAGCTGCATCTGCTGAAACACAAACATGCATCAGCTGGACCCGAACCACAAGGTCAAAGTTCAGCCGCCAACAGCCCCACCTCCATGGATCAGCCCCCCCTCCCTCAGCATTTTAAAGTAACACTTCAGAAAAGCTTGATGGAAATAGCAAACTTTAAAAAAAACTCAACTTGATACACATAATGCGAAGCACCGGTTGTGATCATCTGTTTCCGCAGTCGCCGTCCTCCTGAATGTTCATATTAAGACGGAAACATGGCTGGTAGAAACGTCGCCATAACTGACTGACATGTTAACGTAAGAACAACTCACCTGATAGAAACACATTGACGAACACCTTCTTCCATTACTGATCTATTCTAGATCTGCGCCGCATGTTGGAGTAGCTCTGCTAGCTTGCCTCTCATTTTTAAAGCTATAGAGGAGGATCCTTTATTTCGTGGTGCATCATCTCAATCATTGGTCCTCCTAACTGTCAATCATTCTGGTGATGTGTTTACGTAAGGCCGTCCTACGTGCTCGTCCCGTTAGCTATCTTTTTCTTTCAAGCGTCTTTCAGGCTTGGAGCCGTTCACCAAACGAACGTCCAATCAGCGTTGGCTTTGAGGCGAGTTGAGGTGTGACGCAACGAAAAGCGCGACAGTTCAGTCTAAAGAACATGGCGGCTTCAGCCGATGAAACTAGCGTTAGCGTGGCTATCGAGCAAGTTTTATCGGAATTACAGAGTATTTCTTCACTGAAAGAAGAGCAAAACACTGCTCTGGAGGCTTTTCTCAGAGGAAAAGATGGTTTTGCTCTTCTCCCGACTGGTTTCAGCAAGAGTTTGATCTAGGGATGCACGATATAATCGGCCCCCTATTGGTATCGGCCTTAAAACTGCATATCGGACATCGGCCACCCCACCGATATTTAACCCGATATTTGATCAGCTTCTGAGTTTCTAAAGTCTAAAAAAAAATAAAAAATACTACTTCTTCTTCTTCCTCAAAAACTCTTTTACAGACTTAAAAACTTCTAAAGACGAGGGAAAAAATATTGATACATTAAAATATCCCAATATCTTCATATGCTGATATATTGCCATTTAAAAACACCATATCAATCTCTTTTACTAATGAAATATTGCTATATGTCATCGTTATGCTACGCAATCCCCCGAAAATTCACCAAATGTTGCCATATTTTTATATGTTGATATATTGACGCGGTATCAATCTATTTTACTAACAAAATCTCACAAGAATTTGCAAAATATCACGAGAGTTTGTAACAGAACGATGAAATTTCACGAGATTTTGAAAGTAAAATAGATCGATACCGCGTTTTTAAAAATCAATTTGATATCAGGATATGAAAATATATTTGAGTATATTATTTTTCAAAGTGTCAGAAATGGATAACAAAACTGCTATTTTCAATGACTACTTATTTTTGTCCAGCTTTAACATCGGTATCGATATCGGTTATCGGCTACATGAGTTTTAAAATATCGGCATATCGGATATCGGCCAAAATCCCAATATCCTGCATCCCTAGTTTATCTATCAATTGGCTCCTCTTCGTCGTCGCTCTGTTAGTACGTCATATGCTTCGTTGATCTGATTGGTTAATTTGGCCCGTCTATCACCAACATAGGCCAATCAGCTAACCAGTATTTTCATCCCTTCCCAAAATTACTTCAACGGAAGGTTTCCAGATGGATATGCGGAGCAAATCCATCTGGCGGAGTCAGGTTAAAGAACTCCTACATCTCTGAAGTAAGACCTTCTCTTGGGAAATCAGATCACAATCTTGTTTTTCTCTGCTCAGATTATAAACCAAGTAGGAAGCATTTACAGTTGTTGGTGTTTAGGCTTGGTTTGTTTCTGGTTTATTTGGTTTGGGTGGTGGTGTTTCGTTTAGGTTGCCACACTGACCTATATTCTGCTCTGCCACTGGTGGCGATGTGGAAGGGAGAGCTATAAAGGTGAGAGAGCAAAAAGGGTTTGGGTGACGGGAAGTCATACGGTTTTTACCGCTTTCTTTGGTACACAGTAGCTTCTGTCCACTGGATAAGTTCTGTCATATCCACACTCTCCATAATTACCTGTCCATCTCACCTTTTGTACCAGACTGCTACTCGGATTGTTTGTTCATTTACAAACGGACTTCAATAAATGCTGCTTTTGTTGTGAACGTAGCATTACAGGAATGACTAGAAGAACCTCATCATGACTGAGCGCTAGCTCTCCATCACACACACAACCAGGTTTGCTCAATGACCCACCTGCAGCTCAGACTCTGCCTTCACCAATTCCTGGGCCTTCTGGACTCGGCCTTGGATGTATTGATATTCCTCCTGGTCCTCAGGATCCTCGTCATGGTTGACATCTTGTGAGAACATGAGGTCGTGGTCAGAGATTCCAAACATGTGCATAGCATGTAGATGAGCGATGTGCTCGTCCAATGCCGGGTCGGTCCGTCTGTGTCTGGAGTGAAGCGCCTGCAGCTGAAGCTGGGTGGTTGAAGATCTCGGGTCCTCCAGGGTAAAGAGCTCCTTCAGTTCTTGGCGACTGAAGTACCTGAAGGGGTTCTTTTTGTCCCCGGTGTTCTGCCTGATCAGGGAGTCTTTGAAAACCTGTCGCCTGTAGATCTTCTCCTCCACCGTTCCACAGGTTATCAGTCTGTAGATCACTACGTTTTCTTTCTGACCGATGCGGTACGCTCTGTCCACAGCCTGAGCGTCCGTGGCTGGGTTCCAGCTGGGGTCGTAGATGACGACTCTGTTAGCTGCCGTCAGGGTGATGCCCACTCCTCCCACCTGAGTGGTGAGGAGAAACACGGAGTAACGTTTGTCTTTTTGAAAGCGAGAGATCAGTTTTTCTCGTTCTGTGATCTGCGTGATGGTTCCATCCAGTCTCAGGACTTTGAAACCCCTGTTGCCAAGGATCCGTTCGAGGATGTCCAGGACCACCCGATAGTGCGCAAAGACCAGCGTTCGGTGGCCTTCTTCTCTGAGCTGCTCCAGAAGAGCCAACAGAAACACTAGTTTCCCAGACTCTGATATTAAAGTTTCATCTGAAACGTTTGCAATGTTGTGAGCATCACCCTCGCCGTTTTCAGCCTCTGGGTTTTCTTCCAGACCCAACTTTGCAATGGCGTTGGCAGAAAGCAGTCTTGGATGGTCACACAACTTTTTTAGAATGGTTAGCTCAGCTAGCGGAGATCTGGTGGTCATTAGCAGCTCCTTGATGTGGTCTAGACCAATAAACTGCCTGTAGATGTCCTCCTGAACTGCACTAAGGTAGGTCCAGACAACCAGGTCGTTTTTCCGAGTCAGCTCGGGCATCACTGCTCCAGAAGTTGGCGGATTTTTATTGTCTTCCTGGTTGTTTGATTCAGGGTTGGCCTCTTTTTCACCAGCCTTCTTCTTCTGCACTTCTGATTTAGTTCTACGAAGGAAGTAAGGTTTGATTAGGGTCATGAGGTTCTCAGAAATCCTGGAACCGAGAGCTTTTTCTCCAGGAGTAGCATCCTTCTCCCTGGCACGGGTGATGGGGTTTTCATACTCTGTTTTGAAAGTCTTGGCTGTTCCCAGTAAAGATCCCTGACAGGCAAAGTCAAAGAGCGTCCACATTTCCCGGAGGTTGTTCTGCACCGGCGTTCCCGTCAGGAGGATCCTGTTCTTGGACGGAATGGCGTAAGCACTTTTGGCCGTTTTGGTGGAAGGGTTTTTAATCTTGTGTGCCTCATCCAGGATCATGTAGTCCCAACAGAACTCCTTCCCTCGATACGAGGCTAGCTGTTGCCAGTTGCTCATCAACATGGTGTAGCTGGTGATGATGACCCCTCCTCTGCTCTGGACCTTCTCCAGGTTCCTGGTCCGCTCTGCTTTACTGCTGCCATAAAAGGCCTTCACCCTCATACCTGGAGTCCATTTGCCAAACTCCCTGACCCAGTTTGTGATGAGTGATGTTGGCATTACTAGCAGTGTGTGTTTTATCAGCTCGTTGTCATACATGCCGGAGAGGAACGAAATGATCTGGATGGTTTTTCCGAGCCCCATGTCATCAGCCAGAACTCCTCCTTTGAGACGGTCCCTGTAGAGGCTGTAGAGGAAGGAAACGCCGTCTCTCTGATAGTCATACAGGTTGTCGTGTAGTTCTTTAAACAGCATTAAGCCGCTGTTGTTCACATTGATGAACTCATCTTCATCCTCCAAGTTGTTCTCAGCTAGAATTTCTTCAATTTTCTTTATCCTGTTCTCCAGTTTGGGGGTTTGGTGAATGTTGAACGCCTGTTTGAACAGCTTCAATGCTTGTTCAATGTCTCCCTGCTTGGCGGAAGCTTTCGCTTTTGAAATTAACCTGAAAGATACAGAGCAGAACATCAGTTGGATCTGCTTTAGTCCAGAATAAACCAGCAGTAGATCCAGCTATCCAGATTCCTGATCTACAACCACTTTAACAGGTGTTTAGTGCAGGGACTGAGGGTGAGGTACTTTATGAACCTCTATCTGCTGCATGGTCGCCCAGCCCCAGCAGACAAACAAAATGAACTTAAACTAGGGATAGGTCCAGCAACACAGACGCATCGGCACATGAGTTCAGCTCATAGAGGTCTGTGTCGGCACGCGTATCACTACAAGAATGCCGCATGACCGATACAAGAGCTTTTTCTATCTGACTCTGAGGTGCTAACATTGTTTGCTCGGAAGTATTTCTGACAAATGTATCCTTGATCATCTGCAGTTCATGATCTTCTGTCGGTGTGCCTTTGTCACTTGACTCCTGATTTTCTTTGTATTATATTAATTTTAACATTTGTCACAAGGACTATTGACTCAATGTTGATGTATAATTGCCTGGAGTTGCTAAATATTTTAGAAAAATGGGTGATTGTGTTTCATTTCCGATGCAAACTGATCAGAATTTCTTTCCTTACTGATCTACGCGACTTAAACTTGCACTGCAAGCTAGATTGTTGCAAGATCTGAGTTTTCAGTCTAAGAACAATCCATCGCGATAGACTCCCGCCAATACGTCCGCCTCGTAACAACCAGCGAGTCGGACCAATGACATGCCAGCAGTGTTTGTTGGGAAGGAACATGTAGGGATAACGGCAGTCAGAATGGCCTTGCTTGGGTATTGCAAACATGGCTACGCTGGAGGACTCGCCTGTCGATACCGCATTGACTTGGTTTAAGATTTATCCTCTCACAAGTTGTAACCTACGTCCTTCAATCGTCCTAGCAAAGTTTTTCCATAGAGGGTGTGCTTTGCAAATCCTACAAAACTCATTGCATGATTACATGAGGACTTCACCGTAATCATCCAACAATGGTCTACATGTCAGAGAACACGTCCCACCTGGGAGGAGAGTGTTGGCCTAGTGGTCAGAGCAGTGCGCTTGTGTTCTGAGAAGGTTGCAAGTACCCAGTTCAATCCCCCCAAGCAAGACCCTTAACCCCACTCTGCACCCCGGGTGCCACACACTGCCCCCGAAGGGGATGGGTTAAATGCAGAGAGTTAGTTTCCCCATTGTGAGATCAATAAATCAGTTTAGATCAATTTATATCCTTTCTACCCGTCATTTGTGGCGCACGTCTGAAACAATGCACTGCTATGATTGGCTGAAAGCGTATTATGGAAGGTGGGTACTAGCTGGCACGCCACTCAATCAGCTCAAAGTATTGTACTAAACGTCCCTCCTTTTCATGGACAGACTGAACAGCAGCCATCTTTGATTAATAACAGAACTCCAATCAGTTCTACACACATCATAAACTCATAAACTGGCTACTTCCAGTTTATACCTGACTGCCTTCTTAAGGTAAGTGCGCCCCTGCCCAAAACGAGCGAATGGTGATGACAGCGAGCAGGCCGAATTACAGACTGGATTACAGGGATTCTTTTAGCCACTTTATTTCCCAACGTCTTCTGGCTCCAGTGGGCATTTGGTTAGTGTCCACTATCCGACAGCTGAAAGATCTCTGAGCCCTCCTTTCCAGATCTCAGGTGGGGTGGGACTTCTTCACGTTGCGCTGTTGGTATGTATTGTTTTTATGTGAAACTTGGGTCAACGGCTGTGAGTCCTCTGCTTTTTCAGAGCTGCTACCTCTGGACTGTACTTTTATAAATACACCAAGAACCACTGGTCGGGGTGGAGGTAGAGCGGTTGTTCTGAGGAACTGTGTGAATCACAGTGATATCTGATTGCTGTTGAACTAGGCTGTTTAGAGCTGCGATGGACTGCCTCAGTACCATGTGTTGTTGTTTAGACCGCCGAAATACAACAAAGACTTTATTGATGACTTTTCTAACTTTGTTGCTTTCATGTTGCCACGCTATGACAAGATTTTAATTGTTGGCGATTTTAATATTCACGTCCGCTGTTCGTCAAAACCTGTGGCCAGAGAGTTTTAAATGTGGTTGTATTGTTATTCTGTTTTAAAACTATTTGAGCATAGTAAGTGTGAATTTGAAGTTGCAGAGAGTTGCAGAAGTTTTGTATTTGTAGAAGTTAAAAAAAAAATTCACAAGTATAATTTTTTTTTAAACCTGTTCAAATTTTAAGTATGAGTACATAAATTCACATCAGAAACCTCTTACGTTCTCAGTTTTGCTTCAAATGGTTCAGAACTATTGTTGCAAAATTATGTGTTCATTGTAACTTTGGTGTTTTGTATCTGTACATTTTTTTAATCTGTCACAATTACAAAAAAACTTACACCTTTTCAAATTCTTGAGTGCAAGTACACAAACTGTTCAGTGAGTTGCACATCAAAAATGTCTTCCATTCAGTTTTGCTACAGTTGATCTAAAACAAACGCTGCCAAACTAATTCAAACACGTGTATTAAAATCTTTTAAAAAAAACAAAAAAAGATTTCTTTAACACAAATACTAATCAATGAATACAACTGCACCAATCTGCTGCTGTGAGTCACAATTTAAACTTTACAAGTTACGCCTTCGTTTTTCACTTTTGACGCAAATATCTCACCAATAAAAGTGATTTGTGAGTTGTGGGTAGTACCCTTGATCGGACAGCAGAGGGCGCTGTCACTTATAACCGTGACCAAAGAGAGCCTGACCTGACTGCTGCTGGATGAAAACCTTCAAATGGACAAAAGATTTGCAGGTCTGGCATGATTAGGGACAGAACAAACAAAATGTCTTTGGATGATTTTGATCATTTCATGTGTTTACTGATGTATAAAGACAAAGCTAACAGGATGGACTGCATGCTACGCTATGCTACAGGAACATGTGTTGAGCTGTTGCTGAAGCTTTATTCACTAATAGTTTAAACACTGATATAACATTAGTGTTCATGTGTTCCTCAGATGCTCGTTACATTTCCATTACCAAGTCTGACCAAGAGTCATTTAGTGGAATCCTGATGTCTATTCACTGCTAGCTATTTCAAAGAGGGTAAATAATCATTTAACTAAAGGTTTTTGGTTCTTGATTAAGCAAATCATTTAATAAAACATTATTTGGCCAAATAATGTTTTATTCACCTCATGGATTTGCATTGTGAATTGGTCTGAAAACATTCCAATTTCTTTTAAATTAGTGAAAAGCTAATTTGATCATATCCCAAATTATTCCAGATAAACTTTGGTTTCAAACACAGAATCCATCTAAAACTGTAATATGTTTTTCAACCGTTTTCCCCTTCCTCTTTGTATATAGTAGTTAGTTTAGTTTAGTTGAGTTTTACTAGTCTTAGTTGAGAGTGTTAAACTGAAATACGTTTGACTTGGAGCTGAATGGTTTTTGTTAATAAAATCTTATATTTTGAACAGAAGTTGTGGTGAATTTATTCCATTAATGTGCAGAAATAACTGTTTGACCATGATTAGTGCTCGAATCACTCTTTCATTTATTGTTCTAACACACAGTTAGTAGGACTGTGTGTCATAAACAGTATATAACAGCTGAAATAATATCTGATTAAATAAGATATTTTACCCCCCCCCCCCTACAGGGGAGGGTAATAAACATCTTAAAGCATCAGAAACATAAATTCCCAGCAGGCTGGGAATAGAAAAGAATATAGAATCACAACAGATATAATTGTTAACTAATTTAGCAATCGATAAATGGTTTACTGGAGTATAGAGAAGATATGTGTTCATTTTACCCTGTAACTGGGAGTCATGGTCCTCTGAGAAGCACAGCTTTATTTTTAAGTAATAAAGAAAAACAACATTTAAACTCTGTTTTCTAAAGCTTCTTGCATTACATTATAATTCTATGAACATAATCTGTTGCCATTTTAGCTGAAAAAGCTCTGCAGGCCTAACAAACGGATTTTTCGGCTGGATCTCTAATTTTTTTAACCAACCCATCCCCTAACTTTTAATTAAACATATATTGAAGTAGCTGCCGGTTGAATTACCCGAGTGCTGCTGTGTGTCTCCTTCAACCATATAGCTACGCAGTTAATAAGGACCCCAATAATATGATGTCTCATAGCAACAGATCCAACGATGATTCACCGATAAGCAGGACTTAGGAGCAGCAGGAGAGAGGAAAGAAAAACACTGACTCCAAACGCTCTGAACACAGACAGCTGCAGCAGTTACTGCTGGCTGAAGGAAATGAGCGGAAAGAGGAAACTAATGGTGGGAACATGTCCAGACCAGTCCTTCAGAAAGTGTCTGAATATGATAATAGCTGCAGGAACAAAACATTTCTGGAAAACATTCAAAACAGTTAGTCTGCATTTTGTTTTTTTTAAGAAGAAAAGTGTAGAACTCTAACGTGGGACACAAAGGATCTTTACCTCCTGTAGTTTTCCAGGTCATCTTCTGCGTCCAGGGACATGGATCTGCAAAAACAGAGCAGGTCAGAAGAGCTGCATCACAGAGATCACATCCACACCTTTATCACGTGGCGACGAATCAAACAACTTTGTTTTTTTAAATAATATCATTATTCTATGTTATTAAACTACCTGAAACCGACTCTAATAGAATATTTATTATTTACTTTATTTACCATTTATTTATTTACAGTATTTAACGTTTTATCTACATAAGTTCAGCTTTAAAGGTTAAAATCAAAGTGCACTTCTATATAAGGACGTGCAGAAACTGGCCTGTTTCCAGGTAATAACTGGAGGAGATGACTCAAACCAGCAGCTAACTGGAGTCACAGGTTCTACTTCCTGGTTTACTCTGTTAGCAACGTGTAACACCTGTTTTATGCAGGTAGAAATTAAATTAATAAAGTTTGGTTTGAGCTAAAATCACACTTTCTAAAAATTAATGAGCTATCTTATAAATGTATATTTAAAAGGTTGTTTTTTAGAGTTTGACTAAAGGCCTGTTTAGATGGAGATAATCAACAGCCTGCAAACACTTATCTTCTTCCAAAGGAGCCAATTATTAAGCATTTCTGGTACATTTTATTATAAATATGTAACTAATGTCATTCACAATGTTGGGGTCAGTCTGATGTGGTGCCAGTAAGTTAGCAGCTAGCTCCCTCCATCATGCCAGGGGCAGCTAGCTCCATCCATCATGCCAGGGGCAGCTAGCTCCCTCCATCATGCCAGGGGCAGCTAGCTCCCTCCATCATGCCAGGGGCAGCTAGCTCCCTCCATCATGCCAGGGGCAGCTAGCTCCCTCCATCATGCCAGGGGCAGCTAGCTCCATCCATCATGCCAGGGGCAGCTAGCTCCCTCCATCATGCCAGGGGCAGCTAGCTCCATCCATCATGCCAGGGGCAGCTAGCTCCCTCCATCATGCCAGGGGCAGCTAGCTCCATCCATCATGCCAGGGGCAGCTAGCTCCCTCCATCATGCCAGGGGCAGCTAGCTCCATCCATCATGCCAGGGGCAGCTAGCTCCCTCCATCATGCCAGGGGCAGCTAGCTCCATCCATCATGCCAGGGGCAGCTAGCTCCCTCCATCATGCCAGGGGCAGCTAGCTCCCTCCATCATGCCAGGGGCAGCTAGCTCCATCCATCATGCCAGGGGCAGCTAGCTCCCTCCATCATGCCAGGGGCAGCTAGCTCCCTCCATCATGCCAGGGGCAGCTAGCTCCCTCCATCATGCCAGGGGCAGCTAGCTCCCTCCATCATGCCAGGGGCAGCTAGCTCCATCCATCATGCCAGGGGCAGCTAGCTCCATCCATCATGCCAGGGGCAGCTAGCTCCCTCCATCATGCCAGGGGCAGCTAGCTCCCTCCATCATGCCAGGGGCAGCTAGCTCCATCCATCATGCCAGGGGCAGCTAGCAGGGCAGCTAGCTCCCTCCATCATGCCAGGGGCAGCTAGCTCCCTCCATCATGCCAGGGGCAGCTAGCAGGGCAGCTAGCTCCCTCCATCATGCCAGGGGCAGCTAGCTCCCTCCATCATGCCAGGGGCAGCTAGCTCCCTCCATCATGCCAGGGGCAGCTAGCTCCATCCATCATGCCAGGGGCAGCTAGCTCCCTCCATCATGCCAGGGGCAGCTAGCTCCCTCCATCATGCCAGGGGCAGCTAGCTCCATCCATCATGCCAGGGGCAGCTAGCTCCATCCATCATGCCAGGGGCAGCTAGCTCCATCCATCATGCCAGGGGCAGCTAGCTCCCTCCATCATGCCAGGGGCAGCTAGCTCCCTCCATCATGCCAGGGGCAGCTAGCTCCCTCCATCATGCCAGGGGCAGCTAGCTCCATCCATCATGCCAGGGGCAGCTAGCTCCCTCCATCATGCCAGGGGCAGCTAGCTCCATCCATCATGCCAGGGGCAGCTAGCTCCCTCCATCATGCCAGGGGCAGCTAGCTCCCTCCATCATGCCAGGGCAGCTAGCTCCATCCATCATGCCAGGGGCAGCTAGCTCCATCCATCATGCCAGGGGCAGCTAGCTCCCTCCATCATGCCAGGGGCAGCTAGCTCCCTCCATCATGCCAGGGGCAGCTAGCTCCCTCCATCATGCCATCCATCATGCCAGGGGCAGCTAGCTCCATCCATCATGCCAGGGGCAGCTAGCTCCCTCCATCATGCCAGGGGCAGCTAGCTCCCTCCATCATGCCAGGGGCAGCTAGCTCCCTCCATCATGCCAGGGGCAGCTAGCTCCCTCCATCATGCCAGGGGCAGCTAGCAGGGCAGCTAGCTCCCTCCATCATGCCAGGGGCAGCTAGCTCCCTCCATCATGCCAGGGGCAGCTAGCTCCATCCATCATGCCAGGGGCAGCTAGCTCCCTCCACCATGCCAGGGGCAGCTAGCTCCATCCATCATGCCAGGGGCAGCTAGCTCCCTCCATCATGCCAGGGGCAGCTAGCTCCATCCATCATGCCAGGGGCAGCTAGCTCCCTCCATCATGCCAGGGGCAGCTAGCTCCATCCATCATGCCAGGGGCAGCTAGCAGGGCAGCTAGCTCCCTCCATCATGCCAGGGGCAGCTAGCTCCCTCCATCATGCCAGGCGCAGCTAGCTCCCTCCATCATGCCAGGGGCAGCTAGCAGGGCAGCTAGCTCCCTCCATCATGCCAGGGGCAGCTAGCTCCATTATGCCAGGGGCAGCTAGCTCCATCATGCCAGGGGCAGCTAGCTCTGATGCTAACTAAAGCTGTTAGAAAAAGTGTTTCGAGCCGCTTCACTTACTTTTGCAGCCTCTCTGAAATCTCCGACATCTCCTCTGTGATGTGATTTCCTTCCATGTTGAGGATTTATTGCAAATAAAATGTTTCCAAGAAACACAAACGCGGACTGTGGGGAAAAACCCGAACGAGAAACTTTCTGTTTTTATGTTTCAAACCGGAAAACTTCCCCCCCGCCAATTCAGTACAGCCAATCAGAGGGGACGCTGCAGTGACGTTCTTCTTCTTCTTCTTTTGTTTTTTATTGGCGGATGGCAACCAACTAAAGGTGCATTTACCGCCACCTACCGAACTGGAGTTTGGTCAACAATGATCTCAGACTTCTTTTTTTATCAAGTCAAAAACATTTACATGAAAAAATACTCTCAGAGAGGACAGCTAAGGTGAACATGAACAGATAAAGATCAATTACAATAAAATAAAACAAAAACAAAAAAGTAAAACAACTAACGGGATTTATCTCAGCAAACATTTAAATCAAACATAGACAGAGCCATAGAAATAATAGAAACAAAAGGTGAATGCACTTAGAATAGCGATGAAGTCTCAATTTTTTTTGGCATATTTGTCATTTTTTATCTTTTCAAGAGAAGAAAAATAGGTTTTTAAGTTATTAATAAACCAATGAAAGGAAGCTTTAGAATTTCTCCATTTAGCAGAGTGGATGTGATATTTACCCAACAGCAGGAGGACATTAATAGTATCAGAAACAGGCTGGGGAAGATGGTCCATATAAAAAATCACATCATTTAGTGCAAATGGGGGAACATCATAAATTTTTAAAGAAATCCAATCTTTCAACTTTTTCCAGAAGCGGTGTGTAGTAGGACAGAGGTTAAACATATGTTCAACGGTTTCACTATTATTATTACAAAAAGAACATTGATCCACCTCAAAACCAAATCTTTTCCTTAAAAATTCTGCCACAGGATAAATAAAAAAATAAATAAACAAAGAACATTATCTTTGCCTTCTCTCTTGCCCATGAAGCTGGGGTCCACTTCAGCAGGATCTCCAACAAAGATGGAGATCCGGGCCCAAGACGATCCCAATCTCCAGAATCATGAGGGATAAGTCATTATGGTGAGCATTCAGAAGCAAACTGTTGCAAAACAGAACTTTTGCAACACATTTCTCTTGCGTTTCAGAGCTTATAGAGCCAGACTGGATGAGAAACCTGCCTGGATGTCAGGCACTGAGACAAAGAGAGCCTTCTCTGACTGCTGAGCTGTTGCTGAAACCTGGAACTAAACGCTATTTCTGACATTTTGAATTGAAAAATCTTCCTGGATGGAAGAGAAACGTCTTCAAACTTGGAAACAAAGTTTTTTTTTCTTCTTTTTTGGAATAATAATATAAAGAAGGATCTCATGAGAGGCTGATAAACTCCAAACAGTGCACTTCCTGAAGCTCCCCATTCCTCTCCACAAAGACATCTCAACAAATGATTCACTTTTTTACATTTTTTAAAACTCATTCTATTTGTTGTTTCCGACTAAATTTTTCATCAAAGACGACAACTAAAAACCTCCCTTTATTCACTTGTTCAATCTTCTGATTATAAAGTTTAAATTAAATCCCTTATGCCTTCTATAAAAACTAATAATTTGGGACTTTTATTTGCCACTGCGGTGACATTATCTAATGTATAGACGTTCTATATCTAGACGCCTCATTGGACGCTGCCGGCAGCGAGGCAGGCATGCCTACAGGGCGGCCATCTTGGATCAGACCACAGTTCAGACAGCTGCTGTCAGAATAAATAGGTGCTTTAGGTCTCATTTTAATAACATGAAAGACGAGTCAGAGATAATATTACAATAATCTCTGTCATGTTACAACCCCTTAAAAAATCAAAACTCATTTTAAAATTACGTTTCACTTAGATTACACAGATTGATTCAGATTAAAATCCATTTAAACTCAAACTGGAGGAGCAGAGGCGTAAACAGAACATTTTAATAAGGGTGGCCAGGCAATAACCAATGTGCACTGAGGGGGGGCCTACTTGTATCAATAAACATTCTGCTTAAAATTTATATTTACAAGCATTAATATCTACATAAATTAATTATTTGAAAAGTTTTTATTAAAATTGTTATTTATCTTTGATTTCATTAAAAACTCCTAGATGACTCGCAGAGACGCATAACTTTCTCTTTACCCCATAAAACACTAAATCTAGTTCTGAAAAAAGCGTGAATTCTATATTTATCCCCTTTTATGTTAGTATATTGATGTGTATAATTAACCACAAAGAAATAAAATGTTTTGAATATTCCACTTGAGGGAATTACTGCTGCCACCATCTGAATGAGAGGGAAAAAAGTAGGGGTGGCCACGACCACATCATAGAGAGCGTTCTCAATCAATCAATCAATCAATCAATCAATCAATCAATCAATCAATCAATCAATCAATCAATCAATCAACCAATCAATCAATCAATCAATCAATCAATCAATCAATCAACCAAGCAAATTTATTTGTATAGCCGTTTACAATAGCCAACTGGTACCCAAAGTGCTTCAGAACAAAGCCATAAAACAATACATAACACATATAAAACATACAGATACAATTAAAAGTGCTGTAGTGGTGCAGCGCTGCATGTCCCGAGCCCGTGACATCATCACTGACCCCCCCACCATGGACTGTTCTCCCTGCTGCCCTCTGGGAAGAGGCTTCACAGCATTCAATGCAGGACCAGCAGGTTCCATCCATCCATCCATCCATCCATCCATCCATCCATCCATCCATCCATCCATCCATCCATCCATCCATCCATCCATCCATCCGTTTTCTGTCACATTCATCCCTGCTGGGGTGGCAAGAGGAGCTAGGGCGACAGTGGCGTTGGATGTAGGAGTTTGCCCTGAAATCAAAGGGTTGACGGCTCAAGCCCCACCTTCACCTTTCATTGCTGTTGTGTCCTTGGGCAAGACACCTCACCTGCATTGTCTACTGATGGTGGTCAGAGGGCCCAGTAAACGGTACATTTATGTTGTGCCTAACTAAAGGCTGTTTGTGCTTAGATGTTTGTCTAAACTTCTTCCAAAGCTATTTTTCATTATATGTTTTTTTTTTATCATTATTTATCAGTTAATGTGTTTCATAGACATCTTATTAATCCAGTTTCCAAACTCATCCAGAGCCAGAGCTCTGTTGAACCGTCCATCCCACCTGCTCTTAGCATGAATGATTTTATGGGATTCTTTATGAATAAGATTGATCTTATAACAATTAGCAAAAATAAAAATAAGATCATTAGCACTCCTCTAAATACGATTGCTTTATCTCTGGAAGGTTAAATCTTCTTACCAATCTGATATGTTTGGATCAAGAACATTTCCATGCAGGTAGAATGCAAGCAGCTGGAACTGTAGCTCCCCCTGGTGGTATATTGATATTGTAGAACTTCTCTCAGATTCAATAATGCTGCCAGGCATGTAGATCACATCATTATGATTTAGCAAGATGAACAACTCTCTGATTTCTATTCTATATTTATAATTATAATTCCCATCTAGATAATAGCACCAGACCTCTTCAAATAACAACAATTGTTGATATTCAAAGCAGACTGAATCATTTCCAGTTCTTTGGAACCCAACAAACTAAACAATCTCAATAATTTTATTCTCAGACAGTGCTTCTGCCCGCCCCCAAGGCCCTGAACTTATAAACGTCCAGATAATGAAAAATATTTTTAGGGGGTAGGGTTGAGAATTTTGATCTAACTTCAAAAAAAAAAAAAAAAAAATAGACTTACAAATCTGGCAATAATACCATTTAAAGGCTAATACAATTTTCTACTAGTCCATGTAAATATATATATATAATTTGTTTTATTTGCATATATTTGTACATTACATATCTTTAAAAAAGTATCTGTCAAACAGAAAATTTCATTTTCCTTTATTAAAAATTGTTATAAATTTAAACATTCACAATATATAAGTCAAATCTGATTAAAATAAAGTAATTTTCTTTGTTTATACTTTTACAAAGATATTGGTATTTTCTTTATTCATGTTGCATCCATTAAATGACATAAATCTAAATTGTGGGGGTAAAGTACAAGTCTTTATTTTATGGCAGTGACACCAGAAGAAAGCTAATACAGTCTCCTATTTGTTTATGTAAAAAGATATATACTTTAAAAATACTAGCTAAAAATACTTTATAAAAAGTATAAACAAAGAAAATAACTTTATTTTGGAGCAGCCTAAAAAGAATTTTTCAGCCATTGCACTTTTATTTTAATTTTCTCCTTGTTTCATAATTTAAAATCCTAGTCCACAAGCATCCTCGTTTACATTTCCCCCTAAATTTTCCCCTTATATGTTTACATTATTCATTGATTGCATCTAAAAACATCAAAGATATTTTCAATTTAAACATAAATATGAAATAATACAATATAACCTACAATAATTTAAATTACATCATTGTACTAGGTCATCAAAATAATTCAGTTTATTCTGTCCAATCACCTGCCTGTAGTGTCTTTAAATGTCCAGCAGGGGTCAGTATTTTGTGAGATACAGTTTGGCCACACGATGCCGCATTTAACCATCACTATTCTTCAGGTTATTGACTTTAAAAGTTTGTCATTGAAATTCAAAATAAAAAATAATTAACTGTGGAGCTCAGCGGGGCCCTGCCTGGCGGAGATACAAAGTTTATCCCTTAAAGTTTATCTCTTTTAAATGAAAAAACTGTTATATTAGTTAGAACAGGACAGAGGAGGTCTAAGAAGAGGCCCTGTTTTAATTTATTTTTCTACAGAAAGAAAACATATCTCTATTCACGCGCACCAACTTTGTACTGACTGACCGACCGCACCCTCCACGCGTGTTCGCGCGGCCACATTTAATGCTGGCAACGTGCGCGCGCCCCCACTGCAGGGCTCAACGTTGACATACATCTGGTGATCTTTGGCGCGCAACCGCTGCCCTGCTGTGAGTTTAACTCCTTTCACCAGATGGTGCAAGTGGGCGGGGTTTGTCTGGTATAGTGTGAAACATTAAAGCATTTCCCCGCCGGTGTACGCTCTAACATGAATAAAACGCACCGTGTATGCCGAGAAATGCGGATGAAGGGAGATCCGCCCACCGTAGCAACCCGTCTACTGTTCTGGACTCTGGTTCGCTGAAATAAACGTCAGTCATTACGTCTCAAATACTGATTGGTTTGCTAGCATGAAGCCCCGCCTATTGTTTAATATAAATTTAGCGCAGAAGTCCGCCATCTTTTTCTGTACCCTGTCTCTTCCTCTCGCCGGACAGGAAAGCTTCTCGTCCAGCCCGCAGACATCATGGCCAACCCCAGAGTCTTCTTCGACATCACAGCCGACGGCAGTCCTGTGGGCCGCGTGGTTATGGAGGTAAAGCCGCGGAATGCTGCCGGTTAGCACGTGCTAGTGTGCGTGGGTGATCCTGGCGCGAGGAGCGCCCGTGTCTGCTCGGCAGGTTTTAAACTAGCTGTCCGCGGTGGAACCGGAACCAGCTCTGATCCAAGGAAGCGCGCGCCCCGTTGGGGGCGCCGCTCACTCTAAACACGGAGCTGTCGCAGCAGCCGCCGCTGTTACGCGGCGCCTCTGAAAGCGCGCCGCTCTTTGTTGCAGGGGCCGCGCGGCCTACTTCATGTGACTGAGGCAGCGGCTGCACGCGGGCAGCCGGAGTGACTATCTGCCGGTGTCCTGATGGGTCTGGGAGAACCGGCCCGCCGCAGCAGAGGCTCAGGCCCGGTTCAGTTCTGGAAAGTTCCACATAGCTGAGGGGGGGAGGGGCGCCGTCTGAGGAGGGAGATGCGGATATCCCACCCCCACCCCACCCCACCCCACCCGTTAACCTCCCCGGTGCTGCGGATCGGAAAACTGTGTGAATGCTCAGCTGCGTTTTTCTGGATTTAAATTTCCGCCATTGTTGCAGCGGCGCGTGGGGCGTTCCCAGGTCCGGCCTCAGTCCTCACATGAACCGTAATCTCACATCTCGCGGTAATGTGCGCGTCTTGGCTGCTGGTTTGGGTCTGAGCGTGCCGCAGCGGTGTTGCAGCGGCTGTTCCATCGCAGCCCGCATAGTTTGCGGTGAACTTCTGCTTTATAGAATATGAAGAAATGTCCCAGAGTGGAAAACTACTGCATGAGAGGCGGGATGCGTGGAAGTTTCCTGTTCCTCCATGTTGGACGCAGCAGGTCTGTCTGGTTGTAGCAGTCAGTAAATGTTTTTCTCCTCCTGCAGCTCCGCCCTGATGTGGTTCCAAAGACCAGCGAGAACTTCCGGGCTCTGTGCACCGGCGAGAAGGGCTACGGCTACAAGGGCTCCACCTTCCACCGCATCATTCCTGAGTTCATGTGCCAGGTGAGTCACTGCTCCTCCCCCCCACCTAGCAGCCACCCCCTCCACCTGGCTGAGTTTGATCGGCTGTTCACTGTTGGGCCTGCAGGGCGGCGACTTCACCAACCACAACGGAACCGGTGGAAAGTCCATCTACGGCAACAAGTTTGCTGATGAGAACTTCACCCTGAAGCACGAGGGCGCCGGCATCCTGTCCATGGCCAACGCTGGCCCCAACACAAACGGGTCACAGTTCTTCATCTGCACAGCAAAGACCACCTGGTACGGCCTCCTGGTTCTGATCCAGCCTCCTCTTTAGAATCGGTTTCATTGCCTTTTCAGTCCTGGATCAGGCTGCATCCGGTTCTGCTTTCTGGAGCCCAGAACGGGGCTCCGTGGGTCGGATCGGTGAGTGGAGGTGTCTAATTCCTGCCGTTTGTCTGCAGGCTGGATGGGAAGCACGTGGTGTTCGGCCGCGTGGTGGAGGGTATGGACGTGGTGAAGAAGATGGAGTCCTACGGCACCTCCTCTGGTAAGCCCAAGGCCAAGATCAACATCGCCGACTGCGGACAGCTCTGAGCGCCACCGGGACCCTCCCAACACGCACCAACGCCCCTCTGCTCCTGTAGTCTACCCCTTTAGGCTCCACCCCTCCATGAATCAACATTCCCATCGATGGAGAGTCGGCCGATATCCCCCCCCTTCCCTTTTTGTGTTCAGATCAATGTTGCTGCATCTGTGACTTTGTCTTTTTGAAGTTTCTTTTGCATTAACGTTTTTCCACAACGCCCTGACGGTTTTTTGTTAAATCGAATAAATCAGAAAATAAAGATGCCTTGATAATGAAGCCTGTCTCTGGGTTTTCTGTGACCATCTGATCTGATGGGGGGTGGAGGGTTTAATGAGGGTTTTAACAGCTGCAGGACTGTTTAAAACAGCTGTCCAGGTAAACTGGTCAGAAGTGACCTTTACTCCGGGTCGGGAACATGAGTTAAACTGAACATTCGCTCTAATGATGAAGCCTGGGCTGAACAGGACAGTTTGATCATGAAGCATTTTGGGAGTGGCTGAAACCTTCAAGCTGGTTCTGCAGTGGCGTCACCACTCCATCTATAGAATAACTACTTTAGGTGGGTCAGAGTTCCTTTAGAATATATGCATATTCTATTCGACTACTGTGACTGCTCAGCATGTCCAATGAAATCATGCAAAACAAGTATTTTCTATAACTTGTCTTGCATTCTTTAAGTGTAACTACTTTCAGTACTGTGGTTTTCAGTGACCTGCATGTGCAGGATGGATCGGGTGGTGATGCGGCCTGCTGCTGCACTGTGGTCCAAAGCTTTCTTAGGGGAACTTCATCAGTCTCAGTTACCATGGCAACCAGAGGGAAGAAAAGGCATCAAATTAAAGATAAACATGATTCCATCTATACTTTGAAGTTTCATGATATATAATCCTGTAAACTGTAGCTCGTCCAAATCCAACCTGTCAAGTCTGCTCGTATTCAGAATTCAAACTTCAGAAAGTACTTTAAGAACAATATGTTCAGTGTTTTTAATTGTAATTTCATTTGAATGCTTTACTGGAGGTGTCTTTTTTTTTTTTTTTTTTTTTTTACTGATTAACGCTAAATTAAATCACCCCAAACGTATTGGTTCTTATAATGATCCATTGATTATTCGTCGCTGACTGATCTTTTCCTTTATCAGGTTCCTGGTCCTGGTTTCAGTGTTCCACTGGTTTCCAGGGTTATTTTCCAGTTTGATCCAGAATCATTAGAACTTCCATCTGAGCGACTCTGCTGGAGCGAAACATTGGCCCCTAAACTGGGGTTTGGGGCCCCAGTGGGCCCTGGCATAGACGTTACTGTAGACGCCTCACCACATGCTGCAAACGGCAGCCATATTAGATGGGTCTCTCCTAGCATCGGGCAGCGGCTCCTTTTTCAGTTTACGGCTGAAATAAAGCGTGGGATTAAACTATAATTTGGGTTATCGTCTGTAATCCCATCCAACGTTATTTGGCATGAGATTGACGGGACACCTGGTTGGCTCTCATTAGCTGCAGTTGTCCAGTCTGTAGTGAACAGGTGAAGCCAGAGGACGGGTCAGGTTGTCATGGAGACCATGTGTCGCCTTCACACCTCGACTCCAAAGGTTTTTTTTTGGTTTTAACTCTTCAAGTGAACAGATCTCTGATTCAGATGGGAATTTAACTTAAAATCAGTGTTTATTGTTTTATAAAAACTTTTCATGTTTAATGTGTCTGATATTTTATGACGTATTTAATCCTTTTCTGCTGAAGGCATCACTGATGCTCAGATGAACATTTCCTCCTTTCTTTTCATTCTCACTTTTTAAATGTGTGAACCTTCGTCCTCCTGAACGCGTACTGTGAGCCGCTCACTTCATCATCTGAGGAGAAACCAGTGACTTCCTCTCAGATCAGAACATTTAGGATGGATTGCAAACTTATTAAACGCTTTTAAACTTCCTAAAGGTTTTATTTCCAGCCATGAAGGCCCAGGGAGAGTTAGCCTCTTTGGTTCCTAGCCTGCAGCGATCTGAGGGGAAGCTGCTCTTTAAGGCGTTCAGCTCCATGGCCGTTCCTGGGGGAAGCATGGAGGCTCCTGGATGAACGGCAGCAGCTGCACCTTTAACCCCATCGCTCAAAAGGTTTAAAACTCATAACCTTTTTCTTTCTTTAGCTTTCATAAGACGCTCTGTCTTTATGGTTCGTATTATTTTTGTTTTATTCTTTTAAACTTTCCTGTTCTACAGTCTAAACTTGCCTTGGTTTGTGCAGCACTTTGCAGCAGCTGCAGTTGTTTTAAAAAGATCTATAAATAAAGTAACAGACTTTCCTGTCTGTCCTGAAGACTGATGGAGGCGCTAAAAGTATTCAGTCATGTTCATGACTCCAGTCAGGGGCGGATTTAGGAAGTCTGGGGCCCTAGGCAAAGACAGGCAAGGGCCCTCTGAATGGAAAAGACAACACATCAAACAGCCCCATTCTACAGATAGAGAAATGTTAATAGAATAGACATCCATTATCTGTTCTAGGTTGTGTCCCTCTCTTCTTGTCCCTTTTCTGCTGCTGTCTGTTTGGACCTTTCTGAACATGTGCAGCAAATGGACTGATCCAATATGGTGGACACTGAAGGGGGGGGGGCTGAGACACACTTAATATTATCAGCGTTCTGATGGCATCTTAGCCAAAGGATTTTTATCAAAAACATAATTAATGTGCACAAATAAATAATAGTTGTATTAATGATACATGGAAACAGAGTTTTATGGGGCCCCCAGGAACTTGGGGCCCCAGGCAGCTGCCTAGTATTGCCTAATGGTAAATACTCTATACTCTATACCAATAAGGTGCAACAATTCTATTCACTTTTGGATACAGACGTGTATATTTTACACTTTGATTCTATATTTAATATTTAAATCAAATATTAGATACATAAAACACATCCTCAATATTGCAACACATTTATTTATGTGGTGATTATAGATAATCACAACACAATGATAGTGAAAACACCCCCCCCCCCATACACACACACACACACACACACACACACACACACACTAATGTTCTAATCTTTAATGTTTTCAAAAAAAAAAATCAGTTAAATTAACGTTATGCTTCCCGCATCCACCAGGGGGCAGCCTTCTTTAAATATTAAAAGCCTTTTTACTCTCCTGATCAGTGATGATGAGACTGCAGCCTTTTATGGAGAAACGTCACCAGAATAAAGATGTTCTGCTTTAAAACTCAGAGGGAAATATTCCTTAAACCATCAGCACCTTCGTCCACTGACCAATCACAACCTCAGACACCTGCATCAGTCATCACGGTTTGGATAGATATAGAATTTCTAGATTTCTTTTACAGAAAAGCAGGAGATCTGAGATCGCAGGTGGCTTTAGGTTTTTGACTTAAAGGAAAAGTCGGTCAGCAGGAATAATCCATGGATCATTATTTATACCTAAAACTAATACGTTTGCAGTGATTTCTTTAATTTAGCGTTAATCATTAAAAAAAATTAATTAATTTCCTCGCAAACATTGAGTCTGGGAGCGGCCATTTTTGCCCAAATCTAGTAGCCCCTCCCTCCTGCCATCTTCCAGCAGTGACGTCACGGTGCGGTAAGCCTAGCGCCATTCTCCCCGCTTTCCAAGCTAAATCAATGGGAACTACTAGACACATCTGCAATCAACAACAATTATTGAAGATTTCCAGAGGACTTCACCATTGAAATTCACCAGAGCTATAGTGAAACTGACAATGCCCACGTGCATGGCAGCTGGATGCTGGAATACATCGGGTAAAAGTGAAAAAAAGAGTTATTCCACCTTTCTGATTCCTGATCCTCCACGGACGGGTTGGTCGTTGGATCGCCAACTTGAAGAGGGAGGATTTGCCATCGAACTTCTGGCCAGAGAAAAAACCCGTAATATGTAGCCAACATTTGGAAGAAGAATGTTTTCAAGATGACTTGGATAATAGCGCGTTGTGACAAACACCAGATACAGCACTGGGACTTGATCAACAGCCGATACCGCACCGTGACGTCACTAACCAGTAGGTGGCAGTAGTGTTCTTTGACAAACATGGATGCCTCCAGTAAAGCACATTCACATGAAAATTACTCTGAATTAAAAACACTGATCATTTATTGAACAGGATGGAATCATTTCAGATTTTAAGAACTTTCAGAAGTTTGGATTCTGAATATGAGCGACTTTTCCTTTAACAGATTAAACCTCAGGAACTGTTTCATCACCTTTTTAAGCTTCTATTTGGATGTTTTTATTTCTTATTCTTGATCTGGGATTTTCTGTCTATTTTCTTTTTAGTTTCCTGAACCTGCAGATCCAGATGTCTTTTAGGAGTGAAACACATGGAGAAAAAGCCCAGCTCCAAGGTTTCCAGTCCAGATGTTAGAAGAACCTGAAGACGCCTTCGTCAGTCTGCAGAATCAGAACCCTGAATCAGCCTTAAAACCCGACCGACCACCACAGACACAGCCATTCTGAAAACATCTGTTACTTTATTCTATAAGTTATTGGAACCACTCAGCTGCCAGTCAGTCATCGGTAAAGAATAGAAGAAAAGTTTGATGGATCTATATTCACATAGAAAAACCTGCTTCAGGTCGGGTTCTGGTGTTCCTCGACCCAAAGGAAAGAAGCTAGCGGAGGCAGTGTGCTTCCAACATCTAGGGTGAACGCACCCTCAGCTCACTTCTAACATCTCTGGAACCTTAAGGACTTAACATCGGGTTCTGGCCAATCTATTAGCGTACATCTGGTCAGGCTACGTCGGCCTCAACCTGTCGAATGATAAAACTGGAGACTTCTAGTCCACTCAGTGAGCTGAAGATGTGTTCAGGTTTGCAGCCGGGAGAAAAACAAGAGTCTCTAAGGTGAAATAGAGGAGCCATTGGGGGCCCCGGGTTGTCCCCCTACTGGGCTCCTCATTAAATCTGTGAGTCTCTGCTCTCCTTCAGCAGCTCCGCTCAGCCGTCCTCTTCTTCTTCTTCCCAGAGTGTCTTGTCTTCCTCTGGGCCTGTCCGGACCGGACCACACACACGCCCTGCCGCTTGTTCTTCCCCTGACCCGCTCCGCCCCCCTCGGCACAGGACAGCCCGGCGGAGCAGTCGCAGCGGCCCAGGTTCCTGCGAAGTTTGGAGGCGCCCCTGAGGAGACAGGCCTCGCCCTCCAGCGGGATTCTCTGACACCGTTTGCCGGTCAGGTAGCGGACGCAGCAGAGCCCGGCAGCGCAGTCGCCGGAGCGCACGCAGCTGGACATCTCTGGACCTGCAACATGTTCACTGTCTTAGACCAGGGTTCAAGGCTCCGCCGCAGGGAGACGGGACTTCATCTACTCACCTTTGGTTCCGTTTAAGCTGTGTGTGATTCTGTCTTTGAGGTGCTGTCGCTCCATTTGCCTGTTGCTGTTGGAGTTTCTCCTGTCGGGCCTGTTACTGCAGCTCCCTCTCTGAAGAACAGTAACGTATCGTCAGCATATTGATTGACTTTTCAGCTCCAGATTCAACAGATTCCAGCCCTCCAAGTTTGATTTTCTAACAGTAATTGATTCACCTTATTATCTGATATAACTAGATTCCAAAACAGTTGAAAATCAAGTTTGAAGACGTTTCTCTTCCATCCAGGAAGCTTCTTCAATTCAAAATGTCAGAAATAGCGTTTAGTTCCAGGTTTTATCCAGCAGCCCAACAAAGCCTGGTTTTAGTTTAGAAAACATGCAAATAGAAACGGATGAACGGGTCCCCCCCTTTGGAATGGGGGTCGTTTGGCTTCTTTTTCAGCCTGCAATGCCCCATACCTGTCTATGTCTCTGAAAGGGAAGGGGGGTTCTAGGAAATGTGGGGCCCTAGGCAAAGACAGGCAGGGGGCCCCTCTGAATGGACAACACATCAAACAGCCCCATTCTCCAGATAGAGAAATGTTAATAGAATAGACATCCATTCTCTGTTCTAGGTTGTGTCCCTCTCTTCTTGTCCCTTTTCTTCTTGTTTTCCTCTCTATGTTTTGTACTCAGCTGACTTTTCATGCTGTCTCTAAAGGAATGAAAGATTTTTTCCAAGCACTAAGCTCACTTAGCTGATTGCTCCTTCCTGTGTTTCCAAAAAGGCCAAAGTAAATAACCCAGTCCTTCTTTTCACTGTAGACAAGCCATGATCTGCTTATCTGTTCTCCATTTTTCATTTGGATGAAATAATAGCTGCATGAATCATGACAGCAGACAAGATAGAGGAGAGCAGGAGGCGGGGTTACCAATCTACTCGCTCTGGAGAGCAGAGTTCGCTGCTTTTAGATGTTGTCTCCAAAGTCTCCAGGAGCAGAAAAAAGTCTCTAGATTTGGCGCTAGGAGCTTTTTAGAAATCAAAGTGCTAGAGGGGTCTGAAAAGTGGCTAAATATAGCGACTAAAGCGCTAAGTTGGCAACACTGCTCTTTGCATGGTTTGTTTTCAAATGGTTTGCTGCTGTCTGTTTGGACCTTTCTGAACATGTGCAGCAAATGGACTGATCCAATATGGCGGACACTGAAGGGGGGGGCTGAGACACACTTAATATTATCAGCGTTCTGATGGCATTTTGAGGAAAGGATTTTTATCAAAAACATAATTAATGTGCACAAATATGGAATAGTTGTATTAATCATACATGAAAACAGAGTTTTATGGGGCCCCCAGGAACTCTGGTTCCTAGGCAGCTGCCTAGTATTGGCTAATGGTAAATTCCTCCCTGTACCAAACAGTAGAAACAAACCAAATAGATTGATGGTTCTGGGAAGTTTAGTTCCTTAAACCACGCTAAACATTAATAAACTGAATGGAGCTAAACTATGAGCAGCTAAAAGAGAATAAATGCAGTAAAACGAAAGAAATAATCTAAACTAGGACAAAGAAAAGATCAGTTACACTAAAATAAAACCAGCTAAGCTGAAAGAAGCAATGTTTTACAATAGGAGGTAGAAAACACAGAGCTAACGAGCTAAACTAATGAAGTGGAGCTCAAAACAGTGAAATTTTTTAAGTATTAATTAAAGGTTTCTGTAACGAACCAAACAGGTTTGCCTTTCAAAGCCTGAATCTATGAAAACAGAAGGAGAACCCTCAGCATACCCAGAGTCAGCACCAGTTTATCTCTTTAGTTTTACATGAAAAATAAACTTTAAACTACCTCAACGGACGTGTCTTTAGTGATGCACCAAAAACTATTTAATTATTCACTTTCTGGTGTTTTTTGAAGCGTATGGCAATCTGACCTTAAACAGTTTTTTAATGTACATGACTAAAGGAAAACACGCCCGTTGAGGTAGTTTAAAGTCTTTTTTTGTAAAAAAGTAAAGGGATAAATGCAAATCTGACGTCCTGCTCATGTGCATCGACTATAGCTATGCTGGTCTGACAGAACAGCTTCACAGCAAACAAATATCCAGCTGATTCAGATCTTTTAAATCTTTTTTTTTTTATTTACAATAAATGAGTATCTGTTCTCCCCCCGTCCAGTTCCTCTTGATCTATTTCTATATAGATTGCACACCTCTGCCAGGAACAGCACTGAAAACTAAAGACGGACAGCAGCTTCATGATGAAGAACATGTTTAAGCAGAGAACTGGATCCCAGAGAGGAAAGCTGACTGTAAAACTGTAAAACTCATTACATTATATTAAATCTGCTCTATTTTAACTTCTGATGATAACAACCAGCAAAGGTCTGAATGATCTGATGAAAGCAGAGGTTTTATTTACAGTTTGAACAGAAGGATCCGGTGAAGCATTGTGGAGGAAAACAGGTCAGTCTGAGCTCTCACCATGGGCTGCTCTGAGCTCTGCAGGCTGGTCTCTTTGGAAGATCTGATGGTGTTGGAGTCCAGAGCCAGACCCCAGGCCAGAGACACACACAGGAGGCTCCTGTAGATCCACATCCTCTGAGCGACCACTCAAGCCTTCCTCTGAGAACCGTTCCTCACCTGGTCCAGACCTGCAGCTTTGAGGGAACGTTTTCTCCCAGTTCTGATCCAATGATCTATCTCCCCCCCTGGGTGACTCAGATGATGCTCCTCAGCTCCGGGTGTCCTGCTCAGAGAATCCTGGCTGCTGCCTTCAGGTGCGTCTGTTTTTTATAGCGCTCCCCTCCCCTCTGATCCGTCTTTGCTCAGCCGGCAGAGTCTCAGAAGTCTGGGGGCCCGTTTTTTTAAAACCCCGACCGCATCAGTGGCAGGGAAAAGCGCCCCCTTTCCCTTTCCCCTTCCAAAAAGGGCCCCTCAGGGGGCGGGCCTTTTTAAAAAAAGGGGGGACACCACAAAAGCCCCAAACAGAGGTTTAAAAAAACCCCATTTGGGAGCCCTGAGCCGGGAAAAGGGCTGTGGGGGAAAGTGCATTTAAAGGTGTTGTGGTTTTTCCTTTTTGTGGTCCCAGGGGGTTCAGCGGGAAGAGCAGGGCTGGGGACGGGTCGGGCCCGGCGGGGGGGGAGTGTTTACCAGGTGTGAAGTAAATGGGGGTTTTTTCAGTTTCAACCCCTGCTCGGGAAATTCCGCGTTTTTCCTAAGGAAGGGGAAGGAGTTTTTCGGGTTTAAGGGGGGATTCCCTGTTTTTTTTTTTGGGGGGCTCGGGGATTAAAAGGATTTAGGTTTTTTAAGGGTTTTTTCCCTTTTAAGAAAATATAAAAAAATAAAGAAAAGGTAATTGAAAAAGGGGAAAGGAAACAAAAATTAATATTTTAATATAGGGGATTTTTAATAAATATTTTATAAAATATTTTTAATAACCCTTTTAAATTTTCTTTAATTTTAATAATTTTAATAGTTAAAATAATTATAATTCAAATAATAATCCAATAAATAATAAATATGAATAATAATATTATAATAATAAATAATATAATAAATAACCCAATAATAATCCATAAGGGATTAATAAATTAATAATAATAATAAATTTTTAATAATAATTATTAAATTACCCATAAATAATAATAAATAATAATAATAATATTAATAATAATATAATAATTTTAAATCCCTAATATAAATTTAATAATAATAAGGTTTAATATTTTAATAATAATATAAATTTTTAAAAATAATAATTAATGAATCCCTAATTAATAATTAATAAATAATTTTAAATCAAAAATGAATAATAATAACCCATCCTTTAATAATAAATTAATAATCTAATACATAAAAAATTTTAATATATTTTAATAATGGATTTTAATATTTTAATAATAATATCCTTTTATAAAATAATAATTTTAATATAATAAAATAATTTTAATCCAAATATAATCCATAATAATAATTTTTAAATAATAATAATAATAATATAATAAATCTATAATAAATAATAATATAATTTTTTCATTTTAATAATTAATAATATAATTTTTCTAAATATAAACCCAATGAATAATATTTTAATCCTTTAATCCAAATAATCCATAATCCTACCTAAATTAATTTTAATTTAATAATAATAATAATAAAAATAATAATAATAATATTAATAATAAAATTAATAATATAATTTTAATAATAATAATATATATTCCATAAATATAAATTTTAATTCTAATAATAATAAAATAATTTTAAATGGATGAATATATAATAATAAAATATAATTTTTTAATTAATATAATTAATAATAAATTTTAATATTCATAAAATAATAAAATTAATAAAATTTAATTTTATAATTAATAATAATAATTATAAATAATAAAATAATAAAATAAATAAAATTTTTAATTAAAATAATAATATTAATTTTAATAAACCCTCCACCAAATTTTAATTAATAATAAAATCCATAATATAATATAAATATAATAATAATCCTATTAATAAAATTAAAATATTTTAATAAATAATTTTTTAATAATAATTTAATAATAATAAATAAAATAATAAACCCCCCTAATAATAATAATTTTCCAAATAATAATGAATAATTAAATCCCCCCAATAATAATAATTTAAAATATAATATTTAATAATAAAATATCCATAATATAATAATCCATGATAATATAATTCCTTTCATAAAATCCATCCTTTTAATATAATAATCCCATAACCATAAATCCATTTTACCATCCAGCCTAAATAATCCATCATATCATCCTAAAACCTATAATTCTTTCCACCATTCCACCATATCCATTCATAAAACCATCCACCCATTAACCTTTCCATTCATCCATCCATCCTCCATTCATCCAACCATCCATCCATCCATTCACCCACAACCTTCCACCTTTCCATCCATCCATCCACCCAAATCCACCATCCATCCATCCATCCACCCAAATTCATCCATCCATCCATCCATCCATTCAATCCCATCCTTCATCCATCCTTTCCCTTCCATCATCCATCCACCCCCCAATCCATCCACCCACCCATCCACCTTTCCATCCATCCATTCATCCATCCATCCATCCACCCATCCTTCCACCATCCTTTCCATCCACCCAAATTCATCCATCCTCCACCCATCCTTTCCATCCATCCATAACCCATCCATCCATCCATCCACCATCCATCCATCCTTTCCATCCATTCACCCAATCCATCCATCCACCCATCCATTCATCCAACCATCCATCCACCCAATTCATCCAACCATCCATCCTTTCCATGATGGAGGGGATGGATGGGTGGATGGATAAATGGAGGGGAATGGAGGGTGGATGAGGGATGGATGATGGATGGATGAGGATGGATGGATGGATGATGGATGGAGGGAGGGGATGATGGAGGGGTTTTGGATGGATGATGGATAGATGGTTTGGAAAATGGATAATGGATGGAGGATGGGGGGGGTTTAAATGGATGGATGGATGATGGATGGATGGATGGATGGTTTGGATGAGGGGATGAGGGATGGATGATGGATGTTTGGATGGTTTATGGATGGATGATGGATGGATGGTTTGGGAGAGGATGGAATGGATGGAGGGGATGGATGAGGGAGGGAAATGGTTTGGAGGGAAATGGATGGATGATGGATGGAGGGATGGATGGATGTAAGGGATGGATGGATGGAGGGAGGGGGATGGAGGGATTGATGGAGGGATGGAGGGAAAGGATGTTTGGATGGGATGGATGTAAGGATGAGGGAGGGAAGGGGATGAGGGGATGGAAGGGTTGGGATTTTTTGGATGGATGGATGAGGATGGATGTATGGTTTTGGATGAGGGAAAATGGGATGGGGGATGTATGGATGAGGGATGGTTGGGAATGGAGGATGGATGTTTTGGATGAGGGATGGAGGGGAAGAGGTGGGGGTTGGGAAGGGAGAGATGGATGGTTTTTAAAAGGAGGGAAAAATTAAAGGATGGAGGATGGGGGGTTGTTTGGATAATGGGGGAAATGGAAAAAGGATGGATATGGTTTGGGTTTTCTTAATATGAAGGGAAAGGGAAATAAAGGATGGTTTGAGGGTGGATGGAGGATGGTTTGAGGGAAAAGGAAAGATGGATAAAGGGGATGTGGATATGGAGGATGGTGAGGGAAAGGGTGGAGGGAAGTGGATGAGGGAAAGGGAGGGAAAGAGGGAATTGGAATGGATGGAAAATGGAGGGGAGGGAAATGGTTGGTTGGTAAATTATGGGAAGGTTGGGGGATGGAGGGAGGGTTTTTTAAAGGATGGAGGGAAGGGAAAGGATGATGGATGGATGGGAATGGATGATGGATGGATGGAGGGAAAGATGGATGGATGGATGGATGGTTTGATGGAGGGAAAGGAAATCGAGGGAAGGGAAATGGAGGGAGGAGGGAGGGAAATGGAAGGAGGGATGAGGGATGGAGGGGATGGTGGTTTAAAAGGGGAGGTTTTGGGGGGATGGTTTATGGGGATGGTTTTGCAGGGTAATATGGAGATGGGAGGGAGGATGGATGGATTTTGGGGGATGTAAGGAAATGGAAGGATTAAAGGGTTGGCTTGAGGGAAAGGGGGGGTGAGGGAAGGGGAAGGGAAGGAGGAAGATGGTGGAAGGGGGGATGGGGGGATGTGAAGGGGAGATGGGAGGAAAAAGGGATATGGATGTAATGATGGATGGGGGAAGGTGGTGATGGATGGAGGGGATGGAGGGAAAGATGGTTTGGAGGGAGGATGGAATTGATGGATGAGGATGATGGATGGAGGGTTTAAATGGATGATGGAGGTTTGGTTTGGAGGGAAAAGGGAGGGGATGATGGATGAGGGAGGGATGGTTTCATGGTTTGGATGGGGGGAAGGAAATTTTTTGGGTTGATGGATGAGGGGAATTGGAGGGAAAGATGGAGGGAAATTGAGGGATAGAGGGGATGGTGACGTATGGGAATGGATGGATGGATGGAGGGATGGAGGGATGATGGAGGGATAAAGGATGGATAATGGATGAGGGATGGATGTGGATGGTTGGATGATGGATGGAGGGAAAGAGGGATGGGGGATGGATGGATGGGGAGGGAGGGAAAGGAGGGGATGATGGAGGGGAGGGTTTGAGGGGTTTGGGAATGGATGTTTAAAGATGGAGGGATGGATGCTTTGGATTGGATGGAGGGGTTTGGATGGGATGGATTAAAGGGGATGATGGATGATGGATAAAGGGAAATGGATAAAGGGATAAGGGAGGGATGACGTATAAAGGATGAGGGGATGGAAAAGGGGAGGGAAATGGATGGAGGGAAATGGAGGGATGGTTGAGGGATGGTGATGGGGTTTGATGGATGGAGGGGTTTGGATGATGGAGGGATGGGGGATGGAATGGTGGATGGATGATGGAATGGGGGATGGGTGGATAGATGGATGGATGACGTTGATGGATGAGGATGGATGGAGGGATGGGAAATGGAATGGATGGATGGATGGATGATAAAGGGAAATTTTTTGGGATGATGGATGGATGGATGATGGATGGTTTGATGGATGGATAAA